GGAATATCGTAAATTAACAATTTCTTGGTCAAAAAATCAGGGTCGACCTATAAACGAGGGGGGGTTATAGACGAGTATATACGGTAATTCAAACACAGTACTCTGTTCAGATTTTCTAATACTCCTCCTTCATACCGAGCCATTGAAACATACTGTAGCTGTTAAGAACCTTAATTTAATTAGGTCTTTTTTTAACATAAATTAGCAATGCTGAGCCGAAAAAGTTATTTTATGGCCACAGTTATGAACATGTGCTAAGTTAGCACAAATGGATATGGAAAGCTAAATCAAATATATCTTGCATTTGTACATATGTATATAAAGTTTCATCAGTAAATGAAGTTTCAATTTCTTCCTTCATATTTTAAGTACTAGAAATGTGTGCAAGCAGGAATAGATATGAGGTGCAAGTAATTCAGAGGAGTATAAATATAATCTGGGTAGCCTCAAAAGTACCACATTAAGTCATATGACAGCAAAGTCCACCTCAACTTAACACTATTCTACCATGCATTTTTCCACAGTAGTCTTTATAGCCCAGCCTCTGAACAATAACAAACACATTCAAAATATTTCAGACTTCAAGTGAAAATTGCTGAGGAAAGCCTCACAAAAATGATCTAAATTTACTTAAAAAATACAACTTCTGAGTGGAATATTCAATTATCACAAAATTCATGGAGATAACAGTTTGCACACTGAAGAACCCAGAAAATTAATTAAAAATAATGTTCATAGACCCTCAAAACAAAATGTCACCAGATCAGAAAATGGACTCGGCCTCTTGGCCAAGGGTAAGTAAGCATTCATCAACTACCTCAGGATTAGCCATAAAGGAACTTTGGAGGAAACTTATCCAACATCTCAATACACCAATTAGGGTTAAAGCAATTTAGTCTACAATATTTACCATGACTAGGACACAGCTCATGGTTATCAAGAGGGTGGATTTCCGGTTTACAGATGGAAGTCCTGTAAACCTTATCTTGATCAATTAAAAACAGAAATATCCTAAAATATTGGTAATTTCCAGTGGAGCAGAAATAATATTTGAAAGGTATCACACTAAAGCAAACTCCCTAGAAGGTTGCATCATCAGAGAAGACATTGTAATCAGTATGGAAAATGAACTCCAAATAAATAAATATCATGCATGTGTCACCGGTTCCTGAAGTTCTCTGTTCGCTCCAATCATGTTGGTTCCATTGTCGGATCTGATGCACTTGGGAGGTCCTCTGCAGGATGTGAACCTCGTCATGGCATTGATGAACGAGTGTGTCCAGTGAGGTGAGGACTTCCAAGTGTATACTCAGGTGGCCAGGACATGTAAACAAGCATCCCCATCTTTTCGCCCTTAGCCCGGCCTTGTTTAACCATGAAGGGACCAAAACAGTCGACTCGGGTGCAAGTGAATGGCCGATCTTCTGGATGTACCCGGTCCTCTGGCAGTCAGCTTGGCATTGGTGGGTAGGCTTCCAATTGCTTCTTCGACAAATTACACACTTACGTAATACTCGGTCGATCAACTTACAGTACGGCACTTGGGTATCCAATATGTCTCGCGTAGTGCGGCTAGAGTGTGCTCGCATCCTGAGTGGCCAGCCCTATTCGAAGTACCTCTTGTAAGATAAGTTGTGTTTTTTTTTGTCCCTGGGTAACAGTACGGGGTTCTTTTGGTCTGGATGGAGAGCAGCACGCTTCAGTCGGCCGCCTACTCTGATCAGGCCGTCTGCACCCAGTTAAGGTTCCAGTCTGCTTACATCACCAGTCCTGAAGGAGTGTCCTTGTTCCAGTGCGTCCAACTCGTGGGGAAAACCCTCCCTTTGTATCAGTCGCAAGACAGCTAATCTTGCCTCATCCAACTCGCTGATCTTTAGTCCCTCACTCACACCTTCCTGCAGCAAGCAAGTGCATCTTGGACCATTCTGTCAACTTTGGCAAAACGCTCAACATTTTGATCCATTCCGTCAAACATCTGCATCCCCTTATTAATTGTAGCAAATGCCTCTGCCATTTGCTTCACTGAAAAATTTAGAGTATCTTCTTCCTCTGCATGTTTCTGTGCTTCCAGTTTGATAAGATCCTCGTTAATTAGCTCTTCTGCTACACTTTCAACCAACTGTTCAACATTTTCATTATCAATTTTTAACTCAAGCTGTTTACCCAACTCCACTATCTTGTTATTAATCTCAGAAATTACTTCATCTTCATTAAATCCTCTGAAACTGTTCACATATCTTTTCAGGACTTTCTTCCATATTCCATTCATGCACTGTTCTGTAGCCTCATCCCATGCTGCAATAATGTTCTTTATACATGTCAAAATGTTGTTGTCCTTCCAAAACTCCGAGCGTTTTCTCACCTTCAGTAGCAGCAACAGCCTGAGCGAAGGTCGTACATATATAATTAGCTTTAAAAGCTGCAATAGCACCTTAATCCATGGGTTGGATGACAAGAGGGAGTGTTAGGTGGAATGTAGACTACCTTAACATCAGGGTGCATGTCGTCCAGGTGTGGTCGGTGTCCCGGAGTATTATCCAAAATTAACAAAATTTTGAATGGAATCCATTGTTGCAGACAATACTCCTTGGCTCGAGGAAAGAAACAAGTTATGTACCAATCCTCAAACAGTACTAGGGTCATCCATGCTTTCTTATTACTTCGATAAAACACTGGCAGTGTGTGCTTGCTGACATGTTTAAAAGCCCTGGGGTTCTCTGAATGATAGATCATGAAAGGCTTTATCTTGAAACCAGCTACACACCCCCCCCCCCCTAACAGAAGTGCAATTCCGTTCTTGAATGCCTTTAATCCTGGCATTGTTTTTGCCTCTTTGTGGATGTATGTCCATTCAGGCATGCGCTTCCACAATAATCCAGTTTCATCCACATTGAATATTTGCTCAGGCAAATAATTTCCTTCCACGATGACACAATATAGCTCCTCCTTAAAAGCTTCGGCAGCACCAACATCAGCACTAGCTGCCTCTCCACTCGCCTTAACATTATGTAAACTGTAGCGGTTCTTAAGTCTGTTAAACCACCCATGACTTGCTGTGAAGGTTTGCTCGCACTCATCTCCTGCCTGCTCCTTCAGGCTTTCGAAAAGGCTTCTTGCCTTAGCTTGTATGGTTAGAAGGCTTAAGGGTACAGGCTTTTGTATCTGGTCTTCCATCCATATCACAAGCAATTTTTCATCTCGTGAATGGGACCTTGTCTTTTCTTCGTTATTACAGTTCCCTTTATAGGTGCTGATCCTTTCACTACCTCACGAATACGTTCATTGTCTTTCAAAATAGTAGATATGGTCTAGTGCGAGAAGCCTAGGTAGCATGAAATTGTTGCTACAGTTTTTTCCAATTTCATACTGCATTATTATCTTCATTTTCGTCTCAAAAGTAATTGACTCGCCTTTTCGTCTGAGCACTACTAGCACTCTCACTTGTACGCTTTTCAGTCATTCTAAAGTCAATTAAATACTTAAATAATGTCAGTACACAGCGCGATCAGTTGCAGATACGACAGCCAAACACCAACTAAGCGCTCTACAGCGTGGGTGCTGTAGCCACGCGGCGACCCAAGCCACGCGACGCTCTCGTACGGGATGGAAATGTTTCGGTATAGAAAATGCGCGCGTCATTTGAAAAAAAATTTGGTACCAACTGCAGCGGTCGTATGTGAGGGTGGTCGTTACGGACTGAGGCAGGTCGTAAGTGCGGGTGGTCGTAGGTCGTAAGTCGGGGAGGAGCTGTACAGTATTCCGAGACAATGGGTTTGGCCTTGGGTATACATTTATCAACCAAACTGTTCACTTTATTGATTATGATGTTCAGAGTAATAATTGATATTCAGTCAATTTGACCAAGGACAGCTGACAAAGCCATGAGAGGCTTTTTTCCAGTAGAGTTTTTATGCCAGCAGCATCTGGTGTTCTTACCAGTGAGTCAGGCCAGTGAATACCCCTCCATCCTGTCATAATTGCCATTGCAATATTTGAACCATGGCCTGATCTTATCATTAACCAAGCAACAGTTAAATCTGAAAGACAGTGTCACATGACAGCTTGTGTAAACAGGAGCTAGATGTTCCAACTTAGTCACCAAGTAATCAATTATGTACAGTAATACCCCGATTTACACGGTTTCGCTTTACGCGATTCTACATTTACACGGTACCTAGCCAGAACCGGAATTTCATTTTACGCGGTGCATCTACTCATATACGCAGGTGAAGTATAATTTTTTATTTAGCTCATACAACTCATACAAATTACCCGGCCAGAATATAATTTACATTGCTGGAATTCTTACAATATGATGATCATTTTGAATATAAACATCATGGATTTTGCATTAGACATACAAACTTTAGATCTAATGTAATAATTTGGTTTACATAAAGCAAATATTTTATCCTTTGTGCAAAATATATGAAGTTTACATTCAAAATATTCCCTGACCTGCAGGTAATCCAGAAATGTCAATTATATTATCCTAACTTTAGTTTGAGGTATTATTTATTACTATTCGTTAAAATCTAGTGTTTTCACCCAAACATTTCTCAGAGAGGTAGGAGCCAGTGAGCTGGGAAGGGGGGGGGGGGGTTGGTTGAGTCCATTATTTGAATGGACATTAACCTGGAGACTGTATTTCTCTTAAATATTAATTGTGTGTGCATACCATCATAAAATTAAGATGTTATTTTTACTACAACATAGGTATTGTGTCGGAAAAAGTGGAGTTTAGGGGTCGGGCCAGTCTCTATTGGAATTAATCCCATATGTTCTGTTGTTCACTTTAGGCAGTTTTCACTTTCCGCGGTACCCTGTGGGTTCAATTGACCGCGTAAATCGGGGTACTACTGTATACTATATCCTATTAACTACATTTCACAAGAAAATCCAGTATAAAAAAGGAGCTACTTTTTATAATACAGTACTGTACAATAAACACAGCATCAACATTAATTAGAACTCACCTGCACTGGTTAATAAAGGAGTCCTTATTTTTATGTTATATTTATTTGAAATTATTAAATGAACAGCATCTATGCACAGAACTGTCACCTGTATTCTCTAAAAATAAGTATTAATTTAAAAACCATACATCGGATTCACAACATCAGAAACCATAAGAGCAATTTCAGGTTGGGTTTTTTATAGGACATATGAATATCACTATTTCTTGAAAATAATATAACTAATATAATAATCAGGGTTAAATTTGGTTTGAACTGAAAACCTCAAGACTGGTTTATGCAAATGAATAGTTGAGTAATCCTCTTCCTACTGACAAACTTAAACTGCAAGTTCCCATTTCACTACTGACATTTAAATCAGCAGTTTAGTGGGTACTCAGTAACTTAAACAAAGCAAGAATTATCTAACAGTTTAATGGATAATTAATCTAGGAATGCAATAGTTCTAAGATTTGTAATACACATCTACCCAAACCACTAATATTTGGACCAGGAATCTAAATAGCCACAAGCAATAGAGAACTTTTAACAACTGAAGTATCCCAAGGCTTGGACTTTTATTTCAAAGAGAGAGCAGGAAGAACCTTGCCAGTACACTGGCCAAAACCAACCCTGAAATCATCACCTCGACAATAGCCAGTTATTACCACTTCATCTCCATCTTGAAGGAACTTACGAGTGGCTCCATTGCCAATGTCAACTGTTTTACTCCCACGCCATGACAGTTCCAACATTGACCCATATGAATCTTCAGTCTGTCAAGGCCAGAAAAATTTAAGAAATGAGTTATACCTGTAGTAATGCTGTGCAACACATGAGAGCATATGCAGTTTTGAAGATTAAAAAACTCAAACCTAAATTATCATGTTCTTGCAAGCAAAATTTGAATTTTTTGTGTAATATAAAAAAGACACTAATTGGCAAATACAGGCCATTCTTCCAATTATGTTAGGGTTGCATTCTTGAAAACTTGTACCCCCGTAATACAAAATTCTGTATATTGCCATGGAATTTTATAAACGCTTACAACAAATATGATGTAAACAAATCAAGCATATAAGAGCAAATATCGTACTGAGCCTAGCATGCCTCAAATTAATCACAATAATACGGTTCCTGCAAGACTAAAAATATTTAAGGTACACTGTAGGCGAGTAATGCCAATTTACTAATGCCGATAGTTTATTATTAAATATATTGACAAGTATAAAAAAAATTCAAACTTCATAATTATTGTACATGATAAGCAAAGGATGTTGTTCATTGTATTAACAATATATGGCAGTACGATGTAGTTGCAGTATACGGCAACAAGCACAAGAACTATCGGTACACAATTAAAAATGGTTATCTATTTCACCTAAAACAATACAAAATAAATGATGCTCAAAGGTAAAGTAAATATTGGATTGCCAATTTAGAACATTCAATAAACAGTACTTTATATTATTAATGAAAGTACTGTACACTGTGTTGGCAGTATACTGCAACAAGCGAACGAAGTTTACACTCGGGTGCTGGTAAATTATTCAAATATTTTATTTATAACTAAAAATATACTTTAAAAAGTTGCTTGAAAGTAAAGTTAATATTTAATGCCAATGTAAACCATTCAAGTTTTACATGTACCTGTACAGTGATATATCCGTTATCTGGAACAATTGGTGCAGAGCATTTCCAGGAATGAGAGATTTCCGGGTAAAAAGGCAACTCTCTCAAAGCTGGAAAAAATCCCTCATCCCCGGAATTTTCTGGGTTGCGGAAAAATATTCTTGGAAGTTCAAGAAATTGCGCATTATATCATCTCTTGGTAACATATTAAAATATTTCCCATCCCCAGAATTTTCCAGGTACCGGAAAAAAATTCTCGTTATTTCCGGAAAATGCACCTGGTTTTTATCTCTCAAACCCGGAAAAGGATCCCTCAACTCCGGAATTTTCCAGGTACAGGTAATGGGAAAATTTTCTCGGAATTTTCCAGAAAATGTGCCCCCTTACAAAATTTTAAATCCGGCTATCCTTCTTAACCGGAACTCTCAGATACCCAGAATTTTCTTGAAACGACCCAGGACTGTTTCCTAAGTCAACATATAACCGAACCCACCCGGGGTAATAATATACTCGATTTAGTTCTGTCAAACAGAGAAAACCTCATTAGTAATGTCGAGGTAGGGAACAAACTTGCAAACAGCGCTCACAAAGAAATTAGATTCCAGTCAGAATTTCAGGACAACCGTAAGGAAAATTCCACTAAAGTCCCAGATTTCAGAAGGGCAAACTTTGATAGTTTGAAGAGGCAATTGAGAGAAGGGGTATCACGCTTGGGGGTGAACTACACCGACCTCACCCCACCCATGAACTTGACGGTTGAAACCGACCTGATAACGAGATCTGAGGTTGCCAAGTTCCATGACAATTTAAATAATGAGTTACTTAATGCACAAAGGCAGAACATACCATACAAAAAACTCATATCAAACAACAATGACCCTAAATGGATAAATAATTATTTAAAGAACATTATTGGACAAAGGAAGGATATATTGTAGGTAGGAGAATAAATCGTGGTGAAGTTTACCTGAGTTTACAATAAGGTATTGGCCGGTAAGGTTAAGACCAAGATAAGAAAAGCCAAGAGGAATAATGAGCTGAAGATAGCAAGGGAGGCTAAGTCAAACCCCAAGGGATTCTATCAAATGTATCAAACTAAAACACGAGAAAAGATTGGACCAATACAGTCGGATACCGGCGAGCTAACTGATAACGACGGAGAAATGAGCAATAATCTGAATAAATATTTTTCAACAGTTTTCACCACCGAAAATTTAAACATGATACCCGAAGCTGACTCTATACAGAGATAGTGAAGAAAATAAATTAAGCAAGATCGTAGTGACTAGTAACGGTGTTAGTAAGCAAATAGACAAACTAAAGCCTAATAAGTCACCAGGTCCCGATGAGATATTTGCCAGAGTATTAAAGGAATGTAAGGAAGAGCTTAGTATGCCCTTAGCAAAGTTGTTTAACATGTCCTTAAAAGCAGGTGTAGTACAGAATCCTGGAGAATAGCGAATGTAATACCGATTATCAAGAAGGGAGATTCACCTGGAGAAGCACAAGTTGATCAATGATTCCCAACATAGCTTCACAAGCAGGCGTTCATGTCTAACTAATCTATTAACATTCTTTTCATCAGTTTTCGAATCAGTGGACGAGGGGCACAATTATGATGTGGTATATCTCGACTTTAGCAAAGCCTTCGACAGAGTCCCCCACGAAAGACTAATAAGAAAAGTGGAGACTCATGGCATTAAAGGTGATATTCTAAAATGGATTAGGGGGTGGTTACAGGACAGAAAACAGCGAGTGAGCATTAACGGCACTAAATCTCATTGGAGCAACATCACTAGTGGAGTTCCGCAAGGCTCAGTACTTGGACCATTATTATTTATTATATACATAAACGACATAGATATCGGCGTAGGCAGCAACATAAGTAAATTTACTGATGACACTAAAATTGGACGTGTAATTAAATCTGACGAGGACTCCACAAAACTACAGGAAGATCTAAACAAATTTTTCAAATGGTTTGAAAAATGGCAGATGAAATTCAATGTGGACAAATGTAAAGTACTCAGTATAGGAGATGTAAATAGGGAAACCAAATACCAAATGAACAACTATGTTATTGAGAAATCCGACTGCAAGTAAGATTTAGGAGTTATGATAAGTAGGAATCTTCAGCCAAGTAAACAACGTGTATTTGCTCGAAACAAAGCTACTAAAGTATTTGGGTTCATACAAAGGAGTGTTAGTTACAAGACTAGCGAGGTCATCTCAAAACTATACCTTGCGCTTGTGAGACTTCACTTGGATTACGCAGTTCAATTCTGTTCACCGTATTACAGAATGGATATAGAATCCTTGGAAAGCATTCAGAGGAGAATGACAAGACTAATCCCGGGCATTAGGAACCTTGAGTACAGAGACAGGTTAAAGCATCTTAATTTGCACTCCCTCGAGAGACGTAGAATGAGGGGCGACACATGATCGAGGTGTATAAATGGAAGTCAGGGCTAAACAAAGGGGACATTACAAAGGTACTCAAACTATCCAACCAGGAGCAAACTCGTAACATTGATTTTAAATTAAACAAATTTAGATTTTGGCGCGAAGTAGGTAAACATTGGTTTGGAAAAAGAGTAGTGGACGAATGGAACAAGTTACCAAATATCATCATTAACTCGAATACGCTGGATAGCTTCAAACATAGGTTGGATGGATATATGAGCAATAGGGGCTGGGTGTAAATGGGACTGCCCAGTATGGGCCAATAGGCCCGCTGCAGTTTCCTCCATTCTTATGTTCTTATGTTAATTGAAATTTTCTTGGAAAAAAGTTCCCAGTACCCAGAGAATTCTGGAAAATTTCGGGGATGGAGTTTTTTCCGGGTTTGAGAGATGAAAATCAGGCGCATTTTGCGGAAATTCTGATAAAAATTTTCTGATACTGTACCTGGAAAACTCCGGGAATGGGAGTTATTCTGGTAACACAGTAATGAGTAACCCTATTAAAACTGAATAAAGTAGAATATAATAAAAAAATTTAAAAGGAAAGACCAAATCATATGCTATGTGTACTAACCGGTCCTGATATGGTGCCAGAAGCCAACAGATCTCCAGGGCGAGTGTTACAGCCTGTGATGGTGTGGTGAGCCAGTTGCTGCTTCATTGTCCAGTACATGTTGCGAAAGTTGCTTTGACACACAGTTCCTACATGATCACTACCATCCGCTACAAAAGAGTATTAATATACTTGTAGAAGGATTGATTTTGAAACCCTGCTATTTGACCAAGTCCATGACTGCTTGGCCCAGGTGTATGTACTCAATAAGTTGTTGGGGTAGGGGTAAGAAGACCTTGACAGAGTGGCTGCAACTTATCTTAATTACCAGTAATTCTCCAATAGCTCTGCAACTAGAGCCTTATAAAGGGTTGTTTTTAAACAAAGGGGTTTTTCCCTGACAGACAAAGGAAGTACACAGGAAGCGAGGGCACTAAATTTTCTAAAGCAATGAAATAATATCTGAGCTGTTTATCCTCCTCCTAAATACAGTCATTCTGAAAGTGACACCTCTAACTAACACCAGAAAGGCAAAACACTGTCCTTGTATCACAAAACACTCCAAGGTCCTGCCACACTTGACCATTCCTTAGAATCAAAAGGAGTCCAAAATGAAACATTTACCTGTCAAATATGTAATTATGCAATAATCTATTACACACCAGGACCACATACAGCTTAAGGTGAAATGCACATAGTACAGTGTAATGAACTTATTATTATGCTGTATGCTCAATCTTAAAATATTACTAAATAAATGTACGTTTTCTGCGTAAAAGTACACTTTATTATAGATACAGGGTACTGCACTTGTAATGACATTTTCCTCTCATTAATTTAGGAGTCAATATTCATCACAACAAATTGAAATGGACATAGTGTAATGAAAGAATGTTAAGCTGCATGCTCATAACATAAAATAATAAATAATTGTATGTTTTTGGTGAAAATCGTACCCAATTACAAATAAACATAAACCTTCAACAGGAGGGCAACACTGAATCACAAACTGGCAATGGACCCTGTACATGAGGGCAACTCCCGGCTTTTCACCCATGTGGTAAGTGTTAATCTTTTTGTTAAACTGAAATAAGAATAATAATAAATTTGTTTTTATCGATTCATTTAACAAATAAAATATGAAGTAACAAAATATTACTTAACCCTCTCACGCACACAATAATTCTAAGTTTCTAACCATAACAAAAGTAGTATGTGACCACTCACGTGAGGTTTGTTCGCCTTTGTTCTGCGACCAATTTATTCCAAAAATAACTTTTTTTTGCATGATTTATACATCAATGACTTCATTATTGTTTTGGCCATAATGTACACAGAAAATAATGAATAAAATGAGAATAAGACTACCGGGTATTGTATATTTTTTCACTTCGAATAGAGAAACAAAAATAATTTTGTTCCCAACATCACATCTCATATTTTCTCAAACATCCACCCTAGTTACTGTGTAGAAGTGGAATTTTATGAGTTTTCCAACAGTGGCTTTGGAATTTTGATAAGACTAACCGTGGGGAAGATGAAATAAAGGACAAATGTGACCTACCAGCAAGGCTGACAGGAAGAAATTGATGAACGGTGGAACTCCACCCACATTTAGGTACTTTCTGGAAGATTCCCTCGCAAGATCATGCAGTCATTTATGATGTATGAAAATTTGACAATTATCTAGGAAAAACTTAGGAAGGCAAATTTTCTTAAGCTTGATGATAAAATTCACATCGCTGATGCAAATAGTACTACCTAATGATTTGACGTGATTTGCGTCACGATACACGAGTGGGTTAACTTATCATTTAAAACAGTAAAACACCATAATTCAAAACAATAGCGGCTCTAGCCCCTACCAATAATGATAATTTACAAAAGAGGGACACCTCCTGAGTTAAGAAAGGAACGGTACTTTTCTGTTATCTGTCCCAATCAAAATTTAAACTCCTCTCTACCAAATTTACCTGTCTGGTCCAGGGTTATCAGATATAATGGCTCAAACACTGAGCAATAATGGAAAAACAAGTGGTAAAAAGCTTGCGTGGTACACCATAGATATACACTCCACAAATGACCAACATGAACTGACAGTGACCAACATGCTGTCTGGTACAGTATACTTGTTTACACCGAGGCAAGCATCCAAATCCCATGGGGACATGTGCATCATGTATATTTATAAATGGCTCTCATAATCCCAAATTTTACCAAATATTAAAAAAAATTGTAATACAGACTACACGAATATATAGTCACTCCTCGACTTACGATGGGGTTAGGTACTCAAATTCAGGTCGTAAGTCGAAAATGCGAAGATAATACATAGAAAATCTAAAATGGGTGTATCTTTTTCTTCTCAGTACCACAAATCTCTCACTTTTAAGCATGCCAGCCATTTTAAATGGAATTACAAACGAAAATTTTGTCAATACACAGCACAATCACTAACGTCGGGACTCAAAAATACGTAATTTGAAAAAATTTTGGTATGACTGGGGCGGTCGTATGTCCTAGTGGTCGTAAGTCAAGTAGGTCGTAAGTCGAGGAGCAGCTGTATGTCGTAATACTGTATTTCATAATGTCTCATAGCATTTCAAAATTTTACTAAACATAACGAATTAGGAGTTAGTTCTGTTTTTCAAATTAGGGGGGGTTTTGCTGTAGTTCAATGGAATTATTCTTGGCTTTCGAGCAAAATGATCAATAACTTAGCCATAAAATTCTAGCTTGCTCTGAAGATGCTGCAATAATTCTTTTTCAATTGATAGAAGGGCCATGCCTTGTAATCTTTCTTGACCTTCAGGTATGTAATTCATTTCAAAGCAGAGAAGATGCAGTCGTTGCTGGCACCGTTAAAATTAATTCACAAAGACTAGCACTTTCTCAGTAAGTCTTTTCCAACTTATTCATCTTTATAAAAGAATTTTTTTTATAGTTTTATCCTTCAATTCTTCCAACATGTAAACAATTCCAAGTTGTGATTTCAGTAACAAAGAATCAAAGAAATTGTTATAGTTACACTTCGGGTACTGAAAAGCAAGCTCTGGAAATTTTCTAAACCTACAGAAAGATGGAGTGTAATTCTGCGAAAAGTCGTAAGAATGAAGTTTTCACATAACATTTTCATTGTCTCTTAAATTTGGGTTCATTTTCATTTATGTAATCACAGCTTGTTGTTTTCCATTGTTCTCAAACTTCTCTTTTCTGTTCTAAAGCCAGACAAAATTTTTTCACCCTTTTGACACGGTACCCAACATCATGAATTCTTGCCTGCAGTATGTTGAATAGTGGATCCGACAATGGGAAAAATGAGGTAAAAAGAATTAAGAGAAAGCAAAAATATAAATTAGTCATCATTCGTATTCAGGATCTCTCTTTTTTCGAATAAAGCAACAAGGGATTTTTTACACTCAAACAGGGTCAACTGTTTTGAAGTACTGTACTATATAATTCCAACAGGTAGGTGACAGTTGCATAAGTTTTTCTCATGGTCATTTCTTGATTTAGAGCATGTGTTCTCTTTATAGCTCTACTGAAAAAGGCTGAAATTCCAAAGTCTTGAAAAATACTTTGCTTTTACTTATTTTTGTTGTATCTTGTGATGTGATAAAACTAAATTTAATCTGTGGGCAAAGCAGTGTATGAATAAAGCAGTTGAATATTTTTCTTTGACTCTTGATGCAGGTCATTCAACTCTCCAGTCATGAGAGTAGTACTCTCATAAGTCTGAGCAACTATTTTGCTTTCACAATTATATATTTGCAGAAGACTTTTAACAAATGTGTAAAGTGCTTTTGCTGTTCTATCATGAGAGAGGTTTTCGAAGCCTAAAAACCATTCATATACCTTGTTATCCAATGAATAATGAAACACATACAACAGCTGACATAAATTGGTATTGTTCATAAGATACCTTAGGTTTAATATTTGTGTTCGTTTGTGCATTTAAGGTGTTTGTATGTTACTGCATGTTAAATTATTGCCAAGGTGTCCTTCTCCCTCTCTTGCACTGGTTCCGTGAACATCTCCCAGGCATTCAAGTTCGTGAAGTTTTTCTTTACTGGTGAATTTTACCGCAATTATGGCCCTTAATAGGAAAATTAGTGGCAGTGCTTGTGGTGGCTTGAGTGAGAAAAAGAAAGCCCATGCAGTACTGTGAGAACCTTTGTAGAAAAAGTCAAAATACTTTGTACAGTGGATTTACTAAGAAGTGGCATATCAAACTCTGAAGTTGCAATCGGTTACCCTAGCATAAAATAGGGGTACAGTATATGTATATATAGTACAGGGAGGACCCGAATTCACACTTATGCGGGATCCCAAGAACGTACTCCGAGATCCTACTGTATTTTACTCCTAAATTGTTCTGGCAAGGTGTATTTTTATGAATCTATACTGAACTCTGTTTTTTTTATGAATACTGCTCAACAGCTGTATACTACCAAACTGAACCATAATATACAATATATACTTCAACTTAGAAATGATCCCAACAATGTCACATTCTCAAGGTTTTACTATATGAAACACTCACCTTTAATTCCCACTTCAAGTTTGATGTCATAGGTATATTTATCTTCATGTTTAAGATATGGGAAGGGTTGAGGATCTTGAACATAGTTGTCTACTGTAAAAGGTGCCAGTGCCTCCATGGTCACCACCCATGGAGAAATTGTTGTTCCCATGTTCTTTGCCAAGAATGGACCAAGAGGAACGTATTCCCATTTCTGGATGTCTCGTGCTACAGAAAGATTACCACATTAAAATAATAATGAATAAAAGAGCTACGTACATGTTAGTTAAGAGTTAAAAAATGTAATAAAAAACATTCTAAAAACCAGTTTTGTGATATAGTAGTCCAGAATGCAACGTCTTGCTTCATACCAAGGTATGTAAATGCCTAGCATTAACTCGCCAGGCCAACATACAGGCAATTAAAACATCTAATAATTAATTAAATACGTAATACAGTACGTATTAGGACACGTCGCTACCTGGCATTTAATTGCAATTTTCAACACCCCCCTCCCACACCCTCCATCACACGCATTGCTACCATCATCTCTTGCCCTAGAGCGAGCAGTAAACAAATGTCAACTCTCGAGGGGTGAGATTTCGACATCGCATTCTGGACTATATCACAAAAACTGATTTTAGAAAAAAACGGCTTTTCGTTCAATCCAGAATGCGACGTCTGGCTTTGATTACCCGAGCAGGAGGTGGAGAGGAAGGCAACATTGCGTATAAGGCTCCACTAGCTTAGGTCCAGATTATAATTATAAACTTTTGGGAATATTTTCCAATACAGTGACCCCTCGTTTAACGAACACCTCGGTTAACGTAATTTCGATTAACGAACTGCCTTCCATAAGGATCTTCAATTCGGTTAACGAAAAAAAATTCGCTTAACGAACTTCTTACGAACCGACCTCAACATGTTTTCGCTTGCACTGACCGGGCAACCAGGTTTAGTATCAGTCCGCCAATACATTAATCGGTTCTAGGGCTTAAATTCCTTACTATTTTTGTAAATATCAAGAAGTTTATACTATTCAATAATTTTAAAAGTTTAATATTCAATTTTTTAGTCATTTTAACAATTATTGAACAAAATTGAAGGTAAAGTGACTAGTTTAATGCGCGGCATCCAGCCTCTTAACACAGCAAACAGGCGTCAGTCTCTCTCTGTTTTCACTGGAGGTAACATCTTGCTTGAGACTCTCTTCAACTAAACGCTTTTTTTCTGTGTTTCCAAGCAAATTATTGGTCATTTTGAAATATATTTTATATATTGACAATATATAATGCAGTGCAGCGTTGATTTAAAGAAAATAATCTTGAATTAAACCAGAGAGCTAAAATTTTATGGGTGAAATGGCACCATGGGGTGACTTCTCTTCCACCCCAATGCCTTCTCTTCTTCCTTCTCCTCCACCCCCATTCTAAATCCCATCATCATCATCATCATCCAGGAGCCTTCTACATACACACCTCAAAGTAAGTGAACTTTTCTACCATTTTTGTTGAATTTAGGAAATTTTCGGTGAGCTGGAACCAATTACCCAAAAACCCATTGAAACAATGGTTTCGGTTAACGAACGTTTCGGTTAACGAACGACCTTCTGGAACGGATTGAGTTCGTTAACCGAGGGGCCACTGTATTAGGAACATTTACCGGAAGGTAAAATGTTAATTTACATATCCCAATTAGGTTACTCACTTTATTCTGATGAGGAAGAAGGTGGTCCTGGTTGTGGAGATTGACTAGTTGGGGGAGGGGATCCCAGTACCACCACATGTGAAGCATCTTTCAGAGACAGATGAAGATAGCCGTTTTAAAAGGTTTTTGAAGATTTCCAAAAGCCCATTTCTTTGATCTGACTGAGGCTCATATGCCACAGAAAGACCACAGACCCTGCATATTTTCTGGTGTCATGTGCCTTTTTTTTTTCCAGGGTCTGCTTGACTCAATAACTGCAAAAATATTTTGTCATTTGACTAGGAGGCAATTTCTTACCATCTTGTGATGGGAATATACAGGGGTCTCAATTAGGGAATCTGGTTGACCAATCTTGAAGAAACTTAACTGGGCACAATATATGAGGAACCCTTGTCTCATCCATTAGCAGTTTTATCCTGATTGGTTGAGCTTGAAAATCCTCCATTTCATTTTTTCTTAGAATCTCCATAGGAAAAAGGGTGACATCTTCCTCAGAAAATACCAATAATGATGGATTATTGGAAATTGAAATCGGCTCACCGATTCTCATTCCTGTTGCTATTGCTAGAAGGAAGGCTGCCTTCTGAAGCAATCTATCCCGGTTCAGATTTATATTGTAATTAGGCCCCATAAGAAATTTAGGAACTTTATCTAGAGACCAAGGTGGGATTCTCTTAGGCCGAGGGGGGTCTCTGAATGAAAAAGGACGATCAGAGCATTTGATAAATTCTTGGGTTCAAAGTAATATTAAAACCCCACGCCAGAGGGTCAACCAATGATGACATAAGATGCAATTGTCGATCCCTGAAGGCCTTTAACTCTGAACAGAAAATCTAAAAATTCTAACACCACTGTTTCCGACAATGTGATTGAAGTTGTTAACCTGATAAATTATTGAAAAAGTTTTTAAGCTTGCTCATATTGCATAGAAGTTTGGGGTCTATGACCTGCTATCACTTGGTTAACTATATTGGAATTACCCAACAATCTATTTAAACATCTTTTGAGAAACTCCAAGCGTGAAGTGCCTAGGATATCTCAAACTGAGGGTGCAGTACCTGGTCTAGACATCCTTGTTGCAATTGTAGTGGATGCGGGCACCAGTCCAACAGATCCAGACACCACAGATGTAGGATCCAATATGGTGCAATTAAGAGGACCTTTCCCTGGAAGGATCCGAGTTTTTGAACCACTTTGGGCAACATTTTCACATGTGGCAACAGATAGATTGAATTCCAACGGTTTGAATCTATGAGTAGAGCATTTCCTAAAAGCCTCGATCGTTCCAGAGATGCACAAGTTGGCACCTTGCAATTGTTTTGCGAGGCAAACAGATCGATTTGTGGAGTCCCAAACCTCCTCACCAGACTCTTGAGCTTCGATATCTTTAGGGACCATTCTGTTTCCGTCGATACTGGCCTGAGACAGGACAACACATCTGCCCAATTGTTTTGTACCCCTGTTATGTTTATGCGTTTGTCTCAAAGGGAGTTGCTCAACTTCCCTTGACGGAACTCTCCTTTTGAGGAATGGTATTCTCATCCTATCTCAAACGCTTCTGTACAAACAACCAAGTCTGTTTGAGGGGGAGCCCTGGGAGATAAACCGATTAGATTGTCCAAATTTGTCCACCATGACAGACGAATCTTATCTGAATAGGGAGAGAAGCAATATTTTTGTTTCTGTGAAGCAACTTTGACCCCAGATGAGTTAGTTGCTTCTTCCTTACCCTGCCCAAAGGAACTACTATGGTGGCAAAATTCAACAGACCCAGTAGTTTTTCCCAATCATGCCAAGAAACCCCTTGCTTTACACAAAAGGCTTCTACTTGGTTTATCACATCTGTTTCCTTTGCTTCTGGTAGACTGACTGACTTCTTATTGGTGTCCCAATGGAGACCTAACCAATCCAATTTCTGACATGGTATGAGATTTGATTTGACCCAGTTTATCTTTAATCCTAGGTTTTGAATTAGTACGAGTGTATGTTGGGCCGCCCTTTGACAATCTTCGAAAGAGTTTCCCCACTATCAGCCAATCGTCTAGATAAGCAAAATTTCTTATGCCCTCCTTCGCAATGATCTCCCTGGGGACGTTCGCCAGTTTTGTAAACACTTTTGGTGCAATTATTAGTCCGAATGGCATCACTGTTAGTTGATAACTTACATCCCCCACTGCAAACACTAGAAACTTTCTGTATCTGGGAGCAACAGGCACATGATAATAGGCATCTTTGAGATCCACTTTTGAGATCCAATCATTGGGCAGAAGTAGATGCCTCAGATCATAAGTGAGCATCTTGATGCTTGTTTTGGTAATGAACTTGTTCAGTACGGAAAGATCTAAAATCCACCTCAATTTGTCGGTGCTTTTCTTGGGGACTGGGACCAAGTGAGACATGAAAAACTTCTCTTACTGCAACAGTTCTATCATACCTCTGTTTACAATTGAATTACAAATTCTGTGAGTAAGGGGATCCCCTGTATAGATGATATTCCCTAAGAGTAATCGCCACACTGGTAAATGAAGTAAAAACCCAGTGCAGAAACTAGAACCCTCTTCAGCTAACTAACAGCACAAAATAAGGGAGAAAGACTTAGAACATAGGAATCAAGCCACACGACCTGTCTCCTGAGTTGAGGAAGGATGGGGATTAGGGAAAATCTTCTCGACAGTATTCAGGATCATTTTTTAAAGAATACGAATGAAGCCGAAATTCAAATTCTAACAATCCGAATTAAGGAGGGTACAGTGTACAGTATAACCAATCTAAGTAGGAAAACATACAAATTTGATGAAAAAGCATCTGTATTAGATCCTACCAATAACTTCCAAGCTAATTTCAATTATGTACCTGAACCCAAGCACTAAAAACATGCTATTTCTGTTGACAACACTTTTTTTTTTAATGTTCTAGTCAGTAGTTACTCCAAAAAATTCATAAAAAGGCAATGCTGAATAGCAGTCCCATCCACAGCCTTATTTAGAATATTCTTACAATGTTTCAACACAATTTCACCTAGAACAGTGAAGGTCTTCTAATGCTTAAAGTATTTACATCTACAGATACACAGCTAAACCTACCAAACGTCTAGACAATGCCAGACACTATTGTCACAATCTCATTATTCTGTGTTGAAATGAAGAGGAATCAAGTTTAAATAAAACAATATTTATGACTACAGTGGTCCCTCGGTTAACGAATGGTTCGATTAACGAAATTTCAGTTAACGAATTAGCTCCCATAAGGATTTTCAGTTCGATTAACGAACAAAACTTCGATTAACGAAATCCTTACGACAAACAGGTTTTGTTGTGCGTATCAGCCGATCAACTGATTGACCAGTCCGTCAATACAATAATCAGTTCTATGTTTACATTCGTTTCCAGTGGAGTAAATATCAAGAAAGTTGGTCTCTTGAATATTTCTGCATTTTTTACATTAAAATAGTTGGTCATTCTGAAATTTAGTTAACGTATTGATAATATATACAGTACTGTATAGGGAACAGTTTTTGTGCGTCAATCAGCTGATTGAATCACCCTACAACGCATCTCAGTTTAACTTTGTTTACAGTGGAGTGAACATCCAGATTGTTGGTCTCTTGAATATTTTTGCATTTTTACATTAAAATTATTGGTCATTCTCAAATTTAGTTAACATATTGATAATATACAGTGCAGAAATTATGAAACAAAGAAGGCATTAGAACCAATACACTCTGTAAAGAATATGGCATGTCATCATCGACTGCCTCTACAATCAGCTGTTTGATATGTAAACAAAGCTGCCGGGAATACAACATACACACCTCAAAGCAAGTTAAAATACAGTATTTTCTTGTTTTTTATTTATTATTATACAGTATACTGTACAGTACAGTACTGTATTTAGTTTATATTTAATGTTTTGTGAATTCTATTACTGGTATACAGTACTTTGTGTGTACCTGTATAGTGATCCCTCGGTTAACGAACGCCTCAGTTAACGAAATTTCAGTTAAAGAATTACCTTTCATAAGAATCATCAACTCGATTAACGAACAAAAATTCGGTTAACGAAATCCTTACGAAATCGTGTCAACACGTTTTCGCCTGCTCACCAGCTGGAGTATTAGTCCGCCAATAGTGATCGGTTTTAGGGCTTAAATTCGTTACCATTTGAGTAAATATCAAGAAGGTTGTACTATTCAATAATTTTCCAAGTCTTATATTAAAAATTTTAGTCATTACAATTATTAAACATAATTGAAGTACAGGGAACTAGTTTTTAGCACGCCAAACAGCCACTTGACTCGCCCAGAATGGCGTCAGTTTGTGTGTCTGCTCAGTGGAGGTAACATCTTGCTCGAGACTATTTTTACGTTTTTACAGTACAATCATTGGTCATTCTGAAATTTATTTTACATATTGACAATATATAGTGCAGTGCAGTGTTGATTTAAAGAAAATAATCTTGAATTACACCAAGTGAACTTAAAATTTTATGGGTGAAATGGCAGCATGAAGCATGGGGTGACTTCTCTTCCACCCCACTGCCTTCCCTTCTCCCTTCTCCTCCAGCCCCACTTCTAATTCCCATCATCATCATCATCAACCAGGAGCCTTCTACATGCACACCTCAAAGTAAGTGTACTTTACTGCATTTATTTTTAGTTTGTATGTAATTTTCTGTGAGCTGGAACCAATTACCCAAAATCCCATTGAAACAATGGTTTCCTTAACAAAATTTTCGGTTAATGAACGACCTTCTGGAACGAATTGTGTTCGTTAACCGAGGGACCACTGTATACTTTTTCTGTGAGTTGGAACCAATTACTCAATATCCCATTGAAAAAATAGATACGGTTAACGAATGATTTTGTGGAACGAATTGTGTTCGTTAACCGAGGGACCACTGTACTCTCTTCTCATTAAACACAACAACAGAAGCTGTCAATATTTACCACTCCAGTCATTCATGAGAACCATGCCAAATATGTGCTTGTGGGCATCCTTTATGTTGATAGGCTCTCCCATTGTGTTCCCTGGGCCAACAAAGAAGGCCATTTCAAGTTCAAAATCCATCAGTCGACATGGCCCAAATACAGGGGGTTCGTCATCCTTTGGACGGGTTTGGCCATTTGGCCGGTGGATGGGTGTACCAGACACGACTACACTCGAAGCTCTACCATGGTAACCAACTGGTAAATATTTCCTGTAATCACAAAATGGATAAATTTAATTATTCTGATATTTTATTCATAAATTCAACTCAAATGATAAGAGAAATGATAGAAAATATAACATCAACATACACATCTTGGTCGAAGCAACACAGTGATCCAATGATATTTAAAAAGTAATAAGAACTTAAGTTCCTATGTCAGATTTAAAGAAGTTTATTACATTTGTATGAGAGTAGTCCACATTCATAAAAAATAGGAAAACTTTATGTACAGTACAAGCATATTAGCATGGTTTGAGTACCAAAGATGATTGTCCTTAGTGTCTCAAACTAAGTTGGACTTTCACCTACTATAAAAAAAAAAAAAAAAAATGTTATGAACAGTGATATCTTGGTGAATGAAACCCATGATTCTAGATTTCTTTGGTGAAAGGGGGATGATATAATTCATTAAATTTTTCATCAAATCAAAATGTCCTTGATACAAAAATTATAGCCCAATACTTTAATGTATTAATATTGTATTAATCCTGAAGTGCACTTCCTGTACACAGGTAGAACTACTGTAGTACTGTCAAGGTCAATATATATTACTGTAATAGCAGACCCAGATTTACAAAAAGGTTCCATTCTTTAACACCTTTCACACATTGATTTTATATCAATCGAAGCACATTTTCCCAGATTCCCCCATTATAAAAGATGATACAATATTACCAAAAAAAAAAAGTTCCCCAAAGTCTTAAAATGCCTCAAAATGCTACAAAACATATTTCTAAACCATTACTAGTAAAAATCATAGATCTAGGTCCCCGAGCGGCTTACTGCGAGTGGTCTATAACGTAGATATAAAATCCCTGCAGCGTCTGAAATGGCACGGAAAGATTAATATATTTAAAATATGACCAATGGAAACTTCTCAAGACACATCAGCCTGTTTCAGCTATCTCTATCCCTCCACAACCCTCCTCCTAGTCAGGTGATGCTGTTAGGCAAGGTGTGATAGGGAGACGGAGAGTGAAACGAGGCGGTTGCGAGGAGAAATGAAGTGGTTGTGAGGGAAACGCAAGGCTTCGTTTACCGATCCTGCCACCACTATACCCACCCACCCACCCACACCCAGCAGCTCTCTCCTCGCTACCTCCCAAGTTTGCTGCCCTCATCACAGGCTAAGAAATATGGCCAGAGACCTTGCACCCTTTTAAGCCAAAAAAATAAATTATTATATTATAAATGATAGACGTGCAGTACAGTACAGTATAATACTGTACTAATTCTATGGATGTACTTAAGAGAAACTGGATGATAATAGAAATGGTGAACAGTATGAGATGCTAAGCTAACATCCATAACAATTATATTACCCTAGTACTGCAATACCAAATACACGGACTCCCATTATTTACAATTAGAAATGTTCTGAGAAAAAATAAACATATAATCCCCTGATGAGATCTGCTTTGTTTACACGGCACAAATGCCACTTCACCAGTCAGTTGGCACTCCACTCACCTTCCCTTGTCGAGTTGCCAGGATTCTCCGCACCTCAATACTTTTCTTTACTTCCAAATTCCACAATTTCTCTTACAGGCCTACACCTTTATTGCCCATTATGATCAACAAATGAAATTTAAGAATAAAGAATAATCAATTTTTTTTTAATTTTCCACATATAATATGAGAGTAAATGTTGAGAAATTGGATATAGTGAGGTAGTGCAGAACACAAAACAGCAAACAATGTTCTTGCCATGAGGTAGCAGGTTGAGCATAGGTAATTTGATTCTTCTCTCCATCATCCATGAACCAAGAAACCAACAATTGAAGTCGGTGAGAAGATTGACCCATTGACACTTGCCAAACATCCAAAAGCCTCAGTGTGCAATGAATTAAACTGTCCATCAACTATGCTGTCAATTATAGAACATGCACAAAAAGACAATGATGACCTACGAAACTTTTCTATTTTTGTCAATGTGGCCATTTTCAACATGCACATTTTATACCTGAAGAACAGGCAAGAAGTGAATGCTGGAAGATTTCTCTCCAGAAATTGTGCTCCAACTGTTGAAGGTACAATACACACAATGCCTTGCTCCACATCTGGAAGTCATCAGCAAGCAGGGGGCAATATGCCCCACCATTTCCCAGCTATCATACCAGCAACAGCCACCAAAAAATGAGCACAGAAACCCTTTCCTATGTGCAAGAAAAGTGTTGCAGCCCAAAGTGAGGAAAGACATCAGGTACCAATGCACTTAATGTGATGTTGTTTTATGCCTCATTTCTTGTTTTGAGCAATACTGTACCACACACTGCAGCAGTACTAAGCAAGTATAAAATGAATGTAAATACTGTATATCACACAAACATTAGTGCAATCCAAGTGAAAGAAGAAGTTGTTTAATATGTTGTGCAAGTGTGCATTACATATAAAGACTGCCGAATTAGGAAAAAATTTAGCTAAATTACAATGTTTTGATATAACAAGTGGTGTCTCATTGTACAAACAAGTGTCTTACTCTTTGCCCATGGTTGTCTGACTTTTATTGTTTACATTTCTATTACAGTGGTAAAAAAAATGAATTAATTATATATTTTGTTCTGTACAGTGGTAATATGCAGTACAGTACAGAACAGTGAATTGTGGTGCTAAACTACAGTACAGTTGGCCCTTAACATACGCAGGTTTAACTTACACGGATTTGGAAATACGAGGATTGCCGCTGGAGGAATATACATTCAAAGGAATATGCAGTGGTCCCTCGGTTAACAAACGCCTCGGTTAACGAAATTTCGGTTAACGAACTGCCTCCCAAAAGATTCTTAAATTCGGTTAACGAACAAAAATTCGGTTAACAAATTTCTTACGAACCAACCTCAACATGTTTTCGCTTGCACTGGCCGGTCAACCAGCTTTAGTATTAGTCCGCCAATACATTAATCGGTTCTAGGGCTTAAATTCCTTACTATTTTAGTAAATATCAATTAGTTTATACTATTCAATAATTTTAAAAGTTTAATATTCAATTTTTTAGTCATTTTAACAATTATTGAACATAATTGAAAGTAAAGTGACTAGTTTAATGCGCGGCATCCAGCCTCTTAACACAGCAAACAGGCGTTAGTCTCTCTCTGTTTTCACTGGGGGTAACATCTTGCTTGAGACTCTCTTCAACTAAACACTTTTTTTTCTGTGTTTCCAAGCAAATTATTGGTCATTTTGAAATATATTTTACATATTGACAATATATAATGCAGTGCAGTGTTGATTTAAAGAAAATAATCTTGAAATACACCAAGTGAACTAAAATTTTATAGGTGAAATGGTGCCATGGGGTGACTTCTCTTCCACCCCAATGCCTTCTCTTCTGCCATCTCCTCCACCCCCATTCTAATTCCCATCATCATCATCATCATCCAGGAGCCTTCTACATACACACATCAAAGTAAGTGAACTTTTCTACCATTTTTGTTGAATTTAGACAATTTTCGGTGAGCTGGAACCAATTACCCAAAACCCATTGAAACAATGGTTTCGGTTGACGAATTTTTCGGTTAACGAACAACCTGCTGGAACGGATTGTGTTCGTTAACCGATAAACCACTGTACATTATTCAAATCGCGCGCGACACCACACACTGCACACCACACACATCGCCCGCATTCCCTCAGTCAGTCAGTCTCGCTGTAACCACGCTTGTATTGACATCAGCATTGTAGTTGCAAAAATATTACATTTCCGTGAATGTATTATATCAAGCACAGTATGAATAGAATATCACTAATACAAAAGTATTTCAACCGAAAACTATTAAAAAAAACGAGTAACATATCTTGAACATCAGAAGGTTAGGTAGGTCTTTTGTTTTCATGTAATTTATCCTAATTTACATTGAAATACATTACGTTTCAGCAAAACTACTACAGGTAGTTCTGCTATAACGCGATAATTGTGTTCTTGTAAAATATCGTGTTATAGAAAATCGCGTAATAGAAATAACAGGGCTTATGGAGAAAATAGGGTTAGGTGCAGATTACTCGAAATCGAAAAAATTTAGTATTTAGCCTAACACAAAGGATAGCACAGTCTAAATAAATGTTACATTCATATCTAATAATGAAATCATACAGTAAATTTAACACTTTACCTTGAAAAAATATGAATGTAACTTGATGGGGGAGAAGGGTGATTTTGAGGTTGATAACATTGAGCTTCTCTTCAAGTGTTATATCCTTTCTTTTACGATAATCACCGGGAATTCTATCATCAGAGCGCCTTTTGGAGATATTCTTCTTTACCATATTCACAGTTAATACCACAAAATTGGAGAAATAGTAAGCAAAAATCGCGTTATAGCAAACAAGCGTTCGCGTTATACAAATATTGTTCCGAATTCATAAATCGCGTTAGAGCAAATTCGCGTTATCAAAACACGCGTTATAGCAGAACTCCCTGTACGTGTATTTATTTCTGAGAATATGGAAATGTAATATTTTTGCTGAAATGACGTACGTATTACAGTGGAAAGTGGGATAAAATCGTGACGAAAGCAATGACTTTCGCTTTCTTTCGTTCAAAAGATGTTACCGTAATCGCTTTTCGAATGGTTTTCAGTTAAAAAACTGTTGTATTACAATAATATTCTATCCTAATTCACTTGTGATGCAAACAGTTTTTTAACTGAAAACCATTCGAAAAGCGATTATGGTAACATCTTTTGAACGAAAGAAAGCAAATGTCATTGTTTTCGTCACGATTTTATCCCACTTTCCACTATAATACGTACGTCATTTCAGCAAAAATATTACATTTCCGTGAATGTATTATATCAAGCACAGTATGAATAGAATATCATTGTAAAATAATAGTATTTTAACCGAAAACTATTAAAAAAACGAGTAACATCTCTTGAACATCGGAAGGTTAGGTAAAGTCTTTTGTTGTCGTCAGGTACTTTATCCTATTTTACATTGATATACATCACGTTTCAGCAAAACTACTATTTATTTCTGAGAATATATTCATTCAGGCACAGTTTAGGTAAAATATACATGTGATGTAACAGTTTTTTAACTGAAAACGATTCGAAAAACAAGTACCCCCTAGCCCTGTTCAAGGAGAAGACTGGGAGGAGCTGTTTCGTGCTGAAGACGATGACAAGGAAAATGATTTTGATGGATTTTAATGAAAGTATCCAGAAATATGGTATCGTAGTATTTATTCAAGTGAATTAGGATAGAATATTATTGTAATACAACACCTTTCTTAACTGAAAACCATTCGAAAAGCGATTACTGTAAAATCTTTTGAACAACGAAAGAAAGCAAAAGTCATTGTGTTCATCATGATTTTATCCCATTTTCCACTGTAATATGTACGTAATTTCATCAAAAATATTACATTTCCATATTTATTTCTGAGAATATATTCACTCAGTCACAGTTAAGGTAAAATATACTTGTGATGTAACATTTTAATGAAAATACGCGGTACAGTGAACCCTCACTTTACGCGGTTAATTCAACCCACAGGGTACCGCGGAAAGCGAGAAACGCGTAAAGTGAACAACATAACATATGGGATTAATTGAAATCGAGACCGGGCCGACCCCCAAACTCCACTTTTTCAGACACAATACCTACGTTGTAGTAAAAATAACTTTTTAATTTTATGATGGTATGCACACACAATTAATAATTAAGAGAAATGTCAATAATATTAGGTTTTTTAACACTTACATTAGTAGAAAAAATGGCTGGGCACACGGGGATGGGGGGTTGGTTCCGAGGCAGAGGGCAGATTATTGGCCCTCACCTGTATCACTTGTATCAATTGTATCACTATCCACCACAGAGGCTTGCAGGGCCTCTTTGTCAAACCCCTCAAAGTCCATACAAGTCCATATCCTCACTATAACTATCACTGACTTGGGCCAGCTGTGGTGGGTGAAGAACTCGGTAATGTTTGATGACTGGGCGACCTTGTGCGCACCCTGCTCGCGCCGCTTACAGAACATGGCGGGAGGTTTGGATCCAAAAATGGCGCGGCTCGCCAGCCGCTGTCAGCGTAAAGGGGTACACGCACCGCGGAATGTGAGCATTCCGGTTTCGGCAGGGTACCGCGTAAACGTGGAAACGCGGAATGTGGGACCGCGTAAAGCGAGGGTTGACTGTATTTAGAAATACGGTATCATAGTTTTCTTTTGTTTCAAATTTAATTAACAAAGACTGACGTTTCAAATGTAATGAACAAAAATTTATGTATCTATAAATAAACTTTAAAAAATGAATACTTTATGTTTTACATCGTCCTGTGCTACCACATACCATGCATTTGGCTACTTTGGGCTTGCTATGATGATGCAAGAGATCTGCCCTGGCAACTGTACCAACACTCACAGCTGGTGGTGCGTCGTTTCCATTGTTTACTGGTAGTTACTGGTAAATATTTTTCAACCTAACGAAACTATTACCCGTTCAGAGGTCGACCCTTAATTTTTTGAGAAAAATTTCGTCTTAAAAACTCAAACTACACACAGGTATATACGGTAAATAAGGACACGGGGGTCCAGGGGTGTTTTTAGGGGGGGGGGCAGCAAAAATACGCAGATTCTTAACATTCACGGGTATCTCTGTTACTTAACCCCCTCATATGTTAAGGGCCGACTATACTGTATGACCTCTCTATACCAAAATAGTTGGTGAGCAGTCGGTTCTGTATAGGGAGTTTTTCAGTGTTAAAAGAATCCAAAAACTTGTCCAATAACGAACTTTGTTCGGTATATAGTATTTTAAAGTTTGGTATTTTCAGTCCAGATAAATTGTTGTAATACCAAATTATTTGGTTATATAAATTATAATTTGGAAACTCAAGACTAAAAAACATTAAATACCTGTATACATAAAAAATTCAGTTATACAAATATTGTACAAAAGAGGTTCTTTATTACATAAACAGCTCCTTCCCTGGCTGCTGTCTGGTCAGCTGTTCATCAGTGTAAACAAGGCATCAGGAATTTAATAGGATACAATAACTAATGTGGGGTAGTGCGATTTTTTTTTTTGGGATAAAAATTAATTTATGATAATGTTTTATTAAAACCAGCACTAAATGAACCTACATAATATTGGAATTTGGGTGAAATTATGGGGGTTGAAGGACTGGAGGAGGGAATTTTCCGCCCAATCCAGCCAGCAACCCGCTTTTCCTACCTTCTCTCTCCCACAGAATTATTTTCTTTACAGGGAACAGTACTCACTTTTCTTATTCTATAGTTTTATATTATATTTTCTTTACTTCTAATTTAAATTACAGCATTGTAAGACAATACAGTATTATAATTGAATATTTGAGGAGGGGTTCAGTATAGTATGTACTAAAGCAAATTCTTTTGGAAAACAGTGGTACAGTACTGGAATCTGAGAAGGGGTTTGGTATATAGCAAATTTCAGTTGATAGAAGTTTGGTATATACCTGTACGATGTTTTTATGTGATAATAGTAGGCATCTAAAACATAGGTTACATAAAATGAAACAACCATAATAATAGCTGTCTTTGGGAGTCTTTTAGCCAAATTTAAATTTCTTGGGTTACTTTTCCTACAAAATATTGCTATCTGTAAGACACTAATCTTTCATGAATAATAAAAAAAAATAGAAAACTCGTGTTTTTTTTTTATAAAAATATAAAAAGGTCAAGTTAGGTAAAAAAAATTTTTACAAAGAAATGGCACTCATTGAGGACTGGCCTATAATCCCAGTATTGAGTGAAAGGGTAAAAAAAAAAAACAAAAAAAAAAACTTACCAGTTTGGCATTAGGGCATTATCCTTGCCTCGAAACATCGTGCCCACATTAGTTGCATGTTCAATAGAGGAATAGAAGTCCGTGTAATCCCCAATGTCAGCTGGAAGATGCATTGCAGCAGAACTCTGGGGCACAAAAGCTCTGGAAAACACAAAATATTACACCCAATTAAAATATAAAGACAAGGCATGCATGTCTCCCTATATTTGTCCCCTATTTAGAGCACTTGAATAGAACATTCTCCTTAAGGGGAACATTTGGTTTAGAACAATTAATTTTGTATTTTTTGGCTAATCACTTTTATATTCATGACGTTATTCAAGGATAACGTAAGCATGAATTTAAGCCCCATAAACCCCACCTCCCTTTAATTTTTTTTACTGCACCCACAAATTTGTCTATTTTTTTCTTAAGTTAATACCATCATAACTAATGATTCATTGGACATGAAACTTTTTCTACTAAAAGAATAAGGATCGTTCTTGACAACTACATATCAATATATTCTTTTTTTTATCCGAATTCTGGAAAAAAAATTTAATTAAATAAAAAAATTTGCAAAAATTTTTCTGAAAAAAAAATCCCCCAAAACACCTTACACGACAATAAAAATAAAAATGTTTAGCTTAGTGGAATATTGGCTTATCTTTTAACTGCTTTTTGTTTCACTGATATAGGTAAAAATATTAATTTTTTATGATTGAAAAGGTCAAGTTTCAAGATACGGGCGACTCGGGAGCCACGTGACACCCTCTACCTCAAACGAGCAAAGTGCTCACTGTCCTGAATCAGCGTCTCTCGGGGAGAGAGAGCAGCAGGGAGTGGGGAAATGTTGCCTAGGTCGAATATCTTCGAGTAATTTTAGTGACAGTTTTAGGCTGGATTTGTTAAGATTTTTACAGCGATCACCGACAGGTTACCCTTTGGCGGCACAGGTTGGGGGTGGGTTAAGATGCAGACAATATAAAAGTTTCTTCCATGCCTTACCCAAGGCCAGCCACGGTTGCTCATTCTTATTTGCCATGGTAGGTGGACCCTTTCAATAACCTTTTACCATGTGCAACAGTCATCAGTTGCCATCAACACCTCAAGAAGCCTAAGCATCCCTTAGGTTCTCCCTCTACCACTCCAGTCACAAGAAGCCTTATAGGAATTTCTCCCCGAGGGATGAGAGCGAGATAAGTGGCATAGTGTGACAAGTCGACCAATCCAGTTGAGTAAGAAATTGTCTTAAAAGAAATTTTGTGTTGTGTTTTGTAGACTGACCAACATCGTTTACATTTAAATAAGGTTCACTGCCTCCTCCTGTTTCCATACTCATACAATCTGTCTCACTTCAAGAAGCTGGTTTCCCGGCATCTTTGTGGTGTAGATTAAGTCTTTTTCTCTTCTATTTTTAATTTCTTTTTACTCTTATTTTTTTACCCCCTAGGCCCCATTGTGGGTCGTTGACCTGTGCCTGGGTGGGCTATTCCCCGTAGAAAAAAAAAATTGGCGAGTATTTTAGAGACGCAATACTAAAAGTTGACCTTTTGTCCTGCGACAACATATACCTGTTCCAAAACCGAGTTTAGTGAAATAATGAAATGCAACAAAATAGGAGGTTGAATACATCACACAGCTGGTAGTCCCACTGCTTACCATACCCAAGCAGATGATACAAGTGACATTATGTACATTTTCTGATTATCTATATACTGTATGTCATGGCAAATAGAAAATCAATGCACTTTTAGTTTATACAGTAATGGTTAAATATACATTTTCCATCTTATAAAATCCACTGGCATTTGTAATACAGTAGTGTTCATGTACAGTAATACTCTGCATAGAGCAACACTGGTCAACACTGCTTAACTACAGTACTCCTGATCCCAGAGAGACTTTTAACAATAAAAAATAAAAAATGTACATAAAATTTCAAATAAATTAAAATGAAAATATACACAAAAATTTATAAATAAATTACAATTCTAAACCAATTTTTGTCCAATGTACATTTTCAGGCTTTTGGCTACTGTATCATATACTGTACAGTACAGGTACTGTATACAGTATACATAATGTATATAAAATGAAAACTTACTTGGATCTAAGTTTCTGGTCATCACGAAGAGCCGAGTTACTTTCACTCAGTAACGTCTGCAGGGTTGACCTGGCTTCCTTCCATGCCTCATTGCCCAGGCTCATTAACCGATTGAGGGTGGTCTAGAAGCAAGGACTCCTTAATACTGTACTCCATCTTATCAATAATTACCTAAAGTATAAAAATTGCCTAGTATAACATCCATTTCCCTCCAGACACACGCCAAGAGATTTTAGCGAGCTAGAATAATGTTCTTGCATCTTACTCAGTAACAGAGTCCAGGTCAAAATTTCAACCCTAGGTTCCACTTGTTTTTAAAAAGCTAAATGAATCAAACTGCCATCTCAAGCTCTTGAGCCTGAAAAGGTTTAGCATAAATAAAAAATTAGTTAACCAATAACAGGGATTAAATAATACGGTGGCTTAGTAGTATTTTAACACTAATTTAATTTCTAATACGCAACATTAACACCAGATCAAAGATACAGCATGTAAATTTATTAAGAATTTCCATTAGTGCAGAATATTATCCCTCTCTGGCACAATTCAGTTGTGTGGTATAACAGCAGCCAGCTTGCCTCAAACTAATATGATCTGGGTTCAAACCTGGATTATATGGGGAGAAGGGAGCTGTGACCATTTTAAATTTTTTTCCCAGGGACTTTGGTGTTCTTCTGTAGTAATACTTGACTTGTGAATGATAACCTCACCAGGAACAAAGGGGGTTGAAAACACATCAGCTACCTTCCCTTGGGAAACCAGTACATTAATGTATACACAGAGCCGTTCCTAAAGGAGTGCGGGGCTATTATTTTTGTATGTATGCATGCCTTTTGCCACACACACAGACCGGCAGCCCCCCACCCACCTCGCGCAGTCCGCCACTACAACAAAATTCAGTCCATAAGAGCCCGCACCGATAGATATAAGAATAGCACCATCCCATCTATTGTTAAAATAATAAACAACTCCTGATTTATGTACTGTACAGCCTTGTAAATGTATTCAATGCATATTATATCATTATGTCTAAATCAAATGTAAGTCTGTATATTTTCAGATACCAGCTGCAACTCTATTAATAAACTGTTTATTATTATTATTAGAAGGCGACATCTCTATCAGCCCGAAAAATTGGTGCAGAGCACTTCCGGGAATGAGAAATTTCTGGGCAACAAGACAACTCTCGAAGCCGAAAAAGAAATCCCTCATCCCTGGAAATTTCCGGGTAACGAAAAAATTTTCTCGGAAGTTCCGGAATGATGCACTATTTCATCTCTCAAAGCCAGAAAAAACCCTCATCACCGGAATTTTCAGGATAACGGAAAAATATTCTTGGAAGTTACAGAAATTGCGCATTACAGTATCTCACAAACCCAGAATAAATAACCCCAATCCCAGGAATTTATGGAATTTTCCAGGTACCAGGAAAATTTTCTCAGATTTTTCCAGAAAATGTGACCCTCGGAAAATCTTTCCCAAAGCCAGAATTTAAGGAAAATTTGGGGTTTGGGAATGATTTTCATGAGAAAATTTAAATTACAGCTATCGGAGAGTTCTGGGTTGGAGGGATTCCATGCAAAAGATTTTACTTAAAACCTCAATAGATCAGACTAAATGAGGCAGACCCCATTAAAAAAAAATGCGAAAGTCCCCAAAAAGCGAATACCCTGTAGTACTGTATATGGAAGGGGGTTTGTTGTTGTTGTTGTTGTACTGTATAAAGAAAATCAGGTTTTATTACATTATTACTGCACTTCAACAACTAAAGTCTTTAAGTGTATAACAAGGTTATTAAAAGAATATTACAAACAATAAAACAAATATGAAACAACTCTCTGGGTTGAAAATCAGACACCTAAGTCTGGTTGTCAACAATTGTTGTCACCAAAGATGATTGTTATTTACTGTAAAGTGTTACATGTAAGTAACCACAGAATTTGTCTTATGAATAAAGAGAAAACTGTATACTGTACAGTACAATAAAGATAAAAACAAGAACAAATAAGTGTAGGAGTATTGTAAGCGCCTTCCGGACGTTTAAAGGTTAATCAGACTCTTCACGTTAAACTCAAACGTTATAATTCGGTCAAACCTGTTGAATACAATTCATTTTAGTATTTCAAATAAATCATACATAGGCAATCATACATAAATGTTTAATCCAATATATATTTACATAACAATCATAGCTATGTAATTAGCCTAATCTTAACACTTGCAATGAGTACTTAATTTGCCATATTTTATGTTGTCACAATGATAAACGATGCAATGGACACAGTCTATCTGTGTACACAATAAGTACCAGTTAAACTTACGTGTTGAAAGTCTCAAGAGAAACCAGGTTAGGTGTTGCCTCTCTGATATGGACAACTACAGTGACAGCCTGGTCGCCTGCCCAACCCTCGCTGGTCGGCGAGGGCCGAATCAGGTGTTTATACATAAACAAGCTCCCCTTACACACTCCAACCTCCTCTGGGTGTCTCATCTTCCACCATCTCAATACTCTATATACTGTATATGGGCCGGCACACCCAATAAACATGTGACTTACAGCCTAACATAAGGTTTGTTTAGGGGTCATCCTACTCATTACTGCTTGTGGTAACAAGTATATTGTATGTGAAAGACGAATGTTTACCTAGGAGCAGCTGGCAGAGGGGGAGGGGGGTAGCACAAGTGGGTTGCTCCCTCCCCCTCTCTCCCACAATTCTTATATAATTTAGGATCATTTGGTGCGAGGTTGATAAAATAGTATCCCAAAAGAATCGGCTTTCATGAAAAAAGAATCCTACTCTGAACACCATGAGTCATTTGTTTACAAAGAGCAAAGAGCTCTGTCTGTCTTCAACACTTCGTTAATCAGTACAGTGTGTATTTATCATCGCTTAATAAATACTATTGTAAGGTATTTATCATCGCTTAATAAATACTATTGTAAGGTATTTATCATCACTTAATAAATACTATTGTAAGGTATTTATCATCGCTTAATAAATACTATTGTAAGGTATTTATCATCGCTTAATAAATACTATTGTAAGGTATTTATCATCGCTTAATAAATACTATTGTACGGTATTTATCATCCCTTAATAAATACTATTGCAAGGTATTTATCACCACTTAATAAATACTATTGTAAGGTATTTATCATCACTTAATAAATACTATTGTACGGTATTTATCATCACTTAATAAATACTATTGTAAGGTATTTATCATCACTTAATAAATACTATTGTACGGTATTTATCATCCCTTAATAAATACTATTGCAAGGTATTTATCACCACTTAATAAATACTATTGTAAGGTAATTATCATCACTTAATAAATACTATTGTACGGTATTTATCATCCCTAAATAAATACTATTGCAAGGTATTTATCACCACTTAATAAATACTATTGTAATAAGACAGATGCCATATTGTAATATTTCATGATAACAATTTATAACTCATCACCACTTAATAAATACTATTGTAAGGTATTTATCATCACTTAATAAATACTATTGTAAGGAATACAGGCTTTTTCCAGCAAAGTCTTCAATCAATTCACGATAACACAAACTTGCTGCCAGTTCCTTTTCGATGGAAAGCACAGGTAGTCTACTCAACCTCTCTTGAGACATAGTTGTCCTTAGATAGTTTTATATCAATTTGAGTTTAGATAAACTTTGCTCCCCTGATGCCACTGTGACTGGACAAAATCCTATACTGTACAGGGTATGCTATTTCTGCATTAGGAAAGGAACCATTGAGAGAGTTTATTGACTAAAAGACTAAGTGCATTTTTTTTTCTTTGGTAAGGAATTCTCAAGAGTACTCCCACTTCTGAAAACAACTTAGCTTCGTCAATATTGTGAGAATATGCAATACTCAATGACTTGTCCAAAGAAGAGTTATGCTTGAATAGGTACTGCACAGCTGCTATAATACGTGTTAGAACCGATCGCTAATGTTCCTCTTCTTTATTCAAGTCTTGTAACATGTGTGTATCTACGGTAATCACTGAACACAACCTTCTTTTCACTTCTATCCATTTGGTTAAATTAAACAAGTGTTCATTTGGTGACTCATGAGATTTTAATTTTCACTAAAATGCTTCCAATCAGCACAGCCATCTTTTACTAGTTTATGTGTTGCATTTGAACTGTATAATTACTAACCCGGAGAGCGTAAGGCCCCTGGAAGCACTAGACCCCCCCCCTCCCTCCCCTCGGGATGACTCTGTGTATACAGTACCATATTAGGGAAAAAATGGAAGTTATACATGTACTGTACAGTACTTAAATAGCACAATACATACCTGCTGAAACACTTGTTGCTGTGTCTTGAGAAGCGGTCCATTAAACAAGTTTGAGATCACCGAAAGGTCCAAAATTAGATTACCAATTGCCACACCAATACGATGAGTTGCCTGAAAAGATAATAAAGAGTACAAGTATTGTACATTATATCAATTAATGGTACAGGGTATTGGTTAAGATTATCTCTGTGGCAGCTTTTCTTCTCATAGGAATTTTACAGTTTGTTCAGCAAGAACAGTTGCTTATACAGCTGCTCCTCGACTTACGACGGGGTTAGGGACCCAAATCCAGGTCTTAAGTCGAATTGGTCGTAAGTCGAAAATGCTTAAATAATACATAGAAAACCTAAAATGGGTGTCTTTTTTCTTCTCAGCACCACAAAACTCTTACTTTTAAGCATGCCAGCCATTTTAAAGTGAATTACAAACGAAAATTTTGTCAGTACACAGCGCAATCACTAACGCCGGGACTCGAAATTATGTAATTTAACAAAATTTTGGAACGACTGAGGCAGTCGCATGTCCGGGTGGTCGTCAGTCGAGTAGGTCGTAAGTCGAGGAGTAGCTGTATATGTAAAGCTTCTTGCCCCACAGGCAAATTGCCAAGTGAACGATCATTCACTTGGCAATTTATAATTTTCCAAGCCCTTTCTCACTGAACGATCATCATTTTTCAGTTTAGCAATCTTTGACTCACTGGGAAAAATTCAGGGGTAGGGTACGATTCAGCGCCGCCATTCCAGCTCCGATGTTTCAGCACCGCTGTTTCAGCGCCAGCCCATTTCAGCGCCAGACTATTCAGCGCCACCAAATCAATAATTTATTCAAAGAATCACACACATTTATGAGATTGGTTGATTTAATTAAAAATTATTAAAAAAAACATTTAAAATCGTTTAAAATAAAGGGTTAGCTTTATTTTTAGTGTGATAAATTGTGCGCAATTGCACACAGGTATTCTACTTCATTTCTGTTCCCATATTCAAAAACAATTTTTAATATTCTTTCATCTGCTTTTCTGTATTTCAGTAATTTGGGTTGAGGTTCATGCCCAGCTGAAAGCTTCTCGAAATATTCATCCCGTCCTTTTTGGACTCGTTTAAGAGCATGGATGAAGTTCAATATGGTTGGATGCAACATTCCCAGTTTGCCTCGTAGTCGTCTGTTTGCAGCTTCAGCATGGTTATTGGTTCTATCTTTGCCTTGTAAAGTTCGTTGGCACATGTTCCACATCTGTGGGAAACAACGGTTGTCTTCTCCCAGTTCCTCTCCGGTATGGACGATCAATATAATTGTCTTCAAACCAATTTAAAAGCGGAACCAATTCCCCAGACAAGTCCGTTGCAAGAGCATCCACATGAAGGTCAATGTCATCATTTGGTACAAAAGTAAGTGCCGTTACCATTTTAGCATGTAAAGCAAAGTCGAGATTGCTATTATATGAACCCATGAGACCCATACTTTTATCTGTTTTAGTAAATTTTGCGATAAACGGAACAGACAGCCTCTGATTTCTACATCGGAAAAGCTGCATACTCAAAATCACAGTTTATGGCAACGGGGTCGTGCATTTGGTACCATCTCCTGTATCATTTCCATCATTCTCATATAAGTTACACTCTGCTTATTCTGCAAGAGTGCATATAGTACAGGGTGTACGCCCACATGTTTCTTGACCATGATGATATACACTTGATAAAATAAATGTGGTGCAATCGCAAATGTTCCATCGATGTACCAAATGCTCGAAGTTGCTATATGTTCCAACCAGCTCTCTTCTAAAAATAATAATCCCATCGTGGCTCGTTCCTCTATCCATCAAACAAAAATTTTCCTCTGTTTCTGGTGTGGGTTCATACATTTTGTAATCGTGAGGCAATTCTAACTCTTGAATGGATCTTGGATTTTCAGGAACTTGGTCGACTTCATCCTGTTTTCGCCGAATGATCTTATGCATTGCTTGCCTATTTGGTAATTGTGCAATGCCAGGTTGAGACATTTATATGCACTTGTTAATAATAATGCTTGGAGGTTCACACGTCTTCTCAGCACGATGTCTTGCATCTGTTTTTGCCTTTTCTACCTCGACTTCAACTGCAGATGGGAATGTTCGTTAATCTTATGGTAATTACCGTTTCCTCTAATGTATGAATTCTGGATTTGCATCTTCCATCTTCATGGCATCGCTAAAACTTAACATCATTCTGTGTCTTACTTAATTTGTCAAATCGATATAGATATCCCTCATGACAGAATTTCTCTCTTCATCTCTTGCTTTGCACTAGTTGCGCACCATGGGTCCAACGGTTATACAGCAAAGACACCTGTTATGGCTAATGAGAAGTTGGTGCTTGATAATATCCTGTAATTGATATTATGTCACAAACATAGGTGCAATATCATTGATGAAAATTTGTTTGATTAAATGATAAACAATAATAGAATTTCAGATTCAACTAGACAGACGTAGCAAAACCACTCTCACTCACTCACTCTTTCTTTCTTTCTCTCATTCATAACACCAAATATTAAGAAGTTGAATACAACATAATATAAATCTAGAGTAGTATACAGTATTATTCCATGTTAATGAAAGAGATAGTTTCCGAGTTGAACGGAACGCACAGACGCTGAAAGGTCTTGGCGCTTAATAGTCTGGCGCCGAAACGGAGGCGCTGAATTGGGCCATCACCAAATTCGGAGGGGAGTCAGAAAAACTGGGGATTCCGTGCTCTAAGTGCACATCTCTACTGTCATTTGTTTATGCTACCCGTGCATGCACCACCTCCCTAGCCATGGTGAGCACTACTAGTTTCAACAGCCTACCATTTGATCATTTTATTCTGTGCTGCACTGTTATCGATGCATACATTATCAATCACTGTGCAGCGTCCCGATTGCTGTGAATCGCTATTATTGTTGAGAGTTTTACAGGTTATTGAGTATTGTACAGTACTTAACGGACTGTTCATATACTGTACATGTACAGTACCCTGCTTAGTCGTCCAGCCTCGGAGAGGACACATGGTGACTGCAAGAGGGTCATCGTAAATGACGCCGTACACCCCATAACCGTTCTTGCAAATGGCCCTACATCCGACATGGGCTTGGCAAGTGTTACTTTACTGTAGTGTACTGTAGTTTATTATTACTTTAAACAAATTTTATGTATTTTCCCTCATTTTGCCATTTGGCAACGGTTTCACACCACATGAGACAAGACAGCAAACAATTGGGAGATCCCCATGCCGTTCCCCTTCCCCGCTCAGCCTCACCCACGAGTGCTACTGGGTGGCGAGTCAGCAATCCGACTACACAATTACATGCCATTTCCATGTATAGAATACTGTACCTCATTATCTCTTGTTTAGGATATTATTTCTTGTTATTCCTCATTTAGCAATCATATCCATTAACGATCATTTTCTTCAGGGATGCATCCCAATCATTAAACGAGGGATACCTGTACATGTGATATCACTGCAGTCAAGATACCCCAACTGTGGAATCGTGGGGACTTTACATTTCAATGTCCTTTAGATATTATGTCGGTTATAATTGTGTTGTTGAATTCTGCTGTCCTCCCTTCCCTCCACCATTCTCCAGTTTGGATACCCTGACATCACTGCAGCATTGCCACATGTACCAAGTCATCTGAGAGGCAAAGAATATAACACGTGGAAAATTGTACATAGACAACACAGATATACAGCATATATAAACTGTGCAGATACACAACCAATTTACCTAAATAGTGTGAGTATATGAACACAGGCAAACAGTAAGGCAAATTGACCAAGAATACCCAACAGGGCCACAAGATGCTGCCATCATCAGATATTCAGTGAAGCAGGGAACTCAATGGCTTTCTTCAAAATTCAGTATAATCTGGTAGCAATGGTTTGTGTACATCTAAACCACCTATTTTTATTAGTTTTGTATTGATGACAACATTCTACATTGAGAAAAGTGCAAACCAAAAGTGGGAATTCCAATTTTCACATCTTGGTTATCCCATCATTTTTCTACCTGAAAGTAATCTACCAGCATGTCCATCAGACACATCCATCTACCGCCAATTTTACGCTTGGTGTATTGTTGTCATACAAATGCTTACCAGTGACCTTTCCATACAAAGGCTTCCAGTAACTCACATCCCTCGATATTCGAGATTTCTTAATACTTGAATTTCACACACAAGAAAGCTTCAATCTACAAAAGGGATAGGTATGTTTTTTATAAACCTTTCATAAATTGAAAGAAATTAATAAATTATCCCCCAAAAGTAAAAATACATTTTTAGGCAATTTGGGGGGGGGGGGGGAATACTTCTAAGCAAATGTATTTATCATAATAAAATTAATTAGGCAGTACAGCATCATGTATATTTAATACATATTAGAATACTGTAGTTGGATTTAAATCCCATACAGTAAAATATTATGAGTTTCGATACATTTCCAATTTCTTTCAAGTAGCACTGGTTTCCAAGTGAACTGTACGTTTGTATACTTATTGTTCTTCTCCAAGGGGACAGATTTAGAGACAAGCTCACTATTTTTAATTTTACCAACCTAGCAATGTTGTCCTGTTCTGGTTGTTCTTTCTCTTATTGTAAGTGAAGGACTGTTAGCACCAGAAAGACTTTATGGAATTGCACCAAATTTTCAGATGTTGTTTGGATGACACTGAGTAGTAAAGTATCCCCGAGAACATTGCAAGTATTTTTTTTTCCATTTTAGTTTATCCTTTGATCATCATTTACTTGTTAGTGGACAGGACATGAAAGAATATGGAAATAATGAGGTAAAAACACTGATCATATGGCAGTACTGTCACGTCTCTAAAGGTTTTGTAGGCTAAGAAATAAATTATTTTCCGTAATTATAACTCGGATCTACTGTGGTGAATATGTTTTGGTTCACATTGTCTGCTATAAAAGAGCGTCCATGGTGTTTTTTTATATGTCAAACAACGAATGACTATCTCATTGGGCAAGTCCATTATTATTTATATTGGATTAAATTTGTTCATTTCTTCTAGAGATGTTTGGATGTTAGTAAGAAAATTGAAACGACAATGCACAGGTTTGGAAGTTAGGTAGGTTAGGTTATACCAAAATCAATACTGTATAGAGTTGCATGGTTGACCTTTTAGTATTTTTGCAGTAGTTCACACAATTTTCCTACCCAAAATCTATTATCATATTCGAAAAAGCCATCTAATTTTAAGATAATTTTCTTCCATTACATTACCGTCGCAAACGTATAATAACAGAGATAGCGCAAGCCAAATCTTTCTCTATTTTCTTCCACTAATCTTCGGCCATTACCGCCTACTCAACCTCCGACTCGGCATGTTTCCTTTATAAATCTTCACGCGCATGCATTCCGTTCACGTCACGCAGCTAATCAAGCTTTTTTTTTTGCCAACAATTAAAATGACTTGTGGCTTAATTCGCGTTATTTTTTGCCCAATCAGATTTGATCGTAATTTTGGGTCTCATTTTGAAATTCAAATTAATTTCCGACCATGGAAATCTACAATGGGTGTCACTTCAATCATATGGAGTCACGTAACTGCACGTTTCGGGGGAAAAAACGAACAAGCTATAGCATAGTTGGCATCAGCCACCTGTACTGACCTTAGAATCCAACGACGAACCAGAACCAGGCCAATAAGGTAAGAAATAAGTGATTCCATCATATGGTGAGAGTTAAGTCAAGTTAGGTCATCCCAAAAAAGGTTCAGTTTATGTTTTTCTAGTTTTTTTTTTTGTGTATTTTGTATTCGCTTGGCCATGATTTTTGTTGGAAAACGACCCACCCAAAACCCCCGTTAACTAAAAAACAGGCAATTTCCGTCGGAAATCAAGGTCAAAACCAATCAAAACAAAAATACACTAGAAAAAACATAGTTTTGACTTTCTAACAGTGTTGTGTGCACTAATGCAAATTTACCGACCTTTTTCCAAATCTAAACTCAAATTAACATAAATAAGCCAGTAACTCTTCTTAAACTTTACCCATTATTGTTAACCATACGTGATTATAGAAACATACACAAAAGTAATCCCACCAAATTTGGAGTGTCAAAATATATAGAACAATTAGCGTATGGGTGTATTAATATTATCTGTTGCCAGCACAAATTGTCCTTGTAAGAGCAAACAACACACTTTAGCCTGAGGTTACCGTCCAAGGTCTCTCCCCGATTAGGCTTAAAAATAATGGTATTTGTATGTTGTTAGCTTCAAACATCCAAACAATACTAAAGGCAGTTAAGTGAATTTCCAGTAACCCGAAAAACAGTACAAGCATAAGTTTCGGTACTTTGATCATGAAAGATAATTTATCATGTACGCATGTGTGGGGGGGGGGGCGTGTAAAAAATGCCGGGTGGACAGCAACAATTCCCTTCCTCATTATTACTCTGAATTTGCCACTGATACTCACGTTGTCAGCTGTCGAGAAGATCCCGTACGGTAGATTCTGAATGGGGAAATGACTTTCGGGGGAAACCTCTATGAATGACTTCATTTTCTAGGACACTGCCGCAAAAGCCTTATCTCTTCCAAACGTGGGTTGACTACAAGCGGGATCAGGGACTGGGTTGGTCTCTGGGCGCTGGCAACACTTCAGCTGACTTTTCATGAGTTGCCAAAGTTTGTTTGATCATAGTTGCCAAGTAAAGTGCTTCTTTTATTTTAATTCAAATCATTATTTAAAAATATTTAGCTACAATATATTATCAACACTCTCGTGCTCTGAACTGAAATACTTAGGTTTAACTCAGTCACATATTAACACAGTGGCTACATACAGTAATATACTGCACATGTCGTGGAGGTGTGTCAAGACGCCTCCAACAAAACCTACCTTGATTGGTTGAATGGAATGACGTCATTAAATAGAATATTTTCATTGGTCAGTAATGTTAATGAGACTGCTTACTTGTCCTTCAAGCTTCAATCTCATTACAACATACATAGCTATTTACGGCAGTCTACCAGCGTGACACCAGGCTCAACATGTCAACTTATGATGATGAACACAAGGAAGACAACCAACGAATACAGTACTGCACTACTAAACAGTACACCTGCTTAATGTAACCAACCCTCACCCTTGTAAACTCGTATTAAGCGACCTTTCCATCCAACCCGCATAGCAACTAACCTCTGTAGTCTGTTTACACAATTGTTCCTAGAATTATCCCAATCCTTATAATTACCAACCTATGGAACCGATCCTTGTAAATATTTTGTAAAAACTAATTCTAAAATCAACATACTCTGCAATCAATTCTATTAACCAAATTGTAACAACTAACCTCATGACAATAAAAAATCATAACTATCAAACAATGTAATTAACATCTCAAAGGGTAGCCTACTGTAGAGGTCTACGCAACAGTACTACTCAGTCGAGTGTATCCTGAAGCTGGCGGACACTTTTACTTTTTTTTTACTTTTATCCTCATCGCCACTGATCGGCTTGTTAGCCGCTTGGGCGATCGGTCACGTCTCTGTCACGCACTGTTAGCAAGTACTGGGCATGCACCGGCTCCTGAATGTACCTGAACCCGCTCCAGTGTTGGTCAAGTCTTCTCTTGAAAGAGCTCACACTCGGTGCCGTCACAACACTCTCTGGTAGATTGTTCCAAGAGTTTACAACCCTCACTCCGAAAAAGTTTGCCCTCACGGTTTTCTGGACTTGCAGCTTCTTCAATCTTGAGCTGTGACCCCTTGTGGGGCGAGCGTCCGCCAGCTCCAAGTAAGGACACTCAACTGAGTAGTGCCCCCTGAGATGCTTATAAACCTCAACTAGGTCCCCCCTTGCCCGTCTGTAGTATAAGCTAGGCAAGTTCAGGCGCTCCAATCTCTCAGGGTAGCTGAGGTGCCGAAGTGCAGGCACCAGTTTGGTGGCCCTCCTTTGAACATTTTCAACCAACTGACAGTCTCTAGCATATCTCGGGGACCAGATGGGGTGACAGTACTCCAGATGGGGAAGCTCTTCACTCCTGAAGATCGTCACGAGGGACGGACCGTCTAGATATCTGAACGACCTTATGGTACTTCAATGGAATTTTCCTTACGTCTGCCCTGAAAATCTAACTGGAATCTAATTTCTTTGTGATCGCTGTTTGCAAGTTCGTTCCCGACCTCGACATTGCTAATGAGGGTTTCTCTGTTCGACAGAACTAAATCGAGTATATTATTACCCCGTTTGGGTTCGGTTATATGTTGACTTAGGAAACAGTCCTGGATCGTCTCGAGAAAATCCTCTGATTCTGAGTTACCTGTAAGGTCAGTCCAATCTATTTGGCCAAGGTTAAAGTCGCCTACTATACAGACTTTGTTGTGTATGGAAGCCCTGCGCATTTCATCCCAGATAAGTCGCTCATTGACTCCATCAAGATTGGGAGGTCTATATATTACTCCTGTGATTAATTTTTCCCTACCGTCGCTTAATTCTATCCAAATTGTTTCTGTATTCCGCTCAGTTTTTATTTCCTTATTTATTTCACACTTCAGATTATACCTAACATAGATTGCTACTCCACCTCCTTTCCTGGTCTGCCTATCGGTATGGAACAATTTGTAACCCGCAATTTGGTATTCGACCAGCAACTCACGTGAGTCTAGGTTGATCCATGTTTCAGTGAATGCTATTATATCGATTTTTTGGTACATACCAAGGCCCTAATATCATCCACTTTGTTTCTCATACTTCTACTGTTCGCGTAGTGGACATTTAAGTTAGTCCTCCCTTTACCGCGTTTAGTTTTAAACTCCGTTTAATTTAGTTTTGTCATCATTCCTAACACTATTTCCCTGTAATCTTTTACTTTGTTTACCCGCTCCCACTGCAGTTTCCCCCACCCGTGCCCATATGTTCCCCTAGCAGTTTAAAGACTTCGATATCCTTTGAACTGCCCCTCTGAATGCATTACACATTTTGATAATTGTCATTACCCATGTCTGCAACAAGGTTACACAACTAAAATAAATCCAGTACAGTACTGTACAATATTAGAAAATTCCATGTACTGTAGTTCAGTCGGGTAGTATCAAGTAAGGATTAAAAAATTTTGTAAGAGATTTTTATATAATTTATTTGATTTTTAACAAATGAAAATTACCATATATTTTGAAATAATTTTGTTGAAGAATGAAGCATAAAATCTCATTTAACAACTAAAAACCTGTGTGACCTATGAGATTCCAGTGCAACAACTTGTCATAGCTATAGGGCATAAAATCTGGCAGAATCTATTAATTATTCAAAGGAATAATGCAATAGTAGTCAATGTAGCTTATCAGCCAATCACATTCGAGTCTTTTAATGATCCAGTTGTTAAATGGTTGCCTAATTGGCCAGTGAATGTAGCTGGTCAGGAGTTACTCTCAACAATGGCTGCACCTCTGAAAACTCCAAGCTATAAAAATAGGATCTAATCTAAGATCCTGGGCCCAGTCTCTTGAAAGAGGATAAACTGCCACCCACCTGAGCCAAAACATTGTACAGAACTACAGTAGTGTCTACCTCCTCCCAAGCCCCCCACTTCCTTTTCTAAAGGTGGGAAGAGATCTAGAATGGACCAGTTCATTTACAAGAACATCTATTGCAGGGCACAAAAAGAGGCTGGGGCATGTACTATAACTGTGCTGTACCTCCAGGTCATTTTTCTCATGGAAAACTGAGGCCCAACTTTTTAAAAGGCAGATGAACCACACTGTCATCAAATACTTTATAAGCATTTTATCAGATAATAATAATAATAATTTTGTAATACAATATATACTATATATATTAAATCATACATGGAGGAAAACAATATATGAATGAGGAAAACCTGAAGCACCAATTGAAACAAAACTGGACCTCTCTGAAATACAGTATTGTACTGTACAATTAATTAAATTTAATGAATAGTACATAAAAAAAAGTTGAAATAGAGTAGAACCTTTCTAATTCACCAGTAAAGTTTGCAAATTTGCTTTGTTTATGTTGATTTCACTCATGAACTAAACTGAACTGTCGCTAAGAGTAGGAATAGAGATAGTCACATGGCATTCATACTAGCACATGAATAATTGGGACAAAGAAAACCGTAAACAGTATACATATATGTGTATATATAAATAGATATATATCCACATATTTTCTTTCAGTGAAGACGAGCCCGGGAGGACGCAGTGACATTCACCGAGTGACTAAAAGGCGAGGAATAGTCAAGAACCATCTACACGAATTCATACAGAAGACGTAAAGTGGACGCCATGAGACTGACCAAAGATCATATAAGAAATTGTCCCAAATACAATAATTGAGACAAACCAAATAAAAGTCACTCTACTTCCTCACTGTGCTAATAAGTATAAATACCGTATATAAAATCCTCGTGGGACTTAGTATTTCAGCAATTGCCACACAAATTCGCAGAGCCTTCTTTTGTGTGTATTTACAGCTGAATCGCCAGGCAAGATGATGGGGGGTGAAGGAGGGGGGTTTTGAGAATTGCAATTAAATGCCAGGTAGTGACGTGTCCTCCTAATATTACTTATTAAGTAATTATTAATTGTTTTAATTCCCTGTATGTTGGCCTGGTGAGTTACCTAGGAATTAACATACCTAGGTAACATGCTGTGCGTCGCATTCTGACGAACAAAAATAAAGGATAAGCCAGCCCCACTAACTGACATCAGAAAAAAAAACAACAACAATTATTGCATTGTACCACAGGTACTACAGGTATATGAAAATTGGTATCTTGCGACATTCCTCCCTTCAATATCAAAACCTTTAAAATACAGACTATATAAGGAGTCTGAACGAATAAACACCAATAATAATAATAATGAGGTGAAAAAACTTTTCATAGTATTTATTGAGATGCAGGAGGTTGAGTCAGGGCAAGCCAATTAGGTACATGGTAAGTTCAGTTAGTGACATTGAAAAGAGGATGCAAATAACAAGACTTAAGATTGGAGCATGAAAGACCCACTATTTTGTTGAAAGAGGAGTGATGGAGGTTCAGAAATGTAGAGATTATTAAGTCTAACTTTTAACAGAATATCTTCAATGACAACCATCACACTGTTGGATACCTTAAAAGACTTCAGGTGTGACTTAGTAGAGCTGTCCTGGCAACAAATGATATTCACTTGAATAATGTACAGTCCCCCCAAAAAGTATCAATGTTTCTGAATGGTGGTAGTACTACATCCATGACCTTTGAGCATGAATGAATATACTGTATGTTTTAGATCCTCCGAGGCTTCAAATCATATATTACATGAATCAGAATGGATGTCGTAAATGGACACTAATGACATGCCAGCCATCAAAGGGATCCGAGGAATGAGGAATTGTCGGGGAGACATAAAATGCGAGAGGTGCTATCATATGCCCTTCTTAACGAGGGTATACGTAACACTGAGACACGGCATGAACCCACATCATGATGGGTTAGGCGCCATGAAATAACTGGTAACACACTGAAACTTACAACCACAAATGTCTTACTATAAGTGGAATAAGGGTTCTGTTCTTGGAAGTCTCTTGATTTGAAACCTTATTTCAGTGTTAAAACAAAGCAATTTACATATCAGTAACATTAAACTGCCAATAGAAAGGTTTGATACAGAATACAAAGTTTATCAGTTTGTAATTAAAACAAGTCAAACTCTGGAAGCTAGGCAGTCTCAGTAGATACCTGTGCATAAACCATATACATGTATTTTGATGTCTTATATTTGTACATATTTAACCATCCTCAACACTTATATAAACCCCACACTGCCTTGCTCCACATCGCACCCTCAACTTATTACCATCACTCCTATTTACACTTTCATTTGATAAATAAATTATTTAACTAAAATTTGGTATACTGTACTAAGATAAATAATGCCCTCCTTATTAAATATTAACACTTGGGCAGGTAGCTACATAAATGATTGCCAATCAAGCCAGTAGTTCACAAGAGTTCTGGAGGTAATACAATTGGGATAATTTATAGAAAATATGTCCATTATCACATCCTGTATATCGCTTTCCACATTGATTAAATAGCGAGTCCACTTTTTGAGGCAAATGCAAGAATTGTAAACGTCATGTCAAAATATTAGCCATACTGTACTGTACACTGTTATAAATAATATACTGTACTGCACACTGTTATAAACTAAATTTTGAATTGCTTTAACCTGAAACAGTGATATTCTGTACTGTTTGGTCACATTAAAACTTTTTGGATACAGTATTTTATTTCCTATACAGCATTAAGAGAATTACAAATGACAATTTAAAACTACACAGATTTTAGCTTATCTTCCCACAGTAGGTTCTTTTGGAATATTGTTAAATTCCCTGTTAGACACCCCAGTCTAAGATTTTTAATGTATCTTATTACTTAGGACTCATTATCCTAACTTAACCTACAAGTAGTGGTGGTTCTCCAAAAGGCATACATTTCATGTTTAAACAATATTACTGCACAGGGGGTCCCCAGGTTACGAACAAGTTCCATTCCTGAGGACGTTCTCAAGTCAGAAATGTACACAAGTCGGAACACACACTCTATGAGCACTATATTATAGCCCAAGTCCTTTAATACATCTTGAATCACTTAATATAAGAGAAAAGAATTAATTGAATGACAAAATACAGTAAAGTAAAAATTAAACCTGGGACTGGCTTGGATGTAGAGATGGGCATTTGTAGGAGTGACAGGGGCTTTATTGGGATGGTTGAACTGAAACTTTCTTCTTTTCGTCATAAATATCTCTGTAGATATTAAGTAATACCTCTATGAATCTTGCTGTTTAAATTTAACCATTCCCTCAATAAGACTGAAACCATCTGCTATTTCTTTTGTAATGAATCCCATTGGTTCTGGAGTTTCAGTTTCCTCTACATACTTTTGACAAAATTTGTTTCTCCAGTTCAATCAGGTCTTCATTGCTTAATTATTCAGCATTAGACTCAAGCAACTGTGTGACAACTGTGTGACATCATCCTCATGACTATCAAGCTGGAATTGGTTCCTAAGGTCTACCACTGTCTGTGTCACTTCCCCAACAGTGAGTGGGCAGTGTTTTTTCCAAACATTATTTGTCCTTACCTTGAACCTGTTAAACCAGCCCCCTATTAGCAACAAAATCTTGCCCATCACTTTCACCACCACACTTAGCCATCAAGTCAGCATATAATCTTCTCACTTTTTCCCAAATCAAGGCTAGACTTAGAGGCAGATCCCATTGATTTTGATCTTCCACTCATATCACTAACAATCTTTCCATTTCATTAAACAATCCACTTCTTTGTTTAGTTATCACAGTTGAGTACATTGGTGAAGATCCTTTTACATGTACAAGAATTTTCTCTATGTCTTTCAAAATTGTTCTGACCGTTGACCGACTGAAACCCAACGCCTTACCAATCACTGAGGGGGTTTCATCCTTTTCAGACCGTTTAATTACATTAACTTTCACTTCCATTGTAATTGGTTTCCTTTTCTTGGATGCACTATGTACCATCACTTGCATCAGGTTTGCATTTGGGAGCCATGATGAAGGTCGAAAAAGAGTTAATAATAATAACAATAAAAACAGTTTGCACTTTGTACGTTTAGGCAGTGAGGATAAAGTATACCGATGCTCCTGCTCCCTCAAGGCAGGTTTCTGGGTGCGACGCATCACTCCCCATGAGCCGCTTCACCTCCCTTCTACGCCACGCAAACTAGTTCTCGTAAATAATTGCTACAAACTATTGTACTTATGTTGGATTTTAAAGGATAATTGACTTCTTTCGTATCGGCGGGCGTTCGTAAGTCGGGGACCCCCTGTACTACTCTATTAAGGTTCACTGGATTCCTTTCTTCACAACATTAATTTATATATCTCGTAACAAATATTTTACAATAGTGCTATATCTAGTTGGAATGCAAATGTTGCTGGTGTCATATGGTTGTTAAAAAAATAAATAAATAAATAAAAATAATATAACAGACAAAAAATTCCTACCATAATTCTACTATAAATGACTTATGTACAAAGAAAAGTGTCATGTTACACTTACCATGCCTTATGTCCTGAAACCCACGACGAAGAATTTTGGTAACATTCCCTGTTGAGACTCGAACATTCAAGCTTTGCTGTCACTGTACCCAAATTCTTTGTTATGGGTTTTGATCACACCACTAGGAGGTGTAAGATGACCTTTTTCTTTGACTGTACATCTATAAATGATCTTGATCTAAGTACTTTGATGTTTAACCCCTTCAGTCCAAAGCTCAGTCTATTTTTTGCATCCCCCCAGCCCAAGACTGAGAGAGAGATATATACAGTGGTCCCTTGGTTAACGAACACAATTCGTTCCACAGAGTCGTTTGTTAACCGAATCTATTATTTCAATGGGATATTAGGTAATTGGTTCCAAGTCACAGAAAAAGTACATACAAAGTATACTGTATACCAGTAATAGAATTAACAAAACATTAAATATAAACTAAATACAGTACTGTACTGTACAGTATACTGTATAATAATAAATAAAAAACAATAGAATACTGTATTTTAACTTACTTTGAGGTGTGTATGTCATATTACTGGCAGCTTTGTTTACATATCAAACAGCTGATTGTAGAGGCAGTCGATGATGACAGCATATTCTTTACAGAGTGCATTGGTTCTAATGCCTTCTTCATGTTTCATAATAATTTCTGCACTGTATATTATCAATATGTTAACTAAATTTCAGAATGACCAATAATTTTTAATGTAAAAATGCAAAAATATTCAAGAGACCAACATAATCAATGTTCAGTCCACTGTAAACAAAGTTAAACTGAGAAGCCTTGTTGGGTGATTCAATCAGCTGATGGGGGCATAAAAACTATTCCCTGTACTGTCTATATTATCAACATGTTAACTAAATTTCAGAATGACCAATAATTTTAATATAAAAAAATGTAGAAATAATCAAAAGACCAATTTTCTTGATATTTACTTCACTGGAAGTGCGCATCAGCTGATGCACACAACAAAACGTGTTTGTCGTAAGGATTTCATTAATCAAAGTTTTGTTTGTTAATCGAACTGAAAATCCTTATGGGAGCTAATTCGTTAACCGAAATTTTGTTAATCGAACCGTTTGTTAACAGAGACCACTGTATATATACTATGTACACCTGTACAGAGTATGTATATATATATATATATATATATATATATATATATATATATATATATATATATATATATATATATATATATATATATATATATATATATATATATATATATAATATATATATTATATATATATATATATACAGTGAACCCTCACTTTACACGGTCAATTGAACCCACGGCGGCCCGCGTAAAGTGAACAACATAACATATGGGATTAATTGAAATAGAGACCAGGCCGACCCCTTAACTCCACTTTTTCAGACACAATACCTACGTTGTAGTAAAAATAAATTCTTAATTTTATGATGGTATGCACACACAATTAATAATTAAGAAAAATATCAATAATATTAGGTTTTGTAACACTTACATTAGTAGAAAAGATGGCTGGGCACACGGGGATGGAGGGTTGGTTCCGAGGCAGAGGGCTGATTATTGGCCCTCACCTGTATCAATTGTATCACTATCCACCACAGAGGCTTGCAGGGCCTCTTTGTCAAACCCCTCAAAATCCATATAAGTCCATATCCTCACTATCATTATCACTATCACTGACTTGGGCCGGCTGTGGTGGGTGGCGGGTGAAGAACTCGGTAATGTTTTGATGACTGGGCGACCTTGTGCGCACCGTGCTCGCGCCGATCTCCGCGTAAAAGGGTACACACACCGCGGAAAGTGAGCATTCTGGTTTCGGCAGGGTACCGTGTAAACGTGGAAACGCGTAAAGCGAGGGTTGACTGTGTATATATATATGTATATATATGTATATGTATATGTATATATATATATATATATATATATATATATATATATATATATATATATATATATATATATATATATATATATATATATATATATATATATATATATATATATTTATATATATATATATATATTTCATGTAAATCCACAATGAAAACGTGGATAAATCTTGATAAAATCACACGGGAAAATGGAAACAACGGAGTACCTTAGCTTTCGTCTTTATTCAAGACATCTTCAGAGGCAACTGGATTACATGGACAGAGAGAGGCTTAAATATACAGGGTGACCTAAAAACATGAGGTCAGGTCATAATGATGACATCCACTAATCCCCACACCAACATACACGTAGAGGAGCTTAAGAGAAGGGTGATGACGTGACTAGACAGGTCAGGTCAGAAAAAAGGGACCCTGTATATTTAAGCCTCTCTCTGTCCATGTAATCCAGTTGCCTCTGAAGATGTCTTGAATAAAGACGAAAGCTAAGGTACTCCGTTGTTTCCATTTTCCCGTGTGATTTTATCAAGATATATATATATATATATATATATATATATATATATATATATATATATATACAATTACCCCGCTTAACGCGCTTTCACTTAACGCGTTTTCGCATATACGCGGTGCCTTGCCAAAGCTGAACTTTCACTTAACGCGGATTTTTCCACAGCAACGCGGTGAGTGTCCGGCTCGAGAGCTATTTTTAGATTCGCACCACCCCCCACCCGCCACCCTGCCTGACTGCCTGTTTTAGCTCATAAAATTCATACAAATTACCCAGCCAGAATATAGTTTACATTGCTGGAATTCTTATAATTTGGTGATCATTTTGAATATAAACAACATATTTTTTGCATTAAACATACAATTTTTAGATAAAATGTTTAATCTGAGTAATATGTTATCTTTTGTCCAAAATATATGACATTTATATTCAAAATATTCCTGGTCTTACAAGGAATCCAGCAATGTCAATTATATTATCCTAACTTTAGTTTGAGGTATTATTTATTAAAATTTAGTGGTTATCCCACACATCTCCTTGGGACGGTTGGTGGGGGGTGGGGGGGAGGGAGGGACCAACCGACCGACCATCTGTTACCCGGTGAAGAATTATTTTTTTTTAACTGAAGATATTTGTTTTAGCTCATTAAATTCATACAAATTACCCGGTCAGAATATAATTTACATTGCTGGAATTCTTATAATTTGGTGATCATTTTGAATATAAACAACATATTTTTTGCATTAAACATACAATTTTTAGATAAAATGTTTAATCTGAGTAAGTATGTTATCTTTTGTCCAAAATATATGACATTTATATTCAAAATATTCCTGGTCTTACAAGGAATCCAGCAATGTCAATTATATTATCCTAACTTTAATCTGAGGTATTATTTAATACTAAATGTTAAAAACTCTTGAATGGAGGATTGGTGGGGGTGGGGGGAGGGTTGGGACTGACCACGCGGTTGGAAGAGGGGGGGAAGGCAAGGTGGGGTACTTTGATTGACAGATAGTGTTGAAGAATATATTTTTTTTTTTATTAACTGAAGATATTTGTTTTAGCTCATAAAATTCATACAAATTATCCGGCCAGAATATAATTTACATTGCTGGAATTCTTATAATTTGGTGATCATTTTGAATATAAACAACATATTTTTTGCATTAAACATACAATTTTTAGATAAAATGTTTAATCTGTGTAAGTATGTTATCTTTTGTGAAAAATATATGACATTTATATTCAAAATATTCCTGGTCTTACAAGGAATCCAGCAATGTCAATTATATTTTCCTAACTTTAGTTTGAGGTTATCCCACACATCTCCTTGGGACGGTTGGTGGGGGGTTGGGGGGAGGGAGGGACCGACCGACCATCTGTTAGCTGGCTGTGTACTGTAGTGTGAGAGGGAGGGAGTTGAGTCCATTATTTGAATGGACATTAACTTGGCGACTGTATTTCTATTTCTCTTAAGTATTAATTGTGTGCATGTACCATCATAAAATTAAGATGTTATTTTTACTACAACATAGTTATTTGTCGTCAAAAAGTGGAGTTTGGGGGTCGGGCTGGGTTCTATTGGAATTAATCCCATATGTTCTGTTATTCACTTAACGCGGTTTTCACTTAACGCGGGACCCTCTGGGTTCAATTGACCGCGTTAAGTGGGGTACCACTGTATATATATATATATATATATATATATATATATATATATATATATATATATATATATATATATATATATATATATATACACAATGTTTAAAAACACTTGTACAGTAATTAACTTTGTTATATTCAATACAAGCCAAGAAATGAGCCATCATTATGACCCTTTCTTCAAGCTAATTTGAATAATTTACATGATACAATGTTACACAGTACTGTACATTTACCCTACCCTTTACTTTGCCCATAAAAAGTGTTCTTTACAAAATGAATGACTAAGATATAGATTTTGTAAGGCACTTGTACTAAATATTTGTCATCACCTGTAAAATACCACATGTTTACAACACAATATCATTATAATATTATCCACCTATTTTACTCCTATTATAATCAAGGGATAGATGACATCTTCTCTATCATACAAAATCAACTGTCATGAAATTAACTTAAGGCACTTCAAAATAATACACATTTTACTTTCACCGACTTTATGTTATGTTCTAATGTGTGTCTGCTACCACAAAAAAATGAAGACTTCACACAACTCTTAAGTCTTGCTGATATGGAGTCACAGTAAATTTTTCTTTATTCCTGTGACTCAACACTTGAGACTTTTTTCCAATCTGAGAAAGTGTTTTAATGTCACGATGTTTACACTGTGATGTTATGCATGGAGGGCAACTACCTGATGGCGTCAGCTTGGGTATCCGGTGACTGTTTTGTTTTACCAAACTGGAGCACACAGGAGGCAGTAACTGGCTTGATGAAGCCCTTGTTGGATTCTTCACACCTGCTCATGACAAACAAATATATATTAAAGAATGAATCAAAGTTTTCAGTCATACTGCAAGGGCTACTCTTCATAATATCCAGTTCACAAAAAATGTTCTTGCAAAGTTAGGATTTAAGTCAGGTCATAAGAGAACACATCCTCCACAGTCCCCAGCCTGTTGAAAAAGGCAACTAGAAGGGTAAAATGAGGAATTTTTTTGAGGATAAAGGGAATGCTTATGATGGTTACTTTTCTGTGGTTAAATGGTTTCAGTAACCAACACCCTTTAAAACCTCAAAGATACTGCCCTAAAGTTTTTCAATACCAGTATATATTATTTAGCCATAGTTGTACAGGCAGTCCCTGATTTACTAAGACCAAGTTTATGTAAAATCAAAGTTATGGGGAGGGAGAGAAAAAAAATCAGGTTTCAACTTATGAAAAAAATTAATAAATAAATAAAACAAAAAAATCATATTTTGGGGGGAAACATCAGAAGATGCAGACAATTACTGTAACCTGAAAAAACACCAGAGTACTGTAGAGTCGGCCCTTAACATACGCGGGGGTTACGTAACAGAGATACCCATGGATGTTAAAAATCAGCGTATTTTTGCTGCCCCCCCCCCCCAAAACAAACCCTGGCCCCCCATGTCCTTATTTACCGTATATACCTGTGTATAGTTCGAGTTTTTAAGACCAAATTATTTTACAAAAAATTGGGGGTTGACCTCTAAACGGGTAATAGTTTCGTTAGGTTGAAAAATATTTACCAGTAACTACCAGTAAACAATGGAAACGATGCACCAACGCACCACCAGCTGTGAGTGTCAGTACAGTTGCCAGGGCAGATCTCTTGCGTCATCATAGCAAGTCCAAAGTAGCCAAATCCATGGTATGGTAGCACAGGACGATGTAAAACATAAAGTATTCATTTATTAAAGTTTATTTATAGATACTGTACATAAATTTTTATTCATAACATTTGAAACAACAATCTTTGTTAATTAAATTTGAAACAAAAGAAAACTACGATACCGTATTTTCATTAAAATATTACATCACAAGTATATTTTACCTTAACTGTGACTGAATGAATATACGTATTCTCAGAAATAAATATGGAAATATAATATTTTTGCTGGAATGACGTACATATTACAGTGGAAACATGAAAACAATGACTTTCGCTTTCTTTCGTTGTTCAAAAGATTTTACCGTAATCGCTTTTCGAATGGTTTTCAGTTAAAAAACTGTTGTACTCGTACTGTATTACAATAATATTCTATCCTATCATTAGCCTTATAATCCCACAACTGAAAACCATTCAAAAAGCGATTACGGTAACATCTTTTGAATGAAAGAAAGAGAAAGTCATTGCTTTCGTCACAATTTTATCCCACTTTCTACTGTAATACGTACATCATTTCAGCAAAAATATTACATTTCCATGTTCTCAGAAATAAATGGTAGTTTTGTTGAAACGTAATGTACAATATTTAATATTAAAATGCAAAAATAGCTATAAAAACAATTAATACACCCATAATGTACTGGCTGACATCTCCACTTGTCCCTGCTCCCGCGTCCAAAGTCACCACCCCTCCCAACTCGCTCTCTCCTCTGCCTCCTCCACCCCCTCTCTACTGCCGACAACGAACACAAATGTTTTGTGAATAACTGCACCTCCACTTCCTATGTACAGTACTGAACTGTACTGTGCTGTGCATTTTTACAAACAATAAACATGACAAGAAAAGCTATTAAAAAAAAATAGATAAAAATTTCACTTTACTGTACAGTACCTATCCTCGGCGACAGGACGGGGGTCATCGTCACTCAATTCCATAACGGGTGGTGAAGTGGGGGCGACGGTGGATTCAGCTGCTTCCTCAATGCCGCCAGTGATTGATGGTGTTAAATCTCTCCTTCGGTGATCAAAGAACATGGTGATGGGGAGTTGTCGTCTCTTTCTTTTCATTTCTTCCATGATGTTTTTGTATGGAGCAAAAACGTTATCCATCCCTCGTATGAATTTCAGGGCACGCACCATGGAGGGGTCCATACTATAGGCCAGGTTTTTCAGTGCCTCAATATTCCTGGTCATCTCCCCCAACTTCTCCAATGTTATTTCTTGGTGCTCTTCCTCTTTCCCTTTCGCTTCCTCTTCCTTGCCTGAGCCTACTAACTCCTGTAGATCCTCCTCGGTCAGCTCAGTGTCGTGCTCTTCAATTAGCTCCCTAATCTCGTCCTCTGCCATGTCCTGGAAGCCTTCAGCAGCCACTTTCCTTGACAGTGCCAGGGTCTTTCTAAATATTTTCATTAAAACCCATCAAAATCATTTTCCTTGTCATCGTCTTAAGCACCAAACAGCTCCTCCCAGTCTTCTCCTTGAACAGGGCTAGAGGGTACGTGTTTTTCGAATAGTTTTCAGTTAAAAAAATGTTACAGCACATGTATATTTTACCTAAACTGTGCCTGAATGAATATATTCTCAGAAATAAATAGTAGTTTTGCTGAAACGTGATGTATTTCAATGTAAAATAGGATAAAATACATGACGAAAACAAAAGACTTTACCTAACCTTCCGATGTTCAAGAGATGTTACTCATTTTTTTAATAGTTTTCGGTTAAAATACTGTTATATTACAATGATATTCTATTCATACTGTGCTTGATATACTACATTCACGGAAATGTAATATTTTTGCTGAAATGAGATACGTATTACAGTGGAAAGTGCGATAAAATCGTGACGAAAACAATGACTTTCGCTTTCTTTCCTTCAAAAGATGTTACCGTAATCGCTTTTCGAATGGTTTTCAGTTAAAAAAAACTGTTGCATCACAAGTGAATTAGGATAGAATATTATTGTAATACAACAGTTTTTTAACTGAAAACCATTCGAAAAGGGATTACAGTAACATCTTTTGAACGAAAGAAAGTGAAAGTCATTGCTTTCGTCACTTTCCACTGTAATATGTACGTCATTTCAGCAAAATATTACATTTCCATATTCTCAGAAATAAATAGTAGTTTTGCTGAAACTTAATGCATTTCAATGTAAATTAGGATAAACTACATGAAAACAAAAGATTTTACCTCACCTTCCGATGTTCAAGATATGTTACTCGTTGTTTTAGTAGTTTTCGGTTAAAATACTCTTATATTAGTGATATTCTATTCATACTGTGCTTGATATAATACATTCACGGAAATGGCAGATGGGCATCTCCCGCACACACTCCATTATTAGTCAGTTCTTTAGTGTGTGCCACACCATCCTCCCCCTCTCAATCCACCCAGTACATGGATGAGGGAAGGGAGGGAGCTGTAGCACCCCAATATTTTGGGTATAAATTGCACCACAGAGTATCTAGGACACCAGAAATAATATTCAGCACTCCCTGGTAATATTTGGTTCCTGTAGTACTGACCCAGTAGCACCCAGCAACCTCCTCCATTCATGTCAGGCCAACCATTGTATGCAGAATGTCTCCACTATTACGGTAAATCCAGTGTTGTAGATTTTATTTAATTTACAGTTCAATTCATTTTATCTGAATTCCAACTATCTGAATCTTTCAGGTATCCCAACTTTGTCCCTGTTCAGTACAAATTCAAATTTAACCCAACAATCTGAACACAACTAAAGTAATTTAATCATGTGTCTGCCACCAGTAGTGTCATAACCACTTTATAAAAAAAAAATTGCTATGATAAACAACAAAATTGATCTGTAATATATCATAATACAACAGCACACAATTTATGTACAAAAGTAGCTCTTTCCACACTCAAGTCATCATCTAAGCGACACCACACAGTCCAGTCAGGCAGTCAACCAGCTGACTCCGGGACGTGAGTGTATGCTATGACGTCACATCGGGGGAAGGGACCCAGGTGAGTCGGTGACGGAGTGTGCATGCACGCACACTCACTTGAGTGAGTGAGGTCCTGTGACACCAGACCAAGTGGTGTCCCCATGATGCTACGACACCATGTAGTGAATGAGTTGCTACAGCATCATGTGAGGTTCCTCATAACACCATCTTTGAGGGAATTACTACACCACGTGATGCCCCTCATAACACCATCTGTGAGGGAATTACTACACCACGTGATGCCCCTCATAACACCATCTGTGAGGGAATTACTACACCACGTCAAGCCCCTCATAACACCATCTGTGAGGGAATTACTACACCACGTCAAGCCCCCCATAACACCATCTGTGAGGGAATTACTACACCACGTGATGCCCCTCATAACACCACCTGTGAGGGAATTACTACACCACGTCAAGCCCCTCATAACACTATCTGTGAGGGACTACACCACGTGAGCCCCTCATAACACCATCTGTGAGGGATTACTACACCACATGACGCCCCTCATAACACCATCTGTGAGGGAATTACTACACCAAGTGAGTTCCCTCATAACATCATCTGTGGGGGAATTACTACACCACATGAGGTCCCTCATAACACCATCAGTGGGGGAATTACTACACCACGTGAGGCCCCTCATAACACCATCTGTGAGGGAATTACTACACCACGTGAGGTCCCTCATAACACCATCTGTGGGGGAATTACTACACCACGTGAGGTCCCTCATAACACCATCTGTGAGGGAGTTACTACGCTACGTGTCTGCTGTTCAACACCTCAGCGTACATGATCTACATGACCTCCACTGTAAACATTAAACTGGATGTTCACTGTATGTCCTTTACCTTTCTCTAATGAAGGCTTTTGTTAAACCACCATTGTATGTAAAAGTCATTTATGTCCAATGTATATTTTCAGCCTTAGGGCTGCAGAACTTAAAAAGTCTCTCTCTCTCTCTCTGCTCTCTCTCTCTCTCTCTCTCTCTCTCTCTCTCTCTCTCTCTCTCTCTCTCTCTCTCTCTCTCTCTCTCTCTCTCTCTCTCTCTCTCTCTCTCTCTCTCTCTCTCTCTCTCTCTCTCTCTCTCTCTCTCTCTCTCTCTCTCTCTCTCTCTCTCTCTCTCTCTCTCTCTCTCTCTCTCTCTCTCTCTCTCTCTCTCTCTCTCTCTCTCTCTCTCTCTCTCTCTCTCTCTCTCTCTCTCTCTCTCTCTCTCTCTCTCTCTCTCTCTCTCTCTCTCTCTCTCTCTCTCTCTCTCTCTCTCTCTCTCTCTCTCTCTCTCTCTCTCTCTCTCTCTCTCTCTCTCTCTCTCTCTCTCTCTCTCTCTCTCTCTCTCTCTCTCTCTCTCTCTCTCTCTCTCTCTCTCTCTCTCTCTCTCTCTCTCTCTCTCTCTCTCTCTCTCTCTCTCTCTCTCTCTCTCTCTCTCTCTCTCTCTCTCTCTCTCTCTCTCTCTCTCTCTCTCTCTCTCTCTCTCTCTCTCTCTCTCTCTCTCTCTCTCTCTCTCTCCTTTTTTACTTATTTTAGTTTTTTATTATATTTCTTCATTTCTAAGCCACATTAGAGTACATTAGTGTAATTCTTAGTCTTTTGATCTGTAATAAAGAAAATGGTTTACTAGGGCAAATTATAATGTCTTGAGTGATATAGATTACATGTTTATTTACATACTCAAACTTGAATATTGAACTGATTAAGCTTTCATAATGATTGCAATAATTTTCTTTAAATTTCAGAACAATTATTGTAATGTTTTTTGGCAGTCCCAAAGTTTTTTTTTTTCTGAAACAAACAGACAAGTGAGTAACACGGTAACTGGGTAATGGTCAAAAAAAAGCACAGATTTGTAGAAAAACGGATGTTTGAAACAGGAATTTGCGGGGTCAGGGTGTATTAATTCCTACATGCCCTTTCTAATTCCCTTTTAGAGGCATATATTTTTTCAACACTTAAACAGTATCATTAGTAATACAGTAGTACCTAAATAAACACTGACAATAGCATGTGCCAGAATAACAAAATGTCTCACCTTATTGCCTGGATCTCCACCCTGACTAGGTATCCCAGTGACTAGACTCTTGGGACGTGTGAACTTGAAGGAATTACCAAAAATCTCCTCTAGCTCACTGTCAGTGCTGGAACCTTCAGGAGATGGTTGCCACTGTCTGCTGCTGGAACATAAAATGAAATGCCATAAATAGTTCTTTCACAAAATAATTACAGTAAAATATCTTTCAATCAAAAATCTACTTTACAAAATAATAAACACTGATCTAAGCATTCTAAGTTCCCATTCTATGGTTGAACCCTACAGGTCATTGTGACATCTTAAACTTTACCGTTATGTTTACTGAGCACTGCGATTAACAATGCTTGACCTATGACCAACACTGGGTCAAGTATCAGTCTTCAAGACTTCTTATTTGCAGAAGATGCATAAATAGTGACAAGGATGCATCAGTTAATGTTCAAATGATAGATGACAGAATTGCAAATATGGCCGTGAATTCAGACGAATCATTTGACAGTGAAAAAATCCAGGAATGATTAGTCAGTTTGTTGTTCTAGCTGACTGGCAGAAGTGTGGTTGTAAATACTTACAAGGGTAAAGATGCACTTAAACATGGGAAATATAGGGAACTGGACTGTTAGATAAGGTTATGAAAGTTGAGGAAAAGGTAACCAAGAAACTGATATGGGAGAGAGGGGACATAAGCAAAAAAATGCAGTTTGGATTCATGCCAGGTAGGGAGACTACCTGGGTACTATTTATGGCCAGGTAACAAGAGAAATGTCTAGGGATGGAGAGAAAGTTGTACTTTGTATTTGTAGACTTCGAGAAGGCATTTGAGTTTCCATGTGAAATATTGGCCACAAAGAGGGCATTGAGAAAGCATTGTCTTGTTCACGTGGTTATGGCATTATATGAAGCCTCAAGAGCCACTGTGAGAGTAAATAGCGAGGAAAGTGAGGAATATGAAGTGAAAATATGGGTTAATCTTCAGCCCCCTTCTGTTTATCACAGTAGTCTCACCCAAAAGTTTGTTAACTCTCCCATCCAGCTATTACTGCACTGCCTGCTTCAGATGTTTGAAACTGTCTCGGTACCAACCAGAACATGAAACCAATACGAATGAATCTAAAGGTTCGAAGTAAGAGACTCATGATATGATGAAAGCAAAAGACAGCCAAATACTGTCTGTAAGAAAGGTGTTAGCAACAACTCCATAATGTGCGAGTGTTGAAGGTGGGTACACAACAGGTGCAGTCGAGTAGATGGCAAACTGCAGGTTGTTGTTGACTTTAAGCTTAAATTTCTTGTATCTGCAGGAACCAAGCAATGCTGGAGAAACTCAACACTGGGATACAGTACTGTATATCCCTGGACTGTATTGAGGAGTTCTGTTACCTGGATGACATGATCATTGCTGGAGGGGTGCTTGAACTAACTCAGTTACAGGAGTCAGAAAAGGCTGGAAAAAGGTTTGGGAGTTGCTGCCTTTTATTGATGGCAAGACTACCTTCCCTCTGCATGAAAAGAAGGGTGTATGCAACTGACATGGGAAGTATGATGTTGTATGGCAGTGAGGCATGGGCAGTTAAAAAGGATGACATGACACACAGTAGCTACACAGGTTTGGGCAAGCTGAAATGTGAATGGTGAGGTGAATGTGCAATATGCCACAGAAAGATAGGAAACTTTATTTAGAGTTATAAGGGCAGCTGGTTATTCAGAATACAATATTGACAATGTTATGCATACAGGTATGCTGAGATGATTTGGGTTTGTGGAGAATGGTGGAAACCAATTGGATAAAGAGAAGCATGAGCTTAAACATGGAGAGCCAAGAATGATATAGGGGGAGGGTGTAAGAAATTACATCAGTTAATAACCTGCACAAAAGTGGAAAATGGGTGTAAAATTCTTTTTGTTGATGGTAGTGATAATGACGATGATGATATGCATTAGAAGAAACTGTATCTTACCTATTTTGATGACAACCAACTAAAGGTTTTGATCCAGCACTGACATTCGACTGGAGATGTACAAATCCTACAGGTACTTGGTCACCTGACCCTGTGGCCGACAGCTGAGACTGCAATCCTTGAGACTGGGACAACTGGATCTTAGAAAGATTGCCACTGGATACTGATGTAGCGGAACATTTTGTTGGCTGGGAGTTCATGGGAGATTTTGAAGAGCTCACTCTGGCAAAAGCCCTCTGGCCACTGTGGTTACCAGACACTGTGAAGATGGTGCAAGGACTGGGGTTGCCTTGTAATGACTCAGAAAAAGTTTCTCCTTCACCCAAAGGATTGCTGGACCCAGTCACTTTCTGACCATTAGTATAGGTCCCTGTAGACACTTGCTGGAATCCTCCATTAACATGCATGACAAGTTTTGATGGAACTGAACTTTGACTAAAAGTTTGTGTTTGTACAGCTGGTAACACTGTAATGACCGTAGAGGACTCCTGTTGATTTAATCCTTCAGTCCTCGTTATGACCTTGATCACCTGCATGTTCTTTGGAAGAGTTGAAGTGAGAGCACCAGTGTGGGACCCAGGCTGAGCTACAGTGAGAGGCACCAGTCCACCATTCACCATCAACACTGGGGAAGTCTTCACATTTTGGCTGGTTGTGCAAAAAAATTTATTCATTGGTTGGCCATAGTTCGAGTTGCATGACTCTATTAAGCTGCCTGATGTAAAGGCTTCCCTTGCTTCATGATGGGAAGCCTTATATCCCTGAAAATGAAAATACAGTATAATTAAATTTCCATATTATTATTATTATTTGCTAATTACAATTACAGTCAACCCTCGCTTTACGCGGTCCCACTTTACGCGGTACCCTGCCGAACACGGAATGCTCACTTTCCGCGGTGCGTGTACCCCTTTACGCGGAGAGCAGCTGGCGGTCCTCTCGCGCCGCGCCATTTTTGGATCCAAACCTCCCGCCATGTTGTGTAAGTGGCGCGAGTAGGTTGCGCAGTGTATGTCTTTGTTGCGTTATCGGTGACGTCATATGACGTAGCGGACTGTGATTGGGCAAAGCATCCTTACCTCCCTCCCTGCTAGCTGTGATTGGTATAATGTAGTACTATGACATGCCCCGCTGTGGGAGCGTTCAAGCCCCTTGACCTACCGCATCAGTTACACCCCTCCCGGCTACACCATGTATATCAGTATCCATTGTTCCATAAGAATGGCTTCCACCGGACCACCACCACCACAAAGAAACCTTGCATTACCTGGACCCAGCCGCCCTAAGCCAAAGAAGACACGACGTTCCTTAAGCTACGAAATCAAATATAAGATCATACAAGAGTTGGAGAAAAGAACAAGACAGGTTGATCTCGCGCGCCAGCATGGTGTTAACGAATCAACTATCAGGACAATTAAGAAGGATGCAGCCAAGATAAAGGAGCACATGAACATCACAAAGTCTACAGGTGCTTCTATGATCAAGTATTCCCACAACCAGGTGCTTCTCAAGATGGAAAAATTACTTGTGAGCTACTTGGTGCGTCAGGCGCGACGGAACATGGCGGTGGACACGCGCTCAGTTAAGGAGTACGCACGTGAACTGTATGCTGCAGTGTCACGAAAGATGGGAATTACAGAGCCCAAACCCTTTAATGCTTCCTCTGGGTGGTTACAGAGATTTAAGAAGAGGAACAAGATCACCAATATCAACATTGGTGGTGAAGAAGCTAGTGCTGACTGTGTTGCGGCTAGGGAATTTCCTCCGTTTTTACGTGAGATTATGGAGGAAGGACAGTACACCGACGACCAGTTGTTTAACATGGACGAATCTGGTCTTTTTTGGAAAAAGCTACCTTCCAAGACCTTCGTTGTGAAGAATGCCAGCAAGTGTCGGGGCCGGAAGATGCAGAAGGAGCGCATCACCGTCCTGTTTACCACCAATGCCTCCGGAACCTGTAAGCTCAAGTTATCGGTGATCCACACAGCATGCAAGCCGCACGCCTACAAAAGTATGGACATGACCAAGCTAAATGTCCACTGGCTGACCGCACGTAAGGCGTGGATGTTCTCTACACTGTCCCTCTCCTGGTTTGATGACTGTTTCGTTCCCGATGTGAAGAAATTCTGTGAGCAACAGAATGTGCCATTCAAGATTTTGTTGCTGCTTGACAACGCACCAGGACACTCGCCCCTACTGTTAGATCGTCACCCCAACGTAAAAGTGGCCTTCCTTCCTCCCAACACTATGTCTATAATACAGCCCATGGACCAAGAATTGATCTGTAATGTAAAAGCTGCATTCTCTGCTAAAAAATTCAACCTCCTGAACGACTACACCAACACCAAGGAAGAGTTGCGTAACCTGAGTGACACCAACACCGATAGCAAGAGCGAAGACGACGAGGATCAACAGTTGGCAGAGCAAGAAGTACTTTTGAAACAATTCTGGAGAACATTCAACGTCAAGAAAGCTGTGGACTTCTTGGTGGAGGCATGGTATCAGCTGTCTGTAGCAACTGTTCGTCACGCATGGAGACATGGTGTTGCAAGGCATTCCGGGTGTTAGGCAGAGTAAATCTGTGACTGGTGAGGTTCAGACTGTTGCAGTAGCAGTGGACCTTGCCAGAGAAGCTGCGCAGAGTGTTACAGCTGCAGGCTTCTCCGAGACCACCAACGACGACATCCTGGAGGTGATAAGGGATCCTGATGTGACTACCGACGAGATGGTAGATGATGATGTCAGTGAAGAGGCAGGTGGTGCGTCATCCCAAGAAGAACGCCGCTTATCCCATAGTAATGTAAGGGGTGCCATCGAGTGTATTGAGAAAGTCGAGCTCCTCCTTTCCGACGACCCTGACGCTAACAGGTATGAAATCTTCACTACCCAGCTGTTGCAGACTATGGAGCCCTACATCAAAGTTTATCATGACAACATAAACACCAGCTGTCAGCAAAGCATAACAGGGTTCTTCGCCCACAACCCACCACAGCCAGCCCAAGCCAGTGATAGTGACAGAGGCAGAGACAGTGATGATGACTTTGAGGGATTTGTCAGGGAGGCACTAGTAAGTGTGGATGACACCGATGAAGACTCACCTGAGGGCCAGTAGCCTGCCCTCTGCCTCGGAACCAGCCTCCATTCCCCTACGCCGACCCATCTCTTCTACTAATGTAAGTGTTAACCCCAACCTTGTTTTTTTTTCTAACCTAACCTTCAGTATATTATTCTCTTATTGATTGTTCCCTTCTATATTATGTGTGTGTGAATACCATCATAAAGTTAAGATGTTATTTTTAGTAAAACGTATGTATTGTGTCGGGAAAAAGTGGAGTTTGGGGGTCGGCCCGGTCTCTTTTTCAATTAATCCCATATGTTATGTTGTTCACTTTACGCGGGCCGCCGTGGGTTCAATTAACCGCATAAAGTGAGGGTTCACTGTATATAATTTAACCCTCAAAAGGGGCAATTTCAAAGATGATATCAGAAGGCAGGGCAGAGGGTGGAGGGTATGACTGATCCCTGTAAAACATGTTGAAGAGAGTTTTCAACACAATCTTGGTATCAATTGAAAGTTCTTGACATAACAATTCAAATGTGTCTTATATCTATATAATGCCCAAGAAATCCAAGATGGCTAACATAGCCACCATTAACAGGAAATGATCCAAGTATTAGCCATGCTGCCTGAATACAGTACAATGCCTCCTTTTAATGATTTATTAAATGTTATCATCATTTAATATTTGTCGAACCATTCTTGTCCGTCAGAATTCCCCAATTCTTCTAAAAAGGAGAATAGTATACAGTAAACCCCCAATTTCTGTGCAGGTTAGGTTTCTATAGTTCTGCAGATAACAAAGTTCTTTTGGGAAAAATGGAATGCATTCCAGACTCCACATGGATATCCTCCAGCCACTAAATCTGTTAAAAAGTAACTACAGTACTACAATTAAGTTTATAAAAAAAGAGAGCAAGAAACTGGGTGGCTACTAAGGCATTAACCTAATACAATCCTGCCTTTAGTGCATGAAAATTATTATTACCTGTATTGCAGTGTTGTTATTATTATCATCCCTTAAGCCCTGAGTGACGTTCCAAAACGTCCGTCCAGCGTGCCCCGGGTGACGTTCCAGAACGCGTGCCTATTCCCGCCACTTTAAATGCCCAGCGCAGGTTATCAAGTTCCAGTGTGACTATTTGCCTGTCATACCACACGCTTGGCCACAGGGAAGCTTCCTGAACATAATTACCTGCTTTGTTTGTTTCATTTTCATGGTTTGCCCATTTTATCATGTTGTATCAAATTAATATTGCTAAAAGTAGTGTACAGTGGTCCCTCGGTTAACGAGCACAATCCGTTCCAGCAGGTTGCTCGTTAACCGAAACCATTGTTTCAATGGGTTTTTGGGTAATTGGTTCCAGCTCACCGAAAATTGCCTAAATTCAACAAAAAAGGTAGAAAAGTACACTTACTTTGAAGTGTGTATGTAGAAGGCTCCTGGATGATGATGGGAATTAGAATGGGGGTGGAGGAGAAGGGAGAAGAGAAGGCTTTCGGGTGGAAGAGAACTCACCCCATGGCACCATTTCACCCATAAAATTTTAGTTCTCTTGGTGTAATTCAAGATTATTTTCTTTAAATCAACACTGCACAGCATAATATATTGTCAATATGTAAAATAAATTTCAAAATGACCAATAATTTGCTTGGAAACACAGAAAAAAAGCGTTTAGTTGAAGAGTCTCTCAAGCAAAATGTTACCTCCACTGAAAACAGAGAGAGACTAACGCCTGTCTGGTGTGTTAACAGGCTGGATGGCACGCCAGAAACTAGTTTCTTTACCTTCAATTATGTTCAATAATTGTTAAAATGACTAAAAAAGTTAATATTAAACTTTTAAAATTATTGAATAGTATAAACTCCTTGATATTTACTAAAAATAGTAAGGAATTTAAGCCCTAAAACCAATTACTGTATTGGCGAACTAATACTACAGCTGGTGGACCGCCAAATGCAACCGAAAACATGTTGAAGTCCGCTCGTAAAAAACTCATTAATCGAGGGATTGCTCGTTAACCGAAGTTAAGAATCTTATGGAAGGTAAATCGTTAACCGAAATCTCGTTAACCGAGGGATCACTGTAGTTGTATTGTAGGGTAGTATTACTGTAAAACAATACTACTATGATTATGTTATAAATGTATTTATTTGTGGAATTATTATTATTTTATACATTACTTGCTCTACCAAACGCAAAGACAGCCTGGAAACCGACTGGTGAGTGTTGCCAAGCACTTTTTATGAAAATTTATGCAAATATATTCTAAATTAATTATTTATAGCATATAAGTATTAAGATCAGTAAATATATGCATTATTGGCCACCCTGGACACAAAGGTGAGCTAAAAATAGCTGCTAAGTGAGTAGGGACCACGAGCGTCAGCTGTCAAACCAACATTGCCTCCTTATCTCCCCCCCTCCTCCCTCCCTCTGTGCAGTCACAAAAGTTTCTAGAGGATCAATATATACAGTCTCTCCTCGACCCAACGACCTGGTCGTAAGTCGAAAAAGCGAAAAATAATAGAGAAATTCTAAAATGGTAAATTCAGTACAGTAAAAGTAATCAATAATGAAAAATGAATAAAGTGTTACTGTGAACTTACCTTTAACGTAGTCAGCTGAATACACACAGGGCCTCAATAATTTTTTAATTAAGCATGTAGACTACATTAATTGGACGAAGCAGAGGAGGAGGAGATAGGGCTGGGTGTGTCATCAAGTTCACTTTCTTCAGACAGGCTAACATACTTGCTTGTTGAGGGTATTGGACCATCTTTAGGGAGTGTAGAGGCAGCAGTGGTGGGGCGTGAGGAGACAGCAGTGGGAGACTTCTTAAAAACTATGTCAAATTTAGACTGCACAGTTTGCTTTTTCTTTTCATTGCACATCTCCCTGTAGCAAGCACGTGCATCTTGGATCAGTCTGTCAACTTTTGCAAAACGCTCAACATTTTGATCCATTTCTTCAAACATTTGCATCCCCTTAGTAATAGTAGCAAATGCCTCTGCCATTTGTTTCACTGAAAACTTTTTGGGGGGTGCAGGTTCTTCTACATTTTGTCTCTCTTCTTCCTCTGCAATTTTCTGTGCATCCAGTTCAATACGATCCTCGTTACTTAGGTCTTCTGCTACACTTTTCACCAACTGCTCAACATCTTCATTATCAATTTCTAACTCCAGCTGTTGACCCATCTGCACTATCTTGTTACTAATCTCAGAAATTGCTTCATCTTCACTAAATCCTTTGAAACTGTTCACATATCTTTTCAGGACCTTCTTCCATATTCCATTCATGCACTGACCTGTAACCTCATCCCATGCTGCAGCTATGTTCTTTGTACATTGCAAAATGTTGTAGTCCTTCCAAAACTGAGCGTTTTCTCACCTTCAGTAGCAGCAATAGCCTGAGCGAAGGTCGTACGTAAATAATACACTTTAAAAGCAGCAATAGCACCCTGATCCATGGGTTGGATGATAAGAGGTAGTGTTAGGTGGAAGGTAGACTCCCTTAACATCAGGGTGCAGGTCGTCCAGATGTGGTGGGTGTCCCGGAGCATTATCTAAAATTAATAAAATATTGAATGCAACCCCTTGTTGCAGACAATACTCCTTGGCTCATGGAATGAAACAACCCAGGAACCAATCCTCAAACAGTGCAAGGGTCATCCATGCTTTTTTATTACTTCGATAAAACACCGGCAGTGTGTGCTTGCTGACATTTTTAAAAGCCCTTGGGTTCTCTGAATGATATATCATGAAGGGTTTTACCTTGAAACCAGCTACATTCGCCCCCAAGAAAAGTGTGATTCGGTCCTTGAATGCCTTGAATCCCGGCATGGTTTTCGCCAGTTTCATCCACATTAAATATTTGCTCAGGCAAATAATTTCCCTCCACGATGACACAATCTAGCTCCTTAAAAGCTTTGGCAGCACCCACATCAGCACTTGCTGCCTCTCCACTCACCTTTACACTGTGCAAACTGTAATGTTTCTTAAACCTTTGGAACCACCCATGACTTGCTGTGAAGTTTTGGTCGCACTCATCTCCTGCCTGTTCTTTCAGGCTTTCGAAAAGGCTTCTTGGATTAGCCTGTATGGTTAGAAAGCTTAAGGGTACACGCTTTTGCAGCTCATCTTCCATCCACATCACAAGTAATTTTTCCATCTCGTGGAGAGGACCTTTTTTTTTTGTTATTATTGTTCCCTTCATAGGTGCTGATCCTTTCACTACCTCACGAATTCGTTCCTTGTCCTTCAAAATTGTTGATATCGTCGAGTGAGAGAAGCCAAAGTCGAGTGAAATGGTTGCTACCATTTTTACATTTTCATATTGCATTATTTTCATTTTCATCTCAAAAGTAATTGATTGTCTCCTTTTCTTATCAGAACCACGAGAGCTCTCACTTTTACGCTTGCCAGCAATTTTAAAGGGAATTAGAAACAACAATTTTTTTAGTACACAGCACCAAACACCAACTGAGCGGGAAAGGCGTGTATGCTGTACACCACGGGGCAGCCCAGCCCACGCTGTCGTGATAATAATTGGTAAAGAATTATCTTTGTAGGTCTGTCTTATAACTAGAGCCTTAAACCTCTACATTAATTCCTCTTCCTTAATTCTTTGAGTTTCTAGATGCTTTAAAGTTATAGCCAGTAAAACATATTGTAATATACTGTACAGTAAGGTACCTGTTAATAATAATAGTGAATTTTTTTACTTTATTTGCAGCTATAGACATTTAAGACAATGTTACATAATTTACCTCAGAATTCTGGTGGGAAGAGTTGGATGTTTGCTGCTCAGCCCTGGAGTCCATCATGTTTAAAGGTGTCATTGGTAACTGCTCAATCTTGGGTTGTTCTGAACTCTGGCCTTCATTACAAACATTACTCTGATAACCTCGGAAAGTAAGGGCCTTGGGTATCTCTGTTCGGCACATGAGACGCCGCTGAAGAAGGGAAGTGATTTTGGACGCTGTTGAGCTTACAGATTGTAATTCAGTGTTCATAGCTTGCTTCTTTGTCTGTAACAAGATTTTGTTTTTATTTCAATATTCCTTCATCATTTTTAATGAAGGAACAATATGTCTTAATTTACCTACAAAAGGATAGCACAAGCAGAAGCTTGTCTTGGCATAACACAAATCACTAAGAAATTTTAAGGAGAATCAATGCAAGACTAAATTTCTTATTTGACAGAATAAGGAAACAATACTGAGAATGACACATGGCCAAGTGCTGTGACTCAATTTAGATACTGTATACTGTTTGATACCTCTGTATTAGAAATATATATGTCATCTATCATCCCTATTATGTACATATTGTGACTTAAGATGCATAAAACATTTTGGAACTACTGTACAGTATATTAAATAAGGATGGCAACAGCAAAGTACAAATGAGAATTTGTGAAAGCTAAGAAAAAGTGCTAAAGTTTACTGCGGACCTTGGAGGATGGAAAGACTTCAATATTCAACAGTGAAAAATACAGTGATACAGGAGTACATGTTCTCCATCTTCTTAATGTATGAGAATTAAAAGTTTCTTAAGTGCAATGAAGGAAACACATGATTAGCAAAAAAAAAATTTCACAAGTCATTCCCCATCTCCAAATATGTGCATTCCAGTATATATTGGGCCAAATGTTTGATGAAAAGTTCCAGCTGATCAGAGGTGAGACATAGGCTCAGATAGAGATACAGTAATCACTCTGTTCGCCGGAATCTTCGATCCCCAGAACTCTCCACTAGCGAGAGTTTTTTTTTTTTTAAAAACCTTCCAAAAAATTCTGGGAAAAATATTTCCATTCCAGGCATGGGAATGAGTTTCCGAGGATGGAATCATGCGCATTTCTGGAAAATTGAGAAAATCTCTCAGTTCCGTGCAGGAGAAGTGATAAAACACACTGAGCGAGCACGAGATGCTGGGTGGGTTGTCTCGAGCAAGACCCAAGCATAAGGACAGTTCAGGGGATTAGACACGTAAAAGCTGGGTCGCCTACTGAAATCCTACCCTAACTCGTTTAGAGTCGACTGTGATTTTTGGGGGGAAATTTGTTTATTTTATGATAGTTTTATTAACAAGGTACATAATGAACCTAAATATGGAAATTATGGTGAAATTGCATACTGTCGTTATAAATGAATTACAGGCTGAGGAGTGAGGGAGGTGAGCAGTCCAACCGGCACTCCCTCCCTCCTCCTCCCGGCTACACACCCAGACATACCGTTGTTTTGTATTTTTCTTTTCATCCCATTTCTTTGCATTGTATAAAACTGAATAAGGCTTTCCAAACTTTAATTTTTTGGCAGTGGAACACTTATGTGATTTAAATGTCCATGGTGATGTATACAGTAGTCCAGTGAGTCCTGGCGAGTTGCCAAATAGCCTGCTACTCTCATATAGCTGTACACTCCATCTCCCACACATAATATACCCCTACCCTCTTAATTTTGATTTTTTTTGGTACTTTTATATTAATGTACAGTGATCCCTCGGTTAACGAAATTTCGGTTTACGAATTACCTTCCATAAGAATATTCAATTCGGTTAACGAATTCCTTACGAATTTTTTCCCAACATGTTTTCACCTGCTCACCAGGTGTAGTATTAGTCCGCCAATACAGTAATCGGTTTTAGGGCTTAAATTCGTTACCATTTGAGTAAATATTAAGAAGGTTGTACTATTCAATAATTTTCCAAGTCTTATATTAAAATTTTTAGTCATTTTAACAATTATTTAACATAATTGAAGTACAGGGAACTAGTTTTTAGTGTGCCAAACAACCACTTGACTCACCCAGAATGGCGTCAGTTTGTGTCTCTGCTCAGTGGAGGAAGCATCTTGCTTGAGACTCTCTTGAACATAAACTATTTTTACAATACAATTATTGGTCATTCTGAAATTTATTTTACATATTGACAATATATAGTGCAGTGCAGTGTTGATTAATAGAAAATAATATTGAATTACACCTAGTGAACTTAAAATTTTATGGGTGAAATGGCAGCATGAAGCATGGGGTGATTTCTTTTCCACCCCACTTCCTTCTCTTCTCCCTTCTCCTCCACCCCCACTTCTAATTCCCATCATCAACCAGGAGACTTCTACGTGCACACCTCAAAGTAAGTGTACTTTAATACATTTATTTTTAGTTTGTATGTAATTTTCGGTGAGCTGGAACCAATTACCCAAAATTCCATTGAAACAATGGTTTTGGTTAACAAACGACCTTTTGGAACGAATTGTGTTCGTTAACCGAGGGACCACTGTACAGTAATATATAGTATTTTCTTTATTCATAAAGCACACTAGCACATTAAGATGACTTTTTTGATACTTCTGTGATTACTTACATTAAGTATAACAATGGCATAGCATGCAATTATGTGAAAGGTGATCGACATATTTTGGCATGGGAGAAACTAATACCTGTAGGGCATTTTCATTACTTATTATAGTTATTTGTACATTATACAGGCATTAGACACTTTTAACACTATTTATACATCATATTTGGATACATAGACTTGGTATAAAACAGTGGATGATGCACTCAAAGCATAAGTGAAACAAATGACGTATAATGAAAATTTCTTCCTATATTTGTTAGCAACGTATTTTATACATTCACATATGTGAAATGTGATATGATATATATTGGTACAACGTTTAACGAGGAACCTCTGTACAGTACAGGAGTATTAAACATTATTTTGTTTGCATAAATAAATAAAGCTCTGTGCCTGTCATTGTGCGATGCATAAACTCTGAAAACTTCCCAGGATATGCAAAAAAAATTTCCATACCCAGAAACCTTTCAATCCTGGAACCACTCCTTGAAATTTCACATTTGATGATTTAAAAAACTGCAATTTGAAGAGATAGTCAAAAGCAGTTATTACGGTGTTTTTGTTTTTGATTCTGGCTATTTTGCACCATAGTAGGAAATGGTCTAAAAACAAATAAATATATGCCAAATTAAAACACATCAGATTATTTGTAGAAACAGAATTCAAGATACACTAGACTAGTAACTGAATACAGATACAAACTTTTTCCAGGGATGATGACTGACTGGTCCTGGTGTACACGGAGTCACTGGTTAAGTGTGAACATTGCAGCTGCTCCTTCTGTAGTAGTTTCTCTCGCTCTACCTCTGCTACCTGTTCAGAAATAGACGAACATTAATGAAGAGCAATCCACACTTATTACATGAACAGCTATTTGTAAGTAATACTAATTAAATGCTTAACACCTGTACTACAAAAACTAAGTAATTGTTTTACTCACCCAATCAAAACTTTAGGAAAATCCTTTAATTCCAATTCATGGCCAAACCATAACTGGGCAACTCAAATAATACTGTATGCTCATTAAGCCATTGGTCTAGACCCAGGAGACATGATATTAGTGGCTAAGACTAATTTCAGGATTAATCTGTTCTCCCCTATTGCAACTAATACAATGTCCAACTATTAAGAGGGAAGGCAATGAGGTTAGTTGTGTAATATCTATCATTATACGTCAATCCTTTATGTAAGGCAGTGATGAAGTATCAAAATTAGCAGACAACTTACTGGTTTATATCATTGATGTTCTACAAGCTGTACAAACAGAACTGCTGCATCTACATAATTATCACACAACAATAAAAAGGTTGCAACACAAATTGATGCAATGTTGCCATTAATATCACGTTTCTTATTTATCATTCCAGACTTATATACAGTACTACAGAATTTAAAGTCATCGTTCAAACTAGAGCCTGTTGGGTGTTGGGAGTGATGTTATATAGAAGGTGGAGTGTGAGGGGTGATGTCTGGGTTAGTAGATACTGAAGCAACAAGATAGGCACAGCTAATATTAATTTTACTTATTGTATGAAGAGTTCTTTAATGATTTTTTAATAAGTTCCAGTAATGTCACTTGTCCCATGTACAGTCCCCCCAAAAGTATAATTAGCCATGGGGTCAATGTGATTTGAAGCTTTCCAAGCAACGTTACACGCCCTGTTTCTGAACGGCTGGTAGTTCTACATCCGTGACCTTTGAGCATGAATGAATACATATACAAGTTTTCAAACGATACACACATTATTATAGCTTAATGGATTTATTGTTAAATTGAAGTATCTAGTATGCCATACAAGGATACAACCACAATAGAACACAATATTAAAAGAAAAGACAGGAAAAAATCTCACTGGATTCAATTGTATAGTATTGAACTGTACTCACTTTTATGTTGTTCAAAACTACATAATGTAAATTGAGGTTCCACCCATATCTATTGTAAAGATCAGTTTATACAATATATCTTTAATAACTAGAAATAATTGAGCAGCATTAGAAACACTTGCCTGACAGATGTCATGAAGAGATGGATGACGTGTGAGCTTCCGAGTTTGTTTTGAAGTGATGTCTTCACTACGAGTTCTCTGAAGTCTACTTCTTTTAGCAGCTGCAGGTAACCCAAAGTAAGAAATATAAAGACACATTTGCTCCCCTTAATAATTAATATCCTACTTGCTGACCTAAAAATAATGTTTGAAAAAATAATGTCGGATTAAAACATAAATAAAAAAAAAATAAAAAAAATAAAAACTAATCCCTTTGGTATCAGTCCATTTTATTGTGTAATTTTATGTAAGATAGCCATCTTGAATTTTAAAAAATTACCACCTGCAAAGGCATTTACCTCAATATTTCAATGTCTAAACCACCAAGGTCTTCATGTTTATGGCTAAACATAAGTATCTAAGGGCAAAGAATCCAATGGTACCAGGTATAATGTGGTACAACCACTTCTAAGACCATTTTGTCTTTTGTCAAACAATTTTTATGGTATCAATATGTACAACCCAGGTAGTAGGTAGTAGGCAGCTACCAAACAGGGAGGTACTACCACCTGGAAAGATATTGGAAGCATTATGTGTTATCTAATGGTAGACCCTACTGCTATATGGCTTCACGAAAATCGTGACCAAGTCCCAGGTTTCTGATCTGACTTTCTGCCTCATTTACACAATTGCAGGGTCTCAATTGTTTCTCTTACTTGACAACACAACATACATATAGGGTTTCTCACTATTGATTTTTTGTTTTTCATTTTGTATTTCTTTATGGTTCGTTGTTATTATTATTATTATTATTATTATTTCAGTGTTATTATTATTATTTTACTTTACTTTTTATTATAAATTTTATTTACTCTGAATAATTATTACATTTTCACCCACGAGGCCCCGATGTGGGTCAGTGACCTGTGCCCGGGTGAGCTAATCCCCGTAAAAAATAAAAAATAAAAAAATAAAAAAAAATAAAATATCGAGAAGGCGGTGACTGTGTTTACAGTGGTTCCCTTTGTTTTATTTTAGGTTCGGCAGGTTCCAGTACGTGAACATCATGAGTGACATACCCAACCTTGGTTATGGAGCTCATCAAACCCATGAATCCACAAACTGGAAGTTGTGTATTCTGTACCAATCTGCTGACACAAGGAAAGGAGGCAATTGTGCAACAGCCCAGAATTGACTCATATCAGCAACTGTTGGAGACAGTTCAAGAGAAAGTCAGTTTGCTTGATGGCAACTATGTTCAAGGGCAAAATCGACTACAAGACTGCACAAAAGAAAAATTTTCCAGAGAAAGCTATGGCACCATACTTGCTACTTCACTGCAGCTAACAAGGACCGGATAGTGTGCCAGAGACTGCAAAGCCTATGCATTATCAACTGGGTCCTACACTGTCAAAAATCGAGGACGTAAGAGAGGAAGCACCAAAATAGATAAGTCTGACCAATCTTCTTCTGCCAGGTAGTAAGCAGCGACCAAACAGGGAGGTACTACCGCCTGGGATGATATTGGAAGCATAATGTGTTGTCTATGGTAGACCCTGCTGCCATATGGCATCACAAAAAAATGTAACAGTCTCAGGTTACTGATCTGACTTTCTGCCTCATTTACACACAATTGCAGGGTCTAAATTGTTTCACTTGCTATTGACAACACAACATACATACGGTACAGTATACCGTTTCTCACTTTTGATCTATTTTTTTCATTTTTTTATTATTATTATTGTTAATATTATTATTACATTTTTGCCCCTCAGACCCTGATGTGGGCTAATCCCCGTAAAAAAAACAAAAAAACTTCACATGGTTGTGCACAATGACACTGGACAAGGACCGGTGCTTCTTCTGTTAGAAGGCCAGCAGTTCTTTAGAGCAAGGAATGAAAATGCTGGTAAAGATATCAGACACTGTAGAGATGACCCTAGATGCCTCATTCAAAACAAGATTGAACACGTGTATATAACCCTGTGATGCACATGCAATCGGCATTATCTACCACAGATTGTGTTGGACTAAACACATGTTCTGTGTTTTGCGAGACAAGCAGCAGAAGCAGTGTACACAAAGAGAACATAATGCAAAGTGCCTGTCTGATTGAACTGATCAACCTCATTGATGTGCAAACTCAGAACCAAGCACACCTCTCAATGAATGACATTGAAACCACATATGTCAACATGCTTGGTACAGATGGCTTAGAAGACCATTCACCTGCATTCAGTAGACAGTAGCTGAAAGACATGATCCTCACCGAGTTGCCAAGTATGACATCTGTCCTCTACTCTCCAGCTGCAAGTGAGGAAGACCTGGTCCATTCTGCTATCACAAGTGAAGGTGATGACATGACCAATAGCAAGGTCATCTACAAAGCAGCACAGATGATACACAAATGCATTGCTGACTTTACCAAGGAAAATCCAACCAATATCTAGCAGCATTGGCTAGTTTTTATTAAAGAAGGGCAACAAGGTTCTTGAAAAATGTCAAACAATATTCATCAAAATGTAGTGGAATAAATGTAGAAATATTTATCAAGCAAATGTAATTAAAAAAAAAATTTTTAAGTACCTGTCCTGTATAGTATTCAAATAGAAGTTCAATCCACTTAAGAAGAATACTAAAGTATCCCTTCCCCGCACACACACCGATAGGTTAAAATGTATGAGAAAAGCATAAGGATATACAGTACACAAAAAACAAGTACAGTACCTGGCAATGTAGATGCTGAAAAGTCTGTTGAGAGTTTTCGTGGTCGCCCTCTTTTTTGTACTGGTGGAGCAACATTGGAGGGTGTAACATCATGGTCACCGAGAGAAGTAATGTTTTCCTTCCCTCCACTACCTCCTAGACAGGATGGCAGTAATGAGTGGCGGTGGAGCACACCCAATGTGACTGAGGAAAAAACGCTTATCACTGTTCAGTCATAAAATACATATTAAACTCAACACCACAAAACCTTTCATCAACTTCTTCAATAAGATTTGTCTTTTACATGAGTCCTTTATCTTGACTTACACCTTCCTTATCTCCCTTAGGATACACACCTGTACCAAAGAAGGAAGCACTTATAAGAGTATAAAAAATGTATGTGTCTGTGTGGATGTCATGCTAAATCTAGATTCAGTAATTGTAAATTAAGGATAATTTCCACATAAAGTAGTTCTTTATATTTCTAACAAAATTAAACAGGTCTCTATGATTTTGATACATATTGTAAATCAGGGTGCCGCTCGGCCCTTTAATTATTCCATGAGTGTTTGCGTTATATTATTTTTCCTTATACCCTGTACCACAATATTCTACATGCTTTGTTCTTTATTTTGGCATATAGTACATTTCAATGAACACCATAATACAAGGAAAATGTGAATGGAAATCGAGATGTGACTAAACATTTTCCTACTTTTCAACTTAGTGAGTTCTGCTATAAAGCGTGTTTTGACAACGCGAATTGGCTCGCGATTTATGAATAGAGGAACAATATTTGTATAACGCGAACGCTTGTTTGCTGTAACACAATTTTTGGTTACTATTTCTCCAATTTTGTGGTATTAACTGTGAATATGGTAAAGAAGAATATCTCCAAGAAGCATTCTGGTGATCGCATTCCGGTGATGATCGTAAAAGAAAGGCTATAACACTTGAAGAGAAGCTCGATGTTATCAACCTCAAAATCACCCTTCTCCCCCATCAAGTTATATTCATATTTTTTCAAGGTAAAGTGTTACATTTACTGTAATATTTTCATTATTAGATATGAATGTAACATTTATTTAGACTGTGCTATCCTTTGTGTTAGGCTAACTACTAAATTTTTTTCGATTTCGAGTAGTAATCTGCACCTAACCCTATTTTCTCCATAAGCCGTTATTTCTATAACGCAAATTTCTATAACACGATGTTATACAAGAACACAACTATCGCGTTATAGCAGAACTGACTGTATACAAAAAAAATGGCGTAAATTTCAAATTTTTTTTTTTATGGTTTCATACAATTTTACGCTAGAAAAGACCCCATTACAATTAATCAAACAATTCCATGGCAATGAAATGAGCCCTAAAAAAATCGGCTATTTTTCCACAAAAACCTCCGAGGCCGAGCGTAAGTTTTCATGCACGTATGTGTCTCAAGGTCCGAGGTTGAGAGGGTTAACACAATTCTCACTTACAAACAAGTCGACTTACGATTAGGGTCCTAGAACGTATCTGTCATAAGTCAGGGAATGCCTGTACAGTATAGTATTCTGTCATAAGTCGGGGAATGCCTGTACAGTATAGTATTTTGTTATAAGTCGGGGAATGCCTGTACAGTATAGTATTCTGTCATAAGTCGGGGAATGCCTGTACAGTATAGTATTTTGTCTAGAGAACAAACTAACATGGTGCACCATATATACATATATACAGCTCCTCCCCGACTTATGACCACTCTCACTTATGACCTGCCTCAGTCGTACCAAAACTGTCGAATTAAGTATTTTCGAGTCCCAACGTCAGTACAGAGAAAATTTTCGTTTGTATTTCACTTTAAAATGGATGGCAAGCTTAAAAGTGAAAGTTTTGTGGTGCTGAGAAGAAAAAGAGACACCCATTTTTTTTCTATGTATTATTCAAGCATTTTCGACTTACGACCTGGATTTGGGTCCCAAACCCCGTCGTAAGTAGGGGAGCAGCTGTATATATATATATACAGTATTGCATTCAATACTTGCATTTACCTTCTTCACTGGTTATGGCTTCTACCTCTGGGCCAACATACTGAAAGGCCTTGGCTGTAGGAACTCTCTTTACTAGTCCCAGGGATGTTAAGACATTGGCAATATCATATAGCCGTCTCCCCCTTGTCCTCAATCGCTCCCCATCTTCACCAACTTCTCCCACCAGCATCCGCACTGCATTGTCCAGGGAAATGATATGAGGCTGTAATAAGAATACTGTATTAAAAAAAATTTTGTAAGAAAATAAGATAGGCAAATAGGAGTTTTTCATGATCTATTAGTTCTTTATTAATATACATTCAATATGGTAATGCCATTACTCTGGGGAAAGGGGGATGGGGGGTAGCCACAAAATTTTAATGAAAATGCCAACACATAAGAAATAGCAGATAATTTTAAATGATACTGTAGTTTGGCTAGTGTAGATGACTTTTGGTTTCATTGGTAGTGAGAAGTCTGGCACTTCATCCTTGTTGATGTACAGCCTCGTTCAAGGTTCTTCGAACACTGCTGGAGACAGCTGGCAACTCGAGGCCGTTTGTTTACTATAGTACATAATAAAAATTATGAATGAATGTAAAAGTGAAAAGTGATTGGTTACTTAGTTCCCCGTTGCTTAAATAATGGTTGGGCTTTGTTGTTTTGTATTATATTATACTACATACTATAGTAAACAAATGGCCTTGAGTTGCCAGCTGTCTCCAGCAGTGTTTGAAGAATCTTGAATGAGACTGTACATTCACATTCTGATGATCAGAGGATCCCCATGAAGAAAGTCAAGGCTAACCACAAACAGTGTTCCAATGAAACCCTAGGTTGAAAATGCCTTTAACCCTAGTTCCAAGATCACATCTCTGAGGCCACCAAGGGCAGGCGAGACAGTGCATGGTGAATATTTTTTGGGGGTTCTATCAATTTCCCCACAAAACTTGTTTTTAATGGCATAAACCAAATATCTTTGGCTTCATAACTGATTACTCTCCAACATAAGCAAAAATATATGTAATAATACAAGTACTATATTTAGCTATTTTTCGTCACATCTAATAAACATGAGGATAAAATACACACCAATACGTTCACAACCTCCTGGACAAAATTGTCTGAGTCAACTGTTTAAGTACTATAAGGTTTCTCATAAGACCAACAGTTTTTGAGAAAATAGCAAAAAACTGATTCTTAAATGGTAATTTATTATTTTTTATTATTTTTGTGCCTGTTTTATATCGATATAAATTATATTGTACAGTATCTTATAGCCAACACTATAACTAAGAGAATGGTACTGATAAAATTCTTGTAAGTCTAGAAAATCAACCTTTTTCAGGTTGTGTAGCCTGATACGGTAACGGCTTTTGAAAACTAAACACTCCCTGTAAATATGAACAAAATATTACATTACACAACCATCACTTCACTTTTCTAACACTAAAAATAAATTATTTCAGGTAGTAGGGTAAGCACTGTAATCCAGGAGTTGAGGCAGCCCGCAAGGAGTTATGGAAATTTAAATGGACATGGCTCACACTCACGGTCTGACAGCCAAGATAATACTGCGCATTTATCGTTCCAGTCTTCCCTTTCTATGGGTCTTGAGAGTTGCCAATTAGTTTATTTGATAGAACTTACTTGCTACTATGACATCAAAATTTGATGCAATTATGTTGAAAACTTAAATTTTGGCAAATTTTTTAATGTTTGGCGACTCAATTTGCGTCACCGTGCAGTTGGTCTTATCATGAATATGATACGAATCACGTCATCATGCGCAAGAGGGCTAAGAACTTTCATGTGCTTGGGGTTTGTTGATGACAACAGCTGAACATACGAGTGTCTGGTGACTGAAAGAAGGAAGGTAGCCCAATGACATATTGTAAGTAAGGATATAAACAGCAGCATTCATGAAATGGAGGAGAGAGGGATCTGGATAATTTAAGCCCTGAAAATGAAAGTGGGTCTAATCGGCATGGATAGTATGGATTCAGCACACTGTATACTATACAAAGAGGCAACATGGACACCACAGCTTTCAATCACCTTCACTTCCCAAATGTAAAGTTAGATCCCCATTTACACTTGCATAGACTGGGAGTGTCCTGGGCTCAAATCAACACCACTTAGGCAATTTCCTACATATTAATGTACTGCAGCACTGTCATTTAATGTGGTAGCAAGGAGTCCAACTATGACTGGATACAGCTTCATATTTCTTGGAAATACTACAGTACAGTATAGTCTCGATTTACGCGGTCAACTGAACCCGTGGAGATCCGTGTAAACCAAGAAATGCATAAACGAAATAACAGAACATATGGGATTAATTGAAATAGACACTGGGCCGAACCCCAAACTACGCTTTTTCCGACACAATACATATGTTGTAGTAAAAATAACATCATAATTTTATGATGGTATGCACCCACAATTAATATTTAAGAGAAATAGTCGCCAGTTAATGTCCATTCAAATAATGAACTCAACTCCCCCCCCCTCCCCTCCGTCTGACCTTGTGCACACCCTGCCCGCGTAAATGATGGAATGAACCGCGTAAATAAAAATTGTCGGTCTGGCAAGGTGCCGGGTAAATGACCAAACGCGTAAACCAAATCCGCGTAAATCTAGACTGGTGTGTTTTTTCCCAGCTGAGAAGAGATGCCCCACCCCCTCCTCAAGAGTTACAGCTGATTGGTTGTTTCAAATCTGTCCGATTTCGTCCTCTTAGTAATGATGTATTTCTAAACGAGTTTATTCATAATCGTTAGGATGACCATTTCTGACGAGAAAGATATTTAGCTAAATTATATAGATACATACATTCATTATTTCAAACATGAGCACGTAGGAAGTTTATCAGAAATTTTATACAGCTCCTCCCCGACTTACGACCTACTCGACTTACATCCACCCGTACTTACGACCTGCCTCAGTCGTACCAAAATTTGGTCAAATTACGTATTTTTGAGTCCCAAAGTCAGTACAGAGACAAAATTTTCATCTGTAATTCACTTTAAAATGGCTGGCAAGCTTAAAAGTGAGTGTTTTGTGGTGCTGAGAAGAAAAAGTGACCCCCATTTTAGATTTTCTATGTATTATTTAAGCATTTCCGACTTACGACCTGGATATCAGTCCCTAACCCCGTCATAAGTCGGGGAGCAGCTGTACATGAATTAACTGTTAAACTCTGGTAGCAAATTCACGCTTTCGGAGTACGCATTTAATATACAGTATGCTTATTTTTACCCACAATAAGGCAAACTAAGACAAAGTATGTATCAATAATACTACATTACTGCTGATGCGAGAGTAGACGGCATATTGTAGCATTGGAGTGAAAGCAGAGAGCTCTCCGTGAAATCTGAAAGTCATATGCAGTCATATTTCCTACCTCTGCTGATAGCTGTTCGCTCGAGTGGCCAATTGTCACACTCATCCACCAACTTTCAGGGGCCATGCAATATTTCAATGTGACTCTGATCTTTTAAAATGTTAGTTTTTGCATATGTAGTACAGTATTATTGATACATAATTTGTCTTAGTATGCCTTATTGTGGGTAAAAATAAGTACAGCTCCTCCCCGACTTACATCCACCCGCACTTACGACCTGCCTCAGTCGTTCCAAAATTTGGTCAAATTACGTATTTTCGAGTCCCAAAGTCAGTACACAGACAAAATTTTCATCTGTAATTCACTTTAAAATGGCTGGCAAGCTTAAAGGTGAGTGTTTTGTGGTGCCGAGATGAAAAAGAGACCCCCATTTTAGATTTTCTATGTGTTATTTAAGCATTTCCGACTTACGACCTGGATGTCGGTTCCTAACCCTGTCGTAAGTCAGGGAGCAGCTGTATATAATAAATGCGTACTCCAAAAGCGTGAATTTGCTACTAGAGTTTAACAGTTAATTCGTGTATAAGATTTCTGATAAACTTCCTACATGCTCATGTTTGAAATAATGAATGTATGTATCTATATAAGTTAGCTAAATATCTTTCTTGTCAAAAACGGTCATCCCAACGATTGTGAATAAACTCGTTTAGAAATACATCATTACTTCAGGACGAAATCGGACAGATTTACAACAACCAATCAGCTGTAACTCTTGAGAAAGGGGCGGGGAATCTCTTTTCAGCTGGGAAAAAATGCACTGCAGTGGTCCCTCGGTTAACGAACGGCTAGATTAGCGAAATTTTGGTTAACGAATTAGCTCCCATAAGGATCTTCAATTCGGTTAACGAACAAAACTTTGATTAACGAAATCCTTACGACAAACACGTTTTGTTGTGAGCATCAGCTGATGGGCTAGTCCGCCAATACAGTAATCTGTTCTATGTTTACATTCGTTTCCAGTCGAGTAAATATCAAGAAGGTTGTGTTCTTGAATATTTTTTTGCATTTTTTTTATATTAAAATTATTGATCATTCTAAAACTTAGCCATCCAAGCTCTGTCTACATAAAGTTTTTGAACTAATATTTTTGGCTCGATATATGTAACTTTATTCATTTATTGAAACTCATTTACATGCACACACTGTCCTAAGGGCAATGCTGAACTGTACATGTAATCAAAATAATGTACAAAATGATTACTAAAACTTTTGTCTAGTGCAAACTATAGGATGTTTACATTCAAATTAATCACTATCTTATAAGAATTCCAGCAATGTAAATTATATTCTCCCCGGTCACTTCTATGACATTTTATAAGCAAAAAACAAAAACTCAATCTAAAGGACATAAATAAACACTTCACTAGACCTTCAGTGCCAACTGTCAAACATGTCACTGTCCCCCACCCTCCCAGCCAGGGTTTGGTGGTTATACAGTAAGATTTAAGTTTTTATCTTATATAATATCACAGACTAAAGTTAGAATAAAATTTGCTTTGCTGGAATCCTTGCAAGGCAGCAAATAATTTGAATATAAATGTCATATATTTTGCACAAGAGAAAAATTAATCACCTGTATCACATTACAGCAGTGATTTAAGAGTTCTAGTGTATATGTACGTATATATACAGTGGTCCTTCGGTTAACAAACACAATTCGTTCCAGAAGGTCATTCGTTAACCGAAAATTTTGTTAACCGAAACCATTGTTTCAATGGGATTTTGGGTAATTGGTTCCAGCTCACCAAAAATTACATACAAAGTAAAAAGAAATGTATTAAAGTACACTTACTTTGAGGTGTGCATGTAGAAGGCTCCTGGTTGATGATGATGATGGGAATTAGAAATGGGGGTGTAATCCAAGATTATTTTCTTTAAATCAGCACTGTACTGCACTATATATTGTCAATATGTAAAATAAATTTCAGAATGACCAATAATTGTACTGTAAAAACATAAAATTAGTTTATGTTCAAGAGAGCCACAAGCAAGATGTTACCTCCACTGACCAGAGATACAAACTGATGTCTTGCTGGGTGAGTCAAGTGGCTGATTGGCACACCAAAAACTAGTTACCTGTACTACAATTATGTTAAATAAGTGTTAAAATTACTAAAAATTTTAATTTAAAACTTGGAAAATTATTGAATAGTACAACCTTCTTGATATTTACTCAAATGGGAACGAATTTAAGCCCTAGAACCGATTACTGTATTGGCGGACTAATATTCCAGCTGGTGAGCAAGCGAAAACATGTTGACATGATTTCGTAAAAAAATTTTTAACCGTACAGTGGGGTATGCTATAACGAATGGATTCTACTACGAATATTCCTATAACGAACGGTTTTACCTATAAAATTGAGAATGCTATAACGAACGAAACTCCTACAACAAACATTATTATTATTATTATCTTTTTTTTTTTTTTTTACTAATTTATTGTTTTTTATTACAAGTATTAATGATATTCTTTATTTCAGGGGTTTAGATGCATATTTATGCACTTTTTTACAATTTTTACATTTTTATATTACATTTTTCAGTGTTAAGTGGTTGTATTTGTGGGCCTGGAACGGATTAATCCTATAACGAACGAATGCTATAACGAACAAGGTTCTAGAACCAATTAGGTTCCTTATAGCATACCCCACTATTTTTTTTCGTTATCTGAATTGAAGATTCTTATGGAAGGTAATTCGTTAACCGAAATTTCGTTAACCGAGAGATCACTGTACAGTATAGTGATTTAAGGGTGATTTAGGGGAATTTTAGGAGTGTTTCTGACTTTATGCGTTTTTGGCTTTATACTTTGTACTTTTCTGTGAGCTGGAACCAATTACCCAATATCCCATCGAAATAATGGATTTGGTTAACGAACGACTCTGTGGAACGAATTGTCTACATTAACCGAGGGACCACTATACAGTATAATGAATGCACATCAATACAGTAAGCACACATAAATAAGGATGCGCATACTTTCACAACAACAACAACAACTTACTTCTGGACTAACAAGCAGCAACATTAGAAACTTCTGACACAGGATTCCTAGTGATTTTTCTCTTCTGGTGTCAGTCTTCTCCCCATCACTGCTTAAACTGGATCCGATACGTTTTGGGAACTGAGAGAAAGCTATAAATAATAATACTACTCATAAATAACATATTCTGATACAAAAGACAATGAACTGATTAAAACATTAATCTACAACTGAACTTCATCCTCCTGAGTGTGTGTATATATATATATATATATATATATACATACAGTATATATATATCTTCATTCATTGTTAGTTTGTCATTCTTATTGTTGCAACACATGTAGTGTATTCTACTATATTTCCCCTTCACAATAAGGCCCCAAATGTCTATTTGGTTGGTTCTAGGACAACTGCCCCCTTGACAACTTGTATTTTTATATAAAACTGAACCCTGTATTATGGCTTAAGTTAGCAAAAATAACACAGGTTTTAAGTTAAATTTCATTAGTTGTGTAAAAATGGCAAGCCACACAACCCTTACAATTACATGTTGAAATTGAATTTAAAATAAGGTCTGAAGGACTAGGGGGGAGAATAAGAGTTTGAGGGAAGGAACTACACTAGCAGGTTGGGTGAACAAAGTTGCACAGCATAAGTAATGGAGTGGATGCTGTGTCCTTAGCTTCCATCCTGCCACCCTTGTTTTTCTATTCATATCTATTTCTCCAACCTTTTTACCTCTCCAATGCTCAAAAGTTAATACTTTCACCTTTATTACTAATCTTCTCTTTGATCTTTCTCCATCTCATTTTTACTCTATATCTCTAGCCCTATTTGTGACAATTACAGAAGTCAAGTGAATGACCTGGTGTGACCACAAACTTCAACTTCCCAATCATCAACCTGACACAGTGACTTCCCTTTTCTCACAACAATTAAACTATGACTCAACATGCTTCCATCAATAACCATGGAGTTTGTGAACAGTGAACACAGGAAAAGGAAGCTCATATTAGGAGGTTACATCTATGTGAAGCACAGATTGGCTCAAGGCGTAACACGAGTGCAATATGTGCTGGCAATATAACTGAAAAGTCAAGGTTAAGGTTTGTAGAGAAAAGATATTTGGATACGTACATGAGCACACTCATGCCGTTGACACAGTGCCAACAAGTGTTAAGAGTCAAATAAGAAATAAAGAGAAGGGCCACAGGCACCCAAGAGAATTCGTAACAAATCACCCTGCAAGTAGATGAGAATACTGTAAAGTGTCACAACACAACTACCAACAACCAGACATATTAGATGTGCTATACAATGCTGCAGACAACCTACTGATGCCCCTCAACCCATTCTACTTGACCATGCTCAAGTAGTGAGTCTGCTGTGACAATGGTCCAGGTGACTGCCGCATGCTGATATTTTCCACAGAAATCAATATGAAGTTACTGTACAGTTCTAGACAATTCAGCTGTCTGGTTTAGCCAATGGCACATTTAAGGTTTTACCATACTTATCCTACCAGCTATACACAATCTATTCCCTGACACCAAAGGGAGTTCTGCCATGTGTTTGTGAACTATTCCGAAACAAGCAGACCCACATCCAAAGATCTTCTCTGATAACTCTTCACCATCAACCCCATGCTAAACCCTCAGAAGATCCTCATTGATTAAAAACAAGCTGCCAGGAATATCAATGTAGATGTTTTCTTTAGCTTAAGAGTTAAAGAATGCAGCAGCAATGAAGAGTCAGCTACCAAGACAACAAATATTTTAAGTTCTGAGAACCACAATTTATTTGACTTTTGTGATGAATAGCTCATAACTTAGATACAAGAGGGTAAACAAATGTAATTGCCTTATGGTACATTGCATGTACTGTACTTAGGTTGTAAAAGTTTGCATGCTTACCATTTTTAATACAGTAATATCTCCGTTAGCCGGAACAATTGGTACAGAGCACTTCTGGGAATGAGAGATTTCTGGGAAACGAGACGACTCTCTTAAAGCTGGAAAAAATCCCCGGAAATTTCTGGGTATGGTAACAAAAAAATGATCTCAGAAGTTCCAGATTTTGTCCATTACATCATCTCTCAAACCTGGAAAAATATCCCCCATCCCCGGAAATTTCCGGGTATGGGAAAAATTTTCTCGGAATTTCTGAAAAAAGCGCCTGACTTTCATCTTTCAAACGTGGAATAAACTCCCCCATCTCCGGAAGTTTCCAGGTATCAGAAAAATTTTCTTGGAGTTTTCCAGAAAATTTGCCCCTTGGAAAATCGTTCACAAAGCCGGAATTTTCAGGAAAATCACAGCTTTGGGAACAATTTTCCAAGAAAATTTCAATTCCGGCTATCGGAGAGTTCCGGGCTTGAGGGATTCCGGCTAACAGAGATATTACTATTTTTTTTTCCAATACACAATATTTACTTTGAAGCCTATGCTATTTTCCCCTACAAAAACAGTTTTACTGTATATGATTCAATCTTCTATAAAAAAAAAATACAAGAAATATGTGTTATCTTCCTATTTAAATCATTTTATTTACCCGATATAAGAACACGATATTTGGCTGCAGGGGTCAATTTTACTGCAGGGGTAGTTGTCCATTGCCATCTGGTTAACCCTTGCTACTTCACACAACTTTAAAATCATTGTCTAAATGCTGGAGTGCCTGGAGCTGAGAACCTACATCCAGTCTGAAGCCCAAAGCCTTGAGGCGCCCAAGGGTCTCTTCTAAATGCCGCTTGCCCCTCCATTGGTACATGTTCTTCTGCACTCGAGCAGCCATGTTAAGGCTCTCCAGCACATTAATAATATCATACACTCGCCGCCGCTCAGTGCCCAACATAGATGCTACTTCATCAATGACTAGACGTCGAGGAGTCTCCAAAATAGAGACTTCCATTGGAAACTGCTCTAAGAACCTTGACAGTGGAGAAAAAGAATTATCATAATTTTTTACCTAATATATGTCAAATAACTAACAGATCATAATACATAATTTATACATAATATATACAAGTAATATGACTGACAGGTTATGATACAAAATCTTTTATCAATACTGTACTGTACTAGTGATCTATAAATATATTACTCAACATACTTTTCACTTAAAAGACCCAAAGATTTATCCTTCCGAGAGCCCTCTGATGAACGATTAGTACTGGTTTCATCCACTGACGGGAGTTGGCCCATGCCCTCTATAACAAGGTTACCTGGGGAGCTTGGTCTCGGGTAATCACTACTTGTGGGGTGTTTGCGAAGGGTACTAGTGGACCTGTTTAAACGACTCTGACTTTGTCCCAAACAATCACTGTTGTACCTCCGAAGGCTTGACAAGTTTTTAGTGGCACTACTGGATGTGACACAAGTTTGTACAAATGAGGGGCTTTGAGTCATTTTATCACTGACACTTTGGTTCTGGAACAATACTTTTTTACTTGTCAAAGATTCTTCCATTGATGCAATATGAGTTAACAACTTTAAATTACTCATAGGAGTTGGTGGACTCCTCCCTGATCCACCATTTGTTAGATAAGGAGAAACTCCATCCCCATTAGGGGTCTGTGCTTCTGTCCCTGGTGAAGGATAAGAGTAGGACTTCCCATTACTGCCTCTTCCAATAACACCTTTTGATCTGAAAGTAAAGTTAAATTATTATTTCCAAATTGTATGAATTTTCTTGACAACATACGTACTTATCTCACATTCAAAGGCTTAATCATTTTTCACATGTTTTGGAGAACCATAGCTCCAAAATTAGTGTTATGAGCACCAATGAACATGAGTATATACAGTAGGTATACTGTACAAACATTTTCTGCTCATACTGAAGTTTGATGTTAAAACAGGTTATCTATTAGACTGAAAAATTCAATACTGTACAATACTATATGTAAGCATGTAACATGAATTTTTCTTCCATATTCCAAAACTCATTCCATACTTTTTGGATCCCATTACTGTAAATTTCCATAACTCAAGGTATGCCTATATTATGTCAATCACTTTGTTGAATGATTTGCTTGGAAAGTATTTTAGTTTTCAGGACATATTACATGTATATACACTATAACCTGTCTAATTCAACAATTTGAAGCTCTTTTCTTGTTGAATTACCCAAAAGGTCCAAATTATCCAGTGTTATACTTTGGTCAGCGAATTCAGACATCTTTGTTGGGATAGTGATTGTTTTTTCAGCAACTCTAAGTGGGTAAATCAGACAGTATAAAAAAGATAACCCAATTCTGATATTTGTTAAGAATCAGAGATTTAATTTATTCACAGATTAACAAGACATAAGTTAAATGGGAAATTATACAAAAATAATTGTTTTGATTGCATAATTCCCAGACATCTGACCTAGTTCAGTAGAGGCACTGTGCAGCAGACATGCATCTCGGCAATTAGCACCCAGTTTGTATTTATTTCTCTACCTTATATCTGCATTTACTTAAGGAAAAATGTGATTAGATATACAGGGAATGGGAAAATTAAATTTTCCTACAGACAAGATGATTGGTACATGTCTCCCACCTGTAGAAGAACATTCAGACAAAGCATCCCTCTATGCAGTGGGTCTGAACCTTTTATGGTTGACATACCTCTTAGTTTTAGTGTGACTCAAGTAATTTTCATAATTTTAAAAAACTTTGCACTGTACTGTATACATTACAGTACTATCATAAAAATAATGGTACTTATTGAACATACACTGGACAGTTTTCACTCAAAATACTGTGGTTCCTCAAATCTATATCATGTACCCCCTGGCGAAGATTTGCATACTCCCAGGGGTCCATTGTTCAGAACTACTGCTCTAGGGCTATGCCTGAGGCCACAAAGCTTCAACAGAATGGATGCATGGGTAAATCCAACAACTTTAATGTTATTCAGACAATAGGGTCTTGGTGTGGAAAAATTACTGAGTAATTCAACATCATAAAAAATTTCTAAATTAGTGAGAGGCAAATCAGGGGGGTTCTAGTGTACAGTACATGAATATGAAGTGTTAACTTCAAGCTACTCAAACTTTAAATATAATGTACTATTTTGATTGGTGACCACCAAATAAAATGTATTGAGCTTATGATCTTTTGGCATGATTAGAATTTTAATAGAAAGATGCCAAACTATTTCAACAAAAATCATACGAATACAATAAGGAGTGTAAAACACATGAATGAAAAATCAAAAACAAAGTATCTCTAGAGATATCTTTAATTATTTCTTCAGATAATTGAACTTGTACAACTAACCCTGGAGTGGTGACTGCAGATGCCAAACCCCTCGACTTTGTTTTTGGAGTATTGAGGGTTGGAGCTGTGAAGAGCGTTTGAAGTGGTGAATTTTTTAACTTCTCCGGTGATATGTTAATAGTATTGGTCACTTCTCCAAACACAGATCTGGCTCCTTTTTTTGGTGTCAGAGGAGTAACTAACTCTGTGGACAGGAATAAATAATAATTCTGATCTTAACAAATTATTAATAAAACTCGATAAAAAGCTTATGATCCCTCCTTTAATCAAATTCAGTAAACAACTGACAATCCAGATAAACTGTTGGGAAAATTAGTCTTAAAGATTTAAATTCCAAGAATATCCCAAGGATGTTTTCTGGGACATGAAAATTCATTTGTAGCCATTTTAAGTATAGTACTAAACATCTAAGGTCATTTCATCGAAATTTATATTAACCAGTAACATACCCTAACTTAACAATAACCTATTAAAACAAAAAAAAATTAAGAACTAAGCAGTTTACACCCTCTGAGGCATAGCTAGTGATGTAGTGGCTAATCCAGTTCTACTGGTGGAGCATCATCTGCACTTTTAATATGAATTTTTGCAACATTTGTTCACTTTCACCAAGCTCTACCTACCACTTGCACTTTCCATTCCCAGTGAGACAATATTGGGAAGTTTGTGCATAAAGATCACACTGAAGGCATACAATAGCTAGAGTATATGACCAAAAACAGATATAAACAAAGAATTTAGGTGTGTAACTTTGGTGAAAATATGACAAACATGTTCCTCATAACTGAAAAACTATGCACCTGACACACAGATTCAAAGTGAATACCCAAAGAATGACCAAGCATAGCATGGAGATTATAGTGCACTTATATTAACTAGAAACATACACTTAGCACTCAAAAATGAAAATAAAATATTTCTTTCCCCAATTTTTAACCTTAAATCTACCTCCAAAGTAGTATGACTGGTAATCAATTCGATGCTATTCTTGGTCTTTCATGTTTTATTCATTCTACTTATTTTGTGGAGTTGTAACTGAATTTGTTTATCTTTTCATCATTAGCAGGGTTGACATCATGATGCAAACATGCTGGTGGCAGACACTGGTTCATTTCTAAGTTTCTCTGCTAATAGTCATGTTTTAATCTAGAATATCAAGGGTTTGCTCTACTGTATTAATGAATTCTGTTTTCTGCTACAGTATAATAAAGTGAAGTCTACATTCCTCACAAATAAATTTGAGCTAATTTACATTCAAATGATACAGAACCACTGGTGAATGATGATGGTGGTACAGTATCCAACATTCTGTAAAGTCTCACTGTATCAATATATCACCTCTCATTTTACCTTCCTTGGGGTCTGCACTGAAGACTGCATCAGCAGCAAATGTGAGAAGGTCCATGTTACCCTCTGATCATCACTCCTGAAAGAAAAACATGAATTATTCTGAAGCATCCAAAGGATAATTACAAACCTGGGAATGTTTATACTGAAAAAATTCAATTAGTGCATTATATTAAATTTGCAAGACAGGTGTGTGGAAATAGTATCTTAAAGAGCCAAAGATGGGGAAACTTACCAGCCCCAAAATATGGAGTGAAAAAAATTTGGAACAGTACCAACATATTTAGCTGTTACTAAGTCCAAAGAGAAAGGCTCTAAGATATTACATCTCAATTAACCTTTGATATAAAATGCAATGCCACGTCTACATTCAAGAACCCCCTCCCCCTCAAAAAATCATACTGCCTGATGTACAAGTAAACTTTCTGTACAAATTAGTAAATCTTAAAAAGGCCCCACTTTACCTACATAAAGATTGCCTTACTGCAAACATGATATTTAGGTTCAAATGAAACAGCTCGAAGAGGAATTCAGGAAAGTTTGGATAATTCCAAATGATCCAACCCATACCCTCAATGGCTGAGAAAAAGTAGCTAAGCAACAGGAGTTGGTGCATGGGTATGTTGCATGTAATTGGGAAGTGTTGTATTATCCACAGTTAAACAGTAATGTGGGAACATGCGTGTTTTTTGTTTTTTTTTAAACGGGCATTAGCCCACTCGGGGCACAGGTCACTGACCCACATCAGGGCCTGGGGGGCGAAAATGCAATAATAATAATAATAATAATAATAATAATAATAATAATAATAATAATAATAATAATAATAATAATAATAATAATAATAATAACATTAATAATCAATAAAAAATATAATAAAAAATACAAATAAATTGATAAGAAAAAATACAAACAAATTGATGATGATAATAATAATAATAACCATAAATAAATACGAAAATTATAAAAAAAAATGAAGAGTGAGAAATGATACACATTAGTATGTTGTGTTGTCAATGGTAAGAGAAACAATTGAGACCCTACAATTGTGTGTAAATGAGGCAGAAAGTCAGATCAACAACCTGGGACTTGGTCACAATTTTTGTGATGCCATATGGCAGCAGGGTCTACCATTAGACAACACATTATGCTTCCAATATCTTCCCAGGCGGTAGTACCTCCCTGTTTGGTAGCTGCCTACTACCTATTAGGACAAAGGCCCCCTAAGAAAAATAATACTAACAATTCTTAAAATAATTATTTTTATTCTTTATCATTTAGAGTTTAAGAATACTCCTCTGACATGTAAAATATTACATAAGACTGCAATACCTAACCTAATCTAACCTATTTTACACTTTAACTGAGGGGGTTTAGTCCAGGTTTTTTTGTCCTAGAGGGCTTTTGTCTGGATCCCGGGAACAAGCAGTAGCCAAAATCAAATGCCTTTTCAACCAAGAGCCTCATTTACAAATACTGTACCCAGTCATCTAAGAAGAGGTCAAGCTCCAGTAAACTCACTCTCCCTCACCCTGTAGATATTAACTCAAATCCAATGACTCAGAAATGATGGCAGGTGACACTAAGCCACCCAGGACAGGAGTCTGACTCAGTCCAAAGAGCAAGTTTTTCTAAATAACATTAAATGTATTTTTATGTTTTCATTTATAGCTACAGTAATACATTACATTACTGTACAGTCAGTACAAGTATAGTATATGTATTTTCTTATGCATCTGTGGCTGATTTATGCCATATATACTGTAGTAGTTTGGAAAAGGATTTCCTCATCATAGGGATTTCAGATTGTGCATACTGAGACATATATATATATATATATATATATATATATATATATATATATATATATATATATATATATATATATATATATATATATATATATATATATATATATATATATATATATATATTATGTATATATATGCATATATATATATATATATATATATATATATATATATATATATATATATATATATATATATATATATATATATATATATATATATATATATATATATATATATATATATTAAACATACAGTACCGTAGTGCATTATGAATAGTTCTGGTGAAACAGGTTTTTATCTGAGAATATTTTGATCTGGTGTTGTCTTTAGTTCAGGTCAACCTAATACAAAGTTCGTCTGTGGAGATTTCAGCTGCACTGCAACCACAGGTAAAAGATCAAGGTAACCAAGCAGTAGTAAATTCTTGGACTGGGTGAACCAGCCAGCCATTTTGACGTTTGGGTAGCTGTCATCTATACAACCACAGCATTTTTAGCCAAAAACAATATTCACCATTCAACCATAAACACTGCCTATTCTTTTACAAAAATATATGTAAAATTAAAAATAAAATAATGTACATTATAATTGATTTTTACTTGCATGGACTTGCAATTTGCAGTTGTTATACCGGTGACTCAATTATGGGATAATTGTCAAGGAAAAAATAAAGTACCCATATTTTCTCAATGATCACTACTGTCTTTAATTATATAAAAAGAAGAGTAGCGACAAAGAGCGTCTTAACACTATTCGTATATTTTCATTTTAAAATTCAAGTTGACCCAACAAATTATAAAATTTTAGGAAATATAATTTCCTTTCCAATATTAGTTTTAGTAAATCAATTTAAAATGTGAATGCAGTAAAGTCAGGAGACGCCTGTATTTCTATAGAGAACTAATGATAATACCTAGAATTTGGAAAATTTATGTAAGTTATTATGGAATGGCCGTTACCTGCACCCCAGAACTCACTCCAGTTAATTTATCCAGTACAGTATATTTCTTCTCGTCCACTTATAACAGCTCTTACTAACCTTCACTAATGTCTTGACATAAGTAGATGTATTGCAACCAAAATATTGCCACAGAGAGATCCCTTAATCGAGAAATCTACACCAATATTTGAGCAATACCTCTGCCAGTCACCTTGAGTTGATCTTCTGAATTTACGCGCGAATGATGTCAGCCTCAGACGTCACAGACTAAAACAGCTGAGCAGCGGCCGCCGCCACTCACTGTCACCTCTACTATTACTTCATGATAAAATTAATTAAGCAATAAACACTTAGTGTTAATTTCATGTGGAATTTAATAAATTACTAATGAAATATTATATTGTAATGAAATTAATTCAAAACACACATAAAGATCACGTAAAAACAGATAAGATAAAAACAGTAGCGGCGTCAACACTACTAAATATTGCCACAACATTTTATTTTATGTTTCGTCATAATTGTGAGAGAACACATTCTTATAATATGAAAATATATATCATATCATACACACTTTAAAGTATATATCTAAAACGACTGTAAACCATAATCCATGTGTCCTCTCACTGGAAATTGTCAGTCCTCCCCAAGTTTAACTCAACTAAAGAATTATGCGATAATTTATAATCCATCTAGCATTAATGCCAAACGATATTATCAACACATAATTTATTCATCATCCTTTGATTTTGGACGTGAAGATATATTTGCACATTATTTCATATACATCTGAAATTCCCACAAGGGAATGTCCTAGGACCATTGCTCTTCCTGTGTTATGTTGAAGACTGGCAGTCGGCTACTCAGCGACAAACAGCGTTTGTAGGGGAGAAATCCACTACAATATAAACGGCATATCAAATCTCATTTTTTTCTTCTGTGTGGTAATGACCCCATCTCAACTATAACCTCAGTGTAATACCTTGGGCTAACTCTTGACTCTTATTTGTCTGGTGAATTAATCTTAGAACCCCTGAAGATCCTGTTTTGTAAATGCCTGAATGAACAAAAGGTCCCCAGTGAATGTAAAGTGGTTTAGGTGAGTCCTATCTTCAAGAAGGGCGACCGTCACTCTACGAACAACTATAGACCGGTGAGCCTGACCAGCATAATATGTAAAGTACTTGAGAGAATTATCAGAGATGCCGCAATGGAACATCTACTACGAAACAACCTTGTAAAGGATTGCCAACACAGTTTTATGCCGGGGCGCTCCTGCTTAACACAATTGCTCAAGGCATTGGATATTTGGACTCATTGTGGAACGGGGTGGTAATATCGACAATATTTACCTAGATTTTGCCAAGGCTTTCGACAGTGTACCAACCCACGAAAGGCTGAAAATCAAACTGGAAGGGTAAGGAATTCGGGGAAATGCCCTAGCGTGGATAGAAGACTTTCTACATGACCGCAAGCAGTGTGTGGTGATTAATGGCAGGAAATCATCATTCGTACCTGTCACAAGCGGGGTACTACAGGGCAGTGTATTGGGCCCTCTGCTGTTTGTTTGTTTCATAAATGACATGCCTGACGTTGTACACTCCTCCATACAAATGTTTGCCGATGACCCCAAGTTATTTAGGGAAATCAAGAACCAAGCGGATTGTGAAGAGCTGCAGAAGGACCTCTGTGGGCTCCAAGAATGGTCGAAGAAATGGCTGCTGAGATTTAATGTCGCGAAGTGTAAGAGGATGCACCTGGGGCGTACCAACGGTAAGGAGGCGTATCATATGTCCCAACGGGATGAAGAAACTGCACTATTTGAGACTGAATGTGAGAAGGACCTAGGTGTGTATGTTGACAGTGAGCTGAAGTTCTCGGGCCATTGCGAGAAGATGGTAAATCAGGCAAATAAATTATTGGGTCTTATAAGAAGGTCGTTCAGATATCTAGACGGTCCGTCCCTCGTTACGATCTTCAAGAGTGAAGTGCTTCCCCATCTGGAGTACTGTCACCCTATCTGGTCCCCGAGATATGCTAGGGACTGTCAGTTGGTTAAAAATGTTCAAAGGAGGGCACCGAGCGTGAGCTCTTTCAAGACAATACTTGACCAACACTGGAGCGGGTTCAGGTACATTCAGGAGCCGGTGCATGCCCAGTACTTGCCAACAGTGCGTAACAGAGACGTGACCGATTGCCCAAGCGACTAACGAGCCGATCAGTGGTGAAGTGGATAAAAGTAAAAGTATAAAAATGCTAAATGCTTCTCAGCCGATACCTATAGGTTAGGTTCCTTTGCTTGGCGCTCATACAATATGTCACTTGGACTATTCCTGCTCGTCATGTTACTCTAGGACCCTAATGTAAAAGCTAAAATCCAAACTCCAAATTATTTTAAACAAGGCGGTGAGGTTCACTCTTGACAAGAAAGCAAGAAATTACATTGGTCACGAAGTTCTTCAATCAATTCTTTCGAAAATAGTGACCACACCTACTAAAACACGTATCATGACTGGAAAAAGAACAATGCAAGGCGATTAAAATTATTATTGAAATAAGTCATCTTGCGTACCCAAGTATACTGAGAGCCTTGGGACTGACAATTCCTCAGACAAGACACAACAGGGTGAACCTCTTTATGCAATAAATGTGCATAGATAACCCACATATACCTGTATATATAGGTACCACTGTCTATATGTTGACAGAGGCTATTACATCCATTTGGGTATTTGGTGGTGATCTGATAGTACAAAACAAAAGCAAGCTGACAGTAGGTGTGTGCTATAGGGCCGACTCAGCTTCGGGGGAGGAAGTAACAGATCTTCATAGAGTCATCCAGAGAGCATCCAGAGCACTAGCCCTCATCATGGGAGATTTTCATCACGAGACGATTGGCTGGATGAAGAGGGAGAAGAATTCCTTGATCACATTCTTTTCTTCTTTTTTTTCTTTTATCCTCTTCACCACTGATCGGCTCGTTTGCCGCTTGGGCGATCGGTCACGTCTCTGTTACGCACTGTTGGCAAGTAATGGGCATGCACTGCCTCCTGAATGTAGTTGAACCCGCTCCAGTGTTGGTCAAGTCTGGTCTTGAAAGAGCTCACACTCGGTGCCGTCACAACACTTTCTGGTAGATTGTTCCAAGAGTTCACAACTCTCACTCCGAAAAAGTTTGCCCTCATGGTTTTCTGGACTTGCGGCTTCTTCGATCTTGAGCTGTGACCCCTTGTGGGGCGAGTGTCCACCAGCTCCAAGTAAGGACACTCGACTGAGTAGTGCCCTTGAGATGTTTATACACCTTAATTAGGTCACCCCTTGCCCGTCTGTAGTATAAGCTAGGCAAGTTCAGGCGTTCCAATCTCTCAGGGTAGATGAGGTGCCGAAGTGCAGGCACCAGTTTGGTGGCCCTCCTTTGAACATTTTCAACCAACTGATAGTCACTAGCATATCTCGGGGGCCAGAAGGGGTGACAGTACTCCAGATGGGGAAGCACTTCACTCTTAAAGATCGTTACGAGGGACAGACCGTCTAGATATCTGAACGACCTTCTTATAAGACCCAATAATTTATTTGCCTGATTTACCTTCTTCTTGCAATGGCCCGAGAACTTCAGCTCATTGTCAACATACACACCTACTGTAGGTCCTTCTCACATTAAGTCTCAAATAGTGCAGTTTCTTCATCCCGTTGGAACATATGATACGCCTCCTTACCGTTGGTACGCCCCAGGTGCATCCTCTTACACTTTGTGACATACTACTAAATGCACTTATCTCCTCTAGTATATACTCGTTCCTTACTACTTCTCTTTATCCTATGATGTTAGGAGGTATTTCATTAGCGAAAGATGAGCACATCATTGCAAAGAAGAAACTCACGTAGGCGAACCTCTCAGCTGACAGTGTAAACTTTTACTTTACTTTACTTTTATCCTCTTCACCTCTGATCGGCTCGTTAGCCGCTTGGGCGATCGGTCACGTCTCTGTTACGCACTGTTGGCAAGTACTGGGCTTTAAGAGTCTCGATTGTTATTTCAAATTTATAAAATCAAATTGATGACATAAAATGTGTTAACTAAATTGAGTACACAGTGTATAGAAGGATTCTCTACTTTAATATACCCCCTAAATGGTGTTACTCCTTTAGGCATCTAATCAAGGGAGTCAGTGCAATTTTAATGGTATAACTGGGCAATTCTTTATATTTTAACTTTAACATGATTGTTTTTTGTATTGCGAGGAATATTATGGTTCCCTTCGCATATAAACAACCGGTATATATAATAAATATACCAGTGGTGGTTGGTAGCTTCACTCACCAGAGAAACGTGGAAAATATATGGTACTTATTTTTAGGAATTAACAAGTAAATAATTACTTCTTATGCTAAATTCATAGAATTATTCATATTTTCAAATTCATATTAAAGTTTGCGTATACGCTAAGGAGCTCTACATTATTGTACTTGAGAATCTTTTTTGTCTATTGATACTAAACAGAGCTTTGATTCGGATTCACTGTCCAGGAGTGTCCTACACTCACACCTCAAAGGAAGACTCACCTTTCCTTCAGATAATCAGAGCCGTAGTTACCAGATAACGGGGGCCAGTTTACAGGTTGCCCCGGATGCTAACAGTTGGATTGTTGCAGTATACTTATATTTTCAAGCAACATACATACACACACACATATAAATTCACACTTCTAATTCACCTCCCAGTGATGAGTGAGTCTTGTGCCGTGGAGCCGCGTCGCGAGCTGTCCAGTAAAACCTGCCTCGACCAATAAAGAAGTGCTGTTTTACAGAGATTCTAATTCGACCCGAACCTAATGGTTTTCAAAATCAATGAACCTCGAATATATATGAATTAACCTTTCGAGTACCTGCTACTAATAAATGAACTGATGGCATTTTTTATACTTTAGAATCTTAAGTATAGATTAAAAGGTAACATCAACTTATGAACACCTGTGGCGAGCTTTAATCTATTCGAACTTTAACTAGAAACATCAACTCACACAAGCTTCGTTGTTCCAATATTTCGACTTTGATATCCGTTCCAAATTTGATAATTAACATTTTATCCTCGGTATTTGTCCAGCCACTTATAATAATGTACAAACTTGATATTATTAAACATTACAGTAACTTGAGTGAAAATCAACTGACTTCGCATTTCAGTTCCTTTTAACTTTTCTTCAGTTTTAACATCGCCGAATACATATCTAAACCTGAAGAATAAACTTTAAACTCTACAGTGATTTTTTGCTCGAACTTCCAACATCTTCACCAATTAATAATATTTTTTCGAGGACGTACAGTTTCACGATGAACACTGTCTTATCTTTATCAAACGGTAAACGTCTGTCACTTACACATTTTGCATAAAGTAACTCTGACGTAGATAGCCACAAGGCGCCTTTCGTACTTAATATTCCTGATTTCCCAATCAAGGTTTCACCTTTAGTTCATTCCTTGAGACTCGAATATGAACTATTACGGTCAGTCAGACGTGAGACGAGAGGCGCCGCCAACAGTCCCCGGCCACCAGTCCTGATCCTGACTCTCCTCGCCTCACCGCGCCGCCTCAGTCCTGACCACCTATAATATTCTTGACGCACTGTATAGCCCTGAAGTTCTGTATTTCTGAGGTACTGTATCCTGAAATATTGTACTGCTGAGGTACTGTATCCTTGAAGTACCGCAGTCCTTAAGTACTATTCCGTGCTGTATTTTTTTTGTATTTCCTTTGGTATTGTTGTTTCGAAATGTTGTTGTTGTTTTTCTGGAGGTACTGCTTGTTCCCGATCTTACTGCTTAAGGGTGAACATAAGAATGGAGGAAACTGCAGCGGCCCTATTGGCCCATACTAGACAGTCCCATTTACACCCAGCCCCTATTGCTCATATATCCATCCAACCTATATTTGAAGCTATCCAGCGTATTCGAGTTAACGATGATATTTGGTAACGTGTTCCACTCGTCCACTACTCTATTTCCAAACCAATGTTTACTTATTTCGCGCCTAAATCTAAATTTGTCAAATTTAAAACCATTGTTATGAGTTCACCCCTGGTTGGATAGTTTGAGTACCTTTGAAATGGCCCTTTGTTTAGCCCTGACTTCCGTTTATACACCTCTATCATTATCGCCCCTCGCTCTACGTCTCTCGAGGGAGTGCAAATTAAGATGCTGTAACCTGTCTCTATACTTAAGGTTCCTAATGCTCGGAATTACTCTTGTCAATCTCCTCTTAATTCTTTCCAAGGATTCTATATCCATTCTGTGGTACGGTGACCAGAATTCGACTGCGTAATCCAAGTGAGGTCTCACAAGCGCAAAATATAGTTTTAGGATGACCTCGCTAGTCTTGTAACTAACACTCCTTTATATGAACCCAAGTACTTTATTAGCCTTGTTTCGAGCAAATCCACATTGTTTACTTGGCTTAAGATTCCTACTTATCATTACTCCTAATTCTTTCTCACATTCGGATTTCTCAATAACATCGTTGTTTATCTGGTTTCATCAGAAAATTCCAATATTTTTTCTTTAATGCAGTATTTTACTCAGGCGTTTTCGATTAGTTAAAAGTAATTACTATTGACTTCAGAATATCCCCTAATATCAAGTGCGCATGGCTTCAAAATGGCCTCAAATATGCCCATGATATTGGTTTGATTACAAAAAAATTTCCGGGGGAGCTTACAGCGCCCCCCCCCCAAAAAAAACAGCTGGGTGGGCTCGCTGTCTTCGCCATGTTTCCTCGCCCACAATTTCTTGGACATCCCCCTTTTGATATTCCTGGATCGCCTCTGGTTTCTGTTGGTAGTTTAGAAATCTACAGATTTTTTGTGCGCGCAATGACTCCCCTTCCTGTACAATATCCCTGAGCCAGTGCCTATGCGTCATCTGCGCTTCGATGAAAAAAAAACCCACATTGAACTGCTTGGTTTAAACTGGAACTAATCACTGATCACTGTACTGTATATCCCTCTTGTATGATAAAAAAAATAGTGCAATTAGGATAATGCGCTGATGGTACAGTACGTAAATAGTGATACAGTATTGACAAAATTTTGTTGTATGCATCAGGAGGATACAAATATATTAACTGCAATTATTTTATACATCTAGTGAATAATCGTGGCTGTAAACCAATGTTTAGGGTGGTGTCCCTAAAATGAGACGTTAATTGCGTACACAGTTCAGAATTTACTCAAATAACGTACGCTAGGGTCATCAATATCAAGTAGGATTCTGGGGTAATATTTACATCTCATTTCCGTGAAAATTTATCACTACTTCCGGTAATTTCCCTCGTTATTTTTATAATGTAAATGTATCATTATTTTCGTAATTAATATTCAAGCAGTTGATAGTTAATCAAAGCTTTCCGAAATTTGTCACTGTACTCACTTGTACAGTATCAAACACTGTAAGATTATAATAGATTAAGAAGTTTTTATTTGGAAAGCAAATACTTAATTTGGTTTCATTACTCTATATATCATTTATTCCTTCATCAGCATTACCTGGAATTCCTGATAACAATCTTGTCCTTTTACAGCGTCTCACTGGCATCGTCGGCTGTCGCGTCCATTCTGCCAGTCGACGTCGCCCAGATCTCTTCAGCTCCCCCTGTGTGGTAAGGCGTGAGTCCCGTCGCTACTCCTGTGTGGTACTCTTGGTGAGGCAAGAGTGAAAAATGGATGACCTGCCGTACTTATACGACCTCTTGGCTGGGGTGTTAATGTCGGTGTGGGCCCAGGCTGTGCACGCCGTGGGGTTGCGAGTAAAGGTCGGCCTTGGGGGTGATGATAGGGATGGTTCAGGCGGCGATGCTGGGGGCAGGGCTGGGGCGCGGCCCTCCAGGCCCGGGCTCAGGGTTGGAATCTACAAAATCGGAAGACCCCACCGACATTTTAAGCTGTACAGATATGAGAGAAGCAATAACCCTAAGATGAAGGTGAGAGGAGTGTGGCCCTACTTCCCCGTGGTGACGCTGGGTCACCCCGTCCTCGACTGGTACACGCCAGACAGCCATGACGAGTCCTTTAATACCGTGAGCCTCGACAGTGACAGCAGTGATGACTCCTTCAGCTCCTCGGACCTCACCAGCCTCAGGTCTTCCTCCTTAACATCCGTCACCTCCACAGAGTCCTTCAACCCTGATGTCAACTTCGCCCAGCTCCCCGCGGCCTCCGAGAGTGACTGTAGACCCTAGGTGGGCCAGCCTATAAACTTAGCTGTAGCCGAGAAAATTACAGGAGATAATCTGGGATAATACAGCTGGTGCTGATAAAGCAAGCATTTTACGAGGACATTATAGAAGAAATATTAGGCAAAAAAAACATTAGGAGTTCGGAAAAAGTGCTGCCTTTACTCACCCGGCACACCAGGAGAATAATATCACACTACCTTTAAGCTATATTTATTTTTAAGAAGGAACGATTTTCTAATCACTACCAACCTTATGGTTCTCAATTATCGTGCCTGTTAAATTTAAACTTAATTCAGTGGTGGTTTTAATTCGCCGAAACCGTCAAGTGAAGTTCACCTTTTCGTAAAACCCAAACGATGTTTGCTTTAACCTTACAGGTAATAAACACTTTATCCTCATTATTGTTTGTTGGAGAGATGGAAAACTCAGTCACAGAAGCTGTCTGAAGTAAAGTCGAACGCTTTGAAGTAAAGAACACCGTTTTAGATTACGAGGCAGTTGTAACCTCGAAAACTTATACACCACCGTATGGACAGTCGAAATTTTATTTATTTTTAAACGAAACTAGTTGTGTTGTATTTTTTAAAGATTGTCAAATAAAGAGATTTCATTGAAGTTATTTCGTGTTAGTGAGAGAAAACCCGAAAAGTTTCTTTATACAATAAATAGTTTATTTTTTCGCCTCGGATCATAAATGGCATTTTAGTAAAGTTAGAGGTTAGGCAGTGTAGAGTTCGGCAATACCAAGAGGTCCGTTTATGATGGATTGGACAGTCCCAAGGTTCATTACTAAGGTCAGGTTAGTATGGAGGTCAGGTCAGTACAAAGGTCAGGTCCGTATGGAGGTCAGGTCAGTACTAAGGTCAGGGCAGTACTAAGGTCAGGTCAGTGCTAAAGTTAGAAAGTACCTAGGTAGGGTAGTATTTAGGTCGGTTAGAACTAAGCTTAAATAGTACTAAGGTCAGGTCAGTACCAAAGTTAGGCAGTAAACAAGGTCGGCTGATACCAATATCAGACAGTACGAAGTTCGGCCAGTACCAGGGTTGAACAATACAAGTCAGGTACTGCTAAAATTGGACAGTACCATGGTTGGACAGTACTGAAAGTAGGCAGTAGTAATATCATACCGTACTAAACAAAGGTTGGATAGCACTGTATCAATATCCACCCTAATCATTATTCATTTATTATTGGGATATTTCAAGGTACTCATTAAGCCTTGACCACACACTATATAAACTATTTGGTTAACATATTTTATAATTATTCAGTATTTTGACAATGAGTTTCTCAACATCATTATTCACTACTAAAACGAATTTACCATACTTGAAACGGTATGCAGTACAGAGGTCCGTTGAAGTAATGAAGCAGTGAGGCCGTGTATTGAAGTAATGAAGCAGTGAGGTCAGGTATTGAAGTAATGAAGCAGTGAGGCCAGGTATTGAAGTAATGAAACAGTGAGGCCAGGTATTGAAGTAATGTAGCAGTGAGGCCAGGTATTGAAGTAATGTAGCAGTGAGGCCATGTATTGAAGTAATGAAGCAGTGAGGCCAGGTATTGAAGTAATGAAGCAGTGAGGTCAGGTATTGAAGTAATGAAACAGTGAGGCCAAGTATTGAAGTAATGAAACAGTGAGGTCAGGTATTGAAGTAATGAAGCAGTGAGGCCAGGTATTGAAGTAATGAGGCAGTGAGGCCAGGTATTGAAGTAATGAAGCAGTGAGGCCAGGTATTGAAGTAATGAAACAGTGAGGCCAGGTATTGAAGTAATGAAACAGTGAGGTCAGATATTGAAGTAATGAAGCAGTGAGGCCAGGTATTGAAGTAATGAAACAGTGAGGCCAGGTATTGAAGTAATGAAACAGTGAGGTCAGATATTGAAGTAATGAAGCAGTGAGGCCAGGTATTGAAGTATGAAGCAGTGAGGCCAGGTATTGAAGTTAATGAAGCAGTGAGGCCAGGTATTGAAGTAATGTAGCAAAGAGGCCATGTATTGAAGTAATGAACAGTGAGGCCAGGCATGGAAGTAATGAACAGGAGGCCAGGTATTGAAGTAATGAAGCAGTGAGGCCACAGTATTGAAGTAATGAAGAAAGAGGCCAGGTATTGAAGCAATGGAAGCAGGAGGCCAGGTGAAGTAATGAAACAGTGAGGCCAGGTATTGAAGTAATGTAGCAGGAGGCCAGGTATTGAAGCTAATGTAGCAGTGAGGCCAGGTATTGAAGTAATGTAGCAGTGAGGCCAGGTATTGAAGTAATGTAGCAGTGAGGCCAGGTATTGAAGTAATGAAGCAGTGAGGCCATGTATTGAAGTAATGAAGCAGTGAGGCCATGTATTGAAGTAATGAAGCAGTGAGGCCATGTATTGAAGTAATGTAGCAGTGAGGCCAGGTATTGAAGTAATGAAGCAGTGAGGCCATGTATTGAAGTAATGTAGCAGTGAGGCCAGGTATTGAAGTAATGAAACAGTGAGGCCAGGTATTGAAGTAATGAAGCAGTGAGGTCAGGTATTGAAGTAATGAAACAGTGAGGCCAAGTATTGAAGTAATGAAACAGTGAGGTCAGGTATTGAAGTAATGAAGCAGTGAGGCCAGGTATTGAAGTAATGAGGCAGTGAGGCCAGGTATTGAAGTAATGAAGCAGTGAGGCCAGGTATTGAAGTAATGAAACAGTGAGGCCAGGTATTGAAGTAATGAAACAGTGAGGTCAGATATTGAAGTAATGAAGCAGTGAGGCCAGGTATTGAAGTAATGAAACAGTGAGGCCAGGTATTGAAGTAATGAAACAGTGAGGTCAGATATTGAAGTAATGAAGCAGTGAGGCCAGGTATTGAAGTAATGAAGCAGTGAGGCCAGGTATTGAAGTAATGTAGCAGTGAGGCCAGGTATTGAAGTAATGAGGCAGTGAGGCCAGGTATTGAAGTAATGAAGCAGTGAGGCCAGGTATTGAAGTAATGAGGCAGTGAGGCCAGGTATTGAAGTAATGAAGCAGTGAGGCCAGGTATTGAAGTAACGAAGCAAAAAAATTATGAGAATATGAAGTAACGAATAAAGAGATACAAAATTAATGAGGTTATAAGGTAATAAATAATGAGGAAATGTCTATAAATGATGAGGTAATGAATAAGATAATGAAGTAATGCTACAATAAAATAATGAGTTATGAGATAGTTAAAAATATGGTTATAAATGAATAAAAATTTGAATGAGGTTTTGAGAAATTAAAAAATAATAAGAAAATGAATAATGAAAGAATAATGGAAATGAATGAGAGAATAATGAAAGACTAATAAAAATGAATGGAAGAATAATGAAAATGAATGAAAGAATAATGAAAATGAATGAAAGAATAATGAAATATTGAAAGGATAATGAAATAATGAAAGAATAAGAAAATGAATAATAAAAGAATAAGAAAATGAATCATAGAAAATGAAGTAATAAATAAATGGGGGATAGAAGTACAGTAATTTGATAATAAAGATAAACTAATACCAAGAAGAGAAAGAAAGTGAAGGAAGTAAATAAACCGAAAATAGGAATGAATGAAAACATAAATAATAATAAAATAGCCTGAAAATTGAAAGACAATTGAGATAGAAAATTAGAAAGGAAGGAAGGAAGGAGAGAAAATGAAGTAAGTAGAATTAAATAATTGAAGGAAAGCAAAAGGGGAAAAGGGATGAGAAGGAACAAAGAAATTTAGGGTATAGCAAAACAAGAGATAAGGAAAGCCACCGAGAGAAGGAAGGAAGAAACAGAGAGAAGGAAGACATAACAGAGAAGGAAGAGAATAAAATAGAGAAATTAAGGAATAAGATATACTGAACAAAACTATAAATGAAAGATATATAATGAGGGAATTATCTCCTGTGCCGGTGTATAAGGGAGTTATTGGTTCCTCCCTGGGTCAGTGTATAAGGGAGTTAGTGGTTCCTCCCTGGGTCAGTGTATAAGGGAGTTAGTGGTTCCTCCCTGGGTCAGTGTACAAGGGAGTTAGTGTTTCCTCCCTGGGTCAGTGTATAAGGGAGTTTGTGTGTTCCTCCCTGGGGTTATCTACCTTGGTCAGTGTATAAGGGAATTAGTGATATCTCCCTGGGTCAGTGTATAAGGGAGTTAGTGGTTCCTCCCTATGTCAGTGTACAAGGGAGTTAGTGGTTCTTCCCTGGGTCAGTGTATAAGGGAGTTAGTGGTTCCTCCCTGGGTCAGTGTATAAGGGAGATATTGATTCCTCCCTTGGTCAGTGTATAAGGGAGTTATTGGTTTCTCCCTGGCTCAGTGTATAAGGGAGATATTGGCTCCTCCCTTTGTCAGTGTATAAGGGAGATATTGGTTCCTCCCTTGGTCAGTGTATAAGGGAGTTATTGATTCCTCCCTGGCTCAGTGTGTAAGGGAGATATTGGTTCCTCCCTTGGTCAGTGTATAAGGGAGATATTGCTTCCTCCCTGCGTCAGTGTATAAGAGAGATATTGGTTCCTCCCTGGCTCAGTGAGTGTATAAGGGAGATATTGGTTCCTCCCTTGGTCAGTGTATAAGGGAGATATTGGTTCCTCCCTTGGTCAGTGTATAAGGGAGATATTGGTTCCTCCCTTGGTCAGTATATAAGGGAGTTATTGGTTCCTCCCTTGGTCAGTGTATAAGGGAGATATTGGTTCCTCCCTGGGTCAGTGTATAAGGGAGATATTGGTTCCTCCCTTGGTCAGTGTATAAGGGAGATATTGGTTCCTCCCTGGGTCAGTGTATAAGGGAGATATTGGTTCCTCCCTGGGTCAGTGTATAAGGGAGATATTGATTCCTCCCTTGGTCAGTGTATAAGGGAGATATTGGTTCCTCCCTTGGTCTGTGTATAAGGGAGATATTGGTTTCTCTTTGGCTCAGTGTATAAGGGAATTATTGGTTCCTCCCTGGGTCAGTGTATAAGGGAGTTATTGATTCCTCCCTGGGTCAGTGTATGAGTGAGGTAGTGGTTCCTCCCTGGGTCAGTGTATAAGGGAGTTAGTGGTTCCTCCCTGGGGCAGTGTATGAGGGAGTTAGTAGCTCCTCCCTGGGGCAGTGTATAAGGGACCTCATGATTCCTCCCTGGGTCAGTGTATAAGGGAGTTAATGGTTCCTCCCTGGGTCAGTGTATAAGGGAGTTAGTGGTTCCTCCCTGGGGCAGTGTATAAGGGAGTTCATGATTCCTCCCTGGGTCAGTGTATAAGGGAGTTAGTGTTTCCTCCCTGGGTCAGTGTATAAGGGAGTTAGCGGTTCCTCCCTGCAGCAGTGTATAAGGGAGTTCATGATTCCTCCCTGGATCAGTGTATAAGGGAGTTAATGGTTCCTCCCTGGGGCAGTGTATAAGAGAATTCGTGGTTCCTCCCTGGGTCACTGTATGAGGGAGCTCATGATTCCTCCCTGGGTCAGTGTATAAGGGAGTTAGTGGTTCCTCGCTGGGTCACTGTATGAGGGAGCTCATGATTCCTCCCTGCATCAGTGTATAAGGGAGTTCATGATTCCTCCCTGGGTCTGTGTATAAGGGAGTTAGTGGTTCCTCCCTGGATCACTGTATGAGGGAGCAAATGATTCCTCCCTGGGGCAGTGTATAAGGGAGTTCATGTCTCCTCCCTGGGATCAGAGTATAAGGGAGTTCATGATTCCTCCCTGGGTCAGTGTATAAGGGAGTTCATGATTCCTCCCTGGTTCAGTGTATAAGAGAGTTTGTGGTTCCTCCCTGGGTCAGTGTATAAGGGAGTTATTGGTTCCTCCCTGTGTCAGTGTATAAGGGAGTTAGTGGTTCCTCCCTGGGTCAGTGTATAATGGAGTTAGTGGTTCCTCCCTGCAGCAGTGTATGAGGGAGTTTATGATTCCTCCCTGGATCAGTGTATAAGGGAGTTAATGGTTCCTCCCTGGGGCAGTGTATAAGAGAATTCGTGGTTCCTCCCTGGGTCACTGTATGAGGGAGCTCATGATTCCTCCCTGTGTCAGTGTATAAGGGAGTTAGTGGTTCCTCCCTGGGTCACTGTATGAGAGAGCTCATGACTCCTCCCTGGGTCAGAGTATAAGGGAGTTCATGATTCCTCCCTGCATCAGTGTATAAGGGAGTTCATGATTCCTCCCTGGGTCTGTGTATAAGGGAGTTAGTGGTTCCTCCCTGGATCATTGTATAAGAGAGTTTGTGGTTCCTCCTGGGTCAGTGTATAAAGGAGTTATTGGTTCCTCCCTGTGGCAGTGTATAAGGTAGTTAGTGGTTCCTCCTGGGTCAGTGTATAATGGAGTTAGTGGTTCCTCCTTGGTTTATCTCCCTTGTTCAGTGTATAAGTGAGTTAGTGGTTCCTCTGTGTCAGTGTATAAGGGAGTTAGTGGTTTCCTCCTGGGTCAGTGTATAATGGAGTTAGTGGTTCCTCCTGTGTCAGTGTATAGGGAGATATTGGTCCTCCCTGTGTCAGTGTATAGGGAGTTAGTTTTTCCTCCCCTGGGTCAGTGTATAAGGGAGATATTGGTTCCTCCTGTGTCAGTGTATAAGGGAGTTAGTGGTTCCACCCTGGGTCAGTGTATAAGGGATATTGGTTCCTCCCTGTGTCAGTGTATAAGGGAGTTAGTTGTTCCTCCTAAGTTAGTGTATAAGGGAGATATTGGTTCCTCCTGGGTCAGTTTATAAGGGAGTTGTTGGTTCCTCCTGTGTCAGTGTATAAGAGGTTAATTTGGTTCCTCCTGGTCAGTGTATAAGGAGATATTGGTTCCTCCCTGCGTCAGTGTATAAGGGAGTTAGTGGTTCCTCCTGGGTCAGTGTATAAGGAGATATTGGTTCCTCCTGTGTCAGTGTATAAGGAGATATTGGTTCCTCCTGTGTCAGTGTATAAGGGAGTTATTGGTTTCCTCCTGGGTCAGTGTATAAGGGAGATATTTGTTCCTCCTGGGTCAGTTTATAATGGGTTGTTGGTTCCTCCTGGGTCAGTGTATAAGGGAGTTATTGGTTCCTCCCTGGGTCAGTGTATATGGGAGTTAGTGGTTCCTCCTGGGTCAGTGTATAAGGGGTTAGTGGTCCTCCCCGGATCAGTGTATAAGGAGTTTGTTGTTCCTGGGTCAGTGTATAAGGAGTTAGTATCCTCCTGGATCAGTGTATAAGGAGTTATTGGTTCCTCTGTCAGTGTATAAGAAATTAGTGGTTCCTCACTGGGTCAGTTTATAAGGGAGTTGTTGGTTCCTCCTGGGTCAGTGTATATGGGAGTTAGTGGTTCCTCCTGGGTCAGTGTATAGAGTTAGTGGTTTCCTCCCGGATCAGTGTATAAGGGAGTTAGTGTTGTTCCTGGGTCAGTGTATAAGGAGTTAGTGATTCCTCCCTGGATCAGTGTATAAGGAGTTATTGGTTCCTCCCTGTGTCAGTGTTTAGGGAATTAGTGGTTCCTCACTGGGTCAGTTTATAAGGGAGTTTTGGTTTCCTCCCTAGGTCAGTGTATAAAGGGAATTAGTGGTTCTCCTGGGTCAGTTTATAAAGGAGTTGTTGGTCCTCCCTAGGTCAGTGTATAAGGAGTTATTGGTTCCTTCATGGGTGAGTGTATAAGGGAGTTAGTGGTTCCTCCCTGGGTCAGTGTATAAGGGAGTTAGTGGTTCCTCCCTGGGTCAGCGCATAAGGGAGATATTGGTTCCTCCCTTGGTTTATCTCCCTGGGTCAGTGTATAAGGGTGTTTGGGGTTCCTCCCTAGGTCAGTGTATACGGGAGTTAGTGTGCTCCTCCCTGGACCAGTGTATAAGGTAGCTCATGATTCCTCCCTTTGTCAGTATATAAGGGAGTTATTGGTTCCTCCCTGGGTCAGTGTATAAGGGAGATATTTGTTCCTCCCTGGGTCAGTTTATAAGGGAGTTGTTGGTTCCTCCCTGGGTCAGTGTATAAGGGAGTTATTGGTTCCTCCCTGGGTCAGTGTATATGGGAGTTAGTGGTTCCTCCCTGGGTCAGTGTATAAGGGAGTTAGTGGTTCCTCCCCGGATCAGTGTATAAGGGAGTTAGTGTTGTTCCCTGGGTCAGTGTATAAGGGAGTTAGTGGTTCCTCCCTGGTTTAGTGTACTGTATAAGGGAGTTAGTTGTTCCTCACTGGGTCATTGCATAAGGGAGCTCATGTTTAGTCTTTGGGTTTATATTGCGAGATGAGGATGTGTAAGGAAGTTTTTTTAATCCTCCGTGGGTATATTTCCCTAGGAGTTTGTGGTTACTCCCTGGTTCACTGTATAAGGAAGTTTGTGGTTCCTCCTTGGTTCAGTTTAGAAAGGAGTTTGTGGTTCTTACTACGGCTTTTCTTCCTAGGTCGGATTGTATAAGGGAGTTTGTGGTTCCTCCTTGGTTCATTTAGAAAAGAGTTTGTGGTTCTTACTACGGCTTTTCTCCCTAGGTCGGATTGTATAAGGGAGTTTGTGGTTCCTCCTTGGTTCAGTTTAGAAAGGAGTTTGTGGTTCTTACTACGGCTTTTCTCCCTAGGTCGGATTGTATAAGGGAGGTTTTGGCTCTTCTACTTTTATCTCCCTGAATATGGGTGTATTAAATGTTTATGCTTCTTTCCTAAGATTATCCCCCTGGAACAAGGGAGTTCCTTGCTAGTTTGATATCCTTGAATCAGTGTTTAGAAGGGAATTATGGAGTTCACATGGGTCTACACTGGGCCAGAGTGAATAAGGGTCTGACCTCCCCCCCATGCAAAATTCCCCTTAGGCATACAGTACACTACTTTTTTATTATCTCCCGGCGTAAGTATTTTTTTTTCATTATTTACCTGTCACTTTAAGCACACTCACTGTTGACATGATAGTAATGATTTTCCTCCCACGTATTATTGATGTTCTGTGCACAAACATGCTTTAAAAATTCAGTCTTATCAACTTTGAGCGCCTGAAGTTATACTTAACCCACTTGATATAAATGTCATCACAGGGGGAGGGGAACTGATTGCAGGAAAGAGTCGTCTCTAAATGTTGGCTGGGAGTCGGGGGGGTGGGGTGGGGTGGGGTGGTGGGGGCCGGTGTGGGGACACTCACCTCCAGGTTCAGACGTTTGTGATCGTAATCAATAATGTCATGGTTTATCGAAGACGTTTACATTATTTGACAATTCACTTTTATTATTGTTAAGGAGGGAGTGAGGTGATTTAAGAGCTACATTTACTGAGATAAATATGTGAGAAATATGATATAGACCTATGTTTATGTAAGTGAAAGTGAGAGCGGGATGATGAAAGTGATGAGTGTACTGTGGAGACGTGAGGCAGAGTAGGTGTAGCTGTGGTTGAGGTAACTGTGAGGTGAGTAAGGAAGTTTACAGCTTCACGTGCTGTGTGGGTGTGGCGACTCATGCCGCCCTTACAAATGTTACTTGGCTATACACGCAAGCATAATTAATTAATATAACAAAGATCATGAAACCAAAACCATATGAATGACATTGGTTAACTTTGAATCAATGTTTTCACTTGCTTTGTGCGATCATAGATCCAATGATGTATTCATTTCAGCACAAAAAAATGATTTAATGATTTGTGCTGGCAACTGGTGAGGGCGGCAATTGTCGTGTGAACTCGGCCCACCGGTCCCTGGGCGGCACCCTGACGCAACACGCTTTATCGCAAACAAATTCTTTTCCCGAGAGAACGTTTCAGGCAACGATGCTGAACACAAAAAAAATATTTTAAAATAATATGAATTTTAATAGGGTTACTGCTACTGGTATACTTAAAGATAAAACATATTTTGTTCAATATGCAATGTTTAAGGGAAGGAGTGTTGTGAGTTGGACCTTCAACCCAAGAGAAAGTAGGCTGGCTCACTTCACTGCCACCCCGTTTAATAAACTACATCTCTTTGTACTTCAATTATTAGAAAAAATGGTAAAATTTTTACTGTCAGCAAATCAATTTAAAATTGAATAATTATTTTGGAGAATAAAATTGTGGATAGAGCTTTAGCAGTGGACGAGAAGGACGTGGGAACGGGGCGGGGGTAGGCTATCATTAGGAGGTGGGAGGGTCAGACAGGGTGGGTGAGGGCGGGAAAATGCCGCCTTTGGACGAAAGCTTTGAATCGATAATGCTCATTTAAAAAAACTGTTATCTAAATAAGTCTCAATCAGTATTATACGCAACTAAGGCTAGGGAAGTATATCTAAATTTCAATAGTAACATAATTTTTAGTCTTAAAACCAGATAAGATTAAATAGTAATTCTTATTTGCAAAAGTGACTTTCAGGCGAACCATTTTGGAATAGTTCGGTAAAATTTGGGAAAGTGAAGGTCGTGGGCGGCCTCGGGCTGGTGGCGGGTGCGGAGCCTCCGGCCGACTCAACCAATCAGCGGCCAGCATTCTCTCTCCCACCGCCCCTCACTCCTCACAACAACGCAACGCGTAAAGTAGTGTCAACAAGGAATAGGACAACTTTCATAGATATACCAACAAAGTACACGAGATGTAGTGTATATCGGATTGGAATTTATCAAGAAAAAGATTGCTTAGGTGATACTAGCAGGCCACATCTCAGGCAGGAGAAGGTTATATCTCCACCCATCGCGGAGGAATACATTAGTGAAATTCGACAGTAGTCTCGAGAAGAGAAGCTTTGAATCTGTTAGGCTATAGGACTGTGTTGTGACTTTAATTTTATTTGTGTGGTGAACTATGGCCACCCAGACAGTACAGGGGATGAAGACCGAACCTGTAGTACAGCAGACAACATCTCAGGTAAGACAAAGTCGACAGGAGGGCTGTAAGAGGAGGCAGAGGGGAGAGTGTATAGGGTGTTGTGTATAGGGCAGGATAGGCCCCGCCTTGCAGGAGGCGTCACTCTGCCAGCAGCCACGTGCTCCAGGATAACCCTGAGGCCAGCCTTCCTCCTAGGGCACCGCCCACACCTCCACCTCCACCACCAGCAGGTCCCAGCTATGCTGACCCGCCCTCTCAGATCCTATAGCGCACCTCACCATGCCTGGCTGGTGAAGGTGAGTGGTGATGACTGTATGGTGATGTGTGAGCCGTGGTGAGCTGGGCGGGGCTGTGGGCGGTGTTGGTAGGCCCAGGAGTGTGGCCTGCTGCTGGGTGGCACTGTCCCCGCCTTCACCCGCCCACACCCCGCCCACCACACACCGCCCGCCCCACCCAGCTGTCAGGACACGCGGGGCGGGCTACTACCCTCCTCCTACCAACACTCAGGACACCCAAGGTTCTCGCACGACACACTCCAGGAATATTGCTTCTCACACCCACTTAGTACATTTATGGCTACACAGTACACACATCACTATAGTTGACAGGACAAGCCTCCTACCAGGGCTCCACACAACACTGGCACTCGACTCAAAGAGCAAGGCTACTCCAGGCCCCTCACCTCGTCACACACCTTGCTTATGTGAGAATAACATACCCGCTCAACTGACGTTATGTATAGTGTTCAGGGTCTGTTATGATGATGTACATTGTTCAGGGTCTGTTCTGTTGATATAGTACATTGTTCAGGGTCTGTTATGATGTACATTGTTCAGGGTCTGTTCTGTTGATATAGTACATTGTTCAGGGTCTGTTCTGTTGATATAGTACATTGTTCAGGGTCTGTTCTGTTGATATAGTACATTGTTCAGGGTCTGTTATGTTGATATAGTACATTGTTCAGGGTCTGTTATGTTGATATAGTACATTGTTCAGGGTCTGTTCTGTTGATATAGTACATTGTTCAGGGTCTGTTCTGTTGATATAGTACATTGTTCAGGGTCTGTTCTGTTGATATAGTACATTGTTCAGGGTCTGTTCTGTTGATATAGTACATTGTTCAGGGTCTGTTCTGTTGATATAGTACATTGTTCAGGGTCTGTTCTGTTGATATAGTACATTGTTCAGGGTCTGTTCTGTTGATATAGTACATTGTTCAGGGTCTGTTCTGTTGATATAGTACATTGTTCAGGGTCTGTTCTGTTGATATAGTACATTGTTCAGGTCTGTTCTGTTGATATAGTACATTGTTCAGGGTCTGTTCTGTTATATAGTACATTGTTCAGGGTCTGTACTGTTGATATAGTACATTGTTCAGGGTCTGTTCTGTTGATATAGTACATTGTTCAGGGTCTGTTCTGTTGATATAGTACATTGTTTGATATAGTACATTGTTCAGGTCTGTTCTGTTGATATAGTACATTGTTCAGGGTCTGTTCTGTTGATATAGTACATTGTTCAGGGTCTGTACTGTTGATATAGTACATTGTTCAGGGTCTGTTCTGTTGATATAGTACATTGTTCAGGGTCTGTACTGTTGATATAGTACATTGTTCAGGGTCTGTACTGTTGATATAGTACATTGTTCAGGGTCTGTTCTGTTGATATAGTACATTGTTCAGGGTCTGTTCTGTTGATATAGTACATTGTTCAGGGTCTGTTCTGTTGATATAGTACATTGTTCAGGGTCTGTTCTGTTGATATAGTACATTGTTCAGGGTCTGTTCTGTTGATATAGTACATTGATTTGAGTCTACTATCAATTTATATACCTTTTCCTGGGTGTTTCTTGTTGGTGTGTTTATTTGTCTCCTGTTAGTGTATACATCGTCCTTGGTGTTCCCTGTTGATGTATGATGTTCAGGGTCTAAGTTGTTGATATTGTCCTGGATCACATCTACTGAATAGGCTATATATTGTTCTGGGTCACGCCTGTTAGTATACATATTCCTGGGTGTCTCCTGTTGATGTTCATTTCATGTGTGTAACCTGAGTGTGTGTATGTTTTCCTGGGGTGAACTTGTTGTCTGTACATTGTCCTTGATTTTACTGCTTGGTGTACGTTGTCATGGATCTAATGTTGATGGTTTGTCTTGGGTCACACCTATTAACGTACTTTGTTCTGGGTCTGGCTGTAGTACACTGACCATTTATGCTAGAGCACAGCAATCCAGTGATGCAAAGTACACCGCTGGAATACAAAACCATTACACAAATAAAATGCTTACTGAACTGTTACAACACAAAATAATCTGTACTACTAGATTTTCTGTGAACTAAAGCATAGGGCAACATCGTTACCTAAAGTACTCTACTGGAGGTCATACTACACCGGTAAGTGCAGAACTAATAAAACAGGGTACACCATGGCAGTGCGAATTACATACTTATATACTCCGCATACTCATGAGGCATTTCTCATGGCACTATACTGGACTATACAGTAAGGTAATACACAGCACATAACACCTCAGAACAGAAGCACATAGTCCGCAAATAAGATGGAGTACCTTACACAACACACTGGGGCACAAAGTAAGCCATTGCAGCGGGACACATAGTACAGTGACGCACAGTACACCAGTACAATGAAGTACATTCCTCCAGCACAGTGGAATACACCACCAGCACACTGTAATTAACATGGTAAGCCAGTATAGGTGGGCATATAGTCCACCAGAAAAGTTTACCAAAGTACACCTAAGCAGACGAGCACACAGTACACCAGTAGAAAAGAGCACACAGTACACAAGTAGAGAACAGCACACAGTACATCAAAGAGCACACAGTACTGTACACTATAAAAGAGCACACAGTACACAAGTAGAGAACAGCACACAGTACATCAAAGAGCACACAGTACTGTACACTATAAAAGAGCACACAGTACACCAGTAAATAGCGCAGCACACAGTGCATCAATAAAGAGCACACAGTACACCAGTAAAGAGCACACAGTACACCAGTAAAGAGCACACAGTACACCAGTAAAGAGCACACAGTACACCAGTAAAGAGCACACAGTACACCAGTAAAGAGCACACAGTACACCAGTAAAGAGCACACAGTACACCAGTAAAGAGCACACAGTACACCAGTAAAGAGCACACAGTACACCAGTAAAGAGCACACAGTACACCAGTAAAGAGCACACAGTACACCAGTAAAGAGCACACAGTACACCAGTAAAGAGCACACAGTACACCAGTACACCAGTAAAGAGCACCACAGTACAGAGCACACAGTACACCAGTACAGCACACAGTACACAAATAACACAGTACACCAGTAAAGAGCACAGTACACCAGTAAAGAGCACACAGTACACACAGTACACCAGTAAGAGCACACAGTACACCAGTAAAAGACACACACAGTACACCAGTACACCAGAGCACACAGTACACCAGTAAAGACACACAGTACACCAGTACAAAGCACACAGTACACACAGTAAAACACACACAGTACACAGAAAAGCACACACAGTACACACAGTAACAGTAGAGTACACATAGGCACACAGTAAAGAGCACACAGTACACCAGTATCACACACAGTATATAAAGAGCACACAGTACAACAGTTACACAGCAGCACAGCACAGTAAACCAAAGACACACAGCACACACCAGTAAAGATCACACAGTACATCAATAACGAACACAGCACACATTACACCAGTAAAGAGCACACACCAGTAAAGAGCACACAGTACACCAGCAGTAAGAGCACAGCACACAGTAACAGCACAGTACACCAGTAAAGATCACAGCACAGCATCAATAACGACACAGCACACATTACACCAGTAAAGAGCACAGCATAGTACACCAATAGAGAACAGCACACAGTACACCAGTAAAGAGCACACAGAACACCAGTAAAGAGCACAGTACACACAGTACACCAGTAGAAACAGCACATAGTACACCAGTGAGAATAGCACACAGTATATCAGTAAAGAGCACACAGTATATCAGTAAAGAGCACACAGTATATCAGTAAAGAGCACAGCACAGTACACCAGTAAAGAGCACAGCACAGTACACCAGTAAAGATCACAGCACAGTACATCAATAACGAACACAGCACACATTACACCAGTAAAACACACAGTACACCAGTAAGAGCACACAGTATATCAGTAAAGAGCACAGCACAGTACACCAGTAAAGAGCACAGCACAGTACACCAGTAAAGATCACAGCACAGTACATCAATAACAGACACAGCACATTACACCAGTAAAGAGCACAGCGCATAGTACACCAATAGAGAACAGCACACAGTACCAGTAAAGAGCACACAGAACACCAGTAAGAGCACAGCACACAGTACTCCAATAGAGAACAGCACACAGTACACCAGTAAAGAGCACAGTACACCAGTAGAGAACAGCACATAGTACACCAGTAGAGAATAGCACACAGTACTCTAATAGAGAACAGCACACAGTACACCAGTAAAGAGCACACAGTACACCAGTAGAGAACAGCACACAGTACACCAGTAAAACAGCACATACTCAATGAGAACAGCACACAGTACACCAGTAAAGGCGCACAGTACACCAGTGAGAACAGCACACAGTACACCAGTAGAGAACAGCACACAGTACACCAGTAAAAGCAAACACTACACCAGTGAGAACAGCACACAGTACACCAGTAAAGAACAAACAGTACACCAGTGAGAACAGCACACAGTACACCAATAAAAGGTACACAGTACACCAGTGAAACAGCACACAGTACGCCATTAAAGAGCACAGCGCACCAGTGAGAACAGCACAGTACCAGTGAGAACAGCGTACCAGCAGAGACAGCACACAGTACACCAGTGAAGACAGCACAGTACCCAGTAGAGAACAGCACACAGTACCAGTGGAGAACAGCACAGTACACCAGTGAGCAAACACTACACCAGTAGAAGACAGCACACAGTACACCAGTAAAACAAACACTACACCAGTGAAC